GACCGCTAGCGAAGTCCTAAATTTTACCATCTTAACCATTTTTTAGTGTATAATTCAGTGGCATTAAGTACATTCACATTGTTGCATAACCATCACCACCACTCATCTCCAGAACTCTTCATCTTGCAAACTGAAACTCTGTACTCATAAATAGCTCCCCATTCTCCTTTATCAAGGGGGCCATATTCTCAACCACTGTCTCATACTAGCCCCATGCATGTGCTACAAAATCTAGTCCAGCGCTGCCCAGTAGACCTTCCTGTGATGATGGAATTGTTCTCTATTTTTGCTGTCCATTGCAGTAGCCACCAGCTACATGTAAGAGAGCACTTGAAAAGCGCTGTCTTCAGAGTCCAAGGTCTGGATTAAGTTACCATTTGCAGGACAACATCCATTGAGCTAGACCACACGTTCTCAACAGGAGCAATATGGCCTCGAGGCAGCAAAAGCTGGTTCCTAGGGTGGAGGGGGGACTTACTCTTCTCATGTAAAGAGCACTTATATACATTTAGTACGTGAACAGATGAACAGTTTGTGCTATTAAAATTTCATGGGATGGCAATGAGGAAAAAATATCTAAGACTGGAGGAGGGGTGAGTGGGGTGGAGCACACAATAATGAAAAAACAAGAAAAACACTAAGATGCTAAATATGTTCTCACATGGAGGTCTGTTATGGGTGAAAAGTATTTTTGTTGGCCACTCTGGGAACCATACCAAACTGCCCTGTATGAGTGGTTTTTAAGATTACCTGCCAAGTTCCTAATCTCTTAACACGGGAGTGGATCTTTGAAATGGGCTCACTTTGTGAGGAGAGGAATACCAATAAGAAGTGCAGTTTTTTCTGTCACATGGAAAGCATCGAATACAAAATTCATAAAGCATCTTATTTAACACACAGAGGATCCAGAAAAGAATAAGCCTCTGGCCTTAGAGCACTATGGTCAGCATGGTGATGGAAAAGCACATCAAGAGATGATGGCTGATCAGGTTTACCGTCATCCTCTCCACCGCCCCTGTGCTACCAAGGTACAGGTTGCACTGAATTTCTTTTTTTAATACATTTATTTATTTATTTATTTTTGGCTGCGCTGGGTCTTTGTTTCTGCACGCGGGCTTTCTCTAGTTGCGGCGAGCGGGGGCTACTCTTCGTTGCGGTGCGCGGGCTTCTCATTGCAATGGCTTCTCTTGTTGTGGAGCACGGGCTCTAGGCGCGCGGGCTTCAGTAGTTGTGGCACACGGGCTCAGTAGTTGTGGCTTGCAGGCTCAGTAGTTGTGGCGCACAGGCTTAGTTGCTCCGCAGCACATGGGGGTCTTTCCGGACCAGGGCTCGAGCCTGTGTCCCCTGCATTGGCAGGCGGATTCTTAACCACTGTGCCACCAGGGAAGCCCTGCACTGAATTTTGTAACATATTTAAGCTTGAGTTTATTCATTCAACATTGCTGAGCACCCACTAAATGCTGGACATTCTGGTAAGGTCTAGAGATTATGCTGATGTCCAGTATAGTAGCCATTAGCCACATGTGGCTATTTATATTGCGATTAAAATTAAGCAGAATTTAAAATCAGTTCCTCGGTCACACTAGCCACATTGCAAGTGCTCACTAGCCATGGGTAGCTGGGGCTACTGCAATGGACAGCACAAACCAAGAACCTTTCTATCATCACAGGAAGTTCTACGGGCAGTGCTGGTCTAGAATTTTGTAGCACGTGGATAGACCCAGTATGACATAGTGGTTAAGATCTGGCCCTTGGGGTCAAACCTGGGTTGGGATCCAGCTCTACCACTCACCAGCTGTAGGACCTTGGAATGTCACTTAGCCTTTCTGAGCCACAGCCTTCTCTGTAAAATGGGAGTAATAAGGCCTAGCTCATGGGGTTATATAGTGAGCATAAAAGGAGATGATGCACTTAACATGCTGTCATTGCTCAATACACAGTGTCTATTAACATTTTCATTTTTATTATAATTATCATTATTACTGGCAGGTGGGGTGTTTAGACCACCCATCCAGACATTTTATATTCATGTTAAGTTCAGTAATGTTCCTGTTATAAAGGTTTTCAAATATTAGGCTGTTTCCCTGCATATGTTCCCTCCCTTTATGGCAGTCACCCACCCCTCATCCTCAACATTGTGTTAAAAATTGTTGAGAACCTGGATTTGAGTGTGAATGCTGCCCCCAATCAGTGGTGGCTAGAAAGTTAGAGTGGTAACTCTAGAGAGGTGGAGAAGTGTGACTGTTGATTTGAATACACTTCTTATATATCCAAGAGAACTGTAGGACCTAGGTAGATTTGAGAGATGGGGAACAAAGCTCTTCCTAAAAGTAACTACAAGAGAGTTGTTGTACTCCAGCAGAGAGGAGCTGGCTGACTGCTTCGGGGGCTGTATTTGTTTAAAATATTTCCGCCAAGAATCTCATTATTATGAAGCCTTTTATTGCCATCTGGGACCTGGAATAAAAGCAGAGGCACCAGCCCATGACCAAATCATCAAGACAAATTAAGACATATCCATATATGCTGGAAACAATTACCCACATAGATTTAATTTGTTTCACTGCTGGAAGAAAATCCTGAGCGGGCATGAAACACATACCTGAGAGCAGTTCTGCAGCCACCCTGTGAGCCTGTCACTTGTCAGTGCCTTAGGGACTGGGAGATGCTTAAATTGGATGTCTGACAAAGGTCAATATATCTGAAAATACATCTTCTGTTAGATCAGGGATACAGGTGTTTGTACAGGTTACTTGGAGTGCTGTTAAGTTGGTGATTTTTTTAACCCACCATTATTGTTATGAATAATTATTATAATTGTTTATCAAAATAATGTATGGAGGTCAAAAATGGAATAGGAACATTTTATAATCAAATAATACACTTAGCAAGCTTATATATTTGCATTATTGTTTGCTCTTTTTTAAGAGACCAAAGCTAAATGAGACAGTTTATTGGTTTCTGAGTTGTAGCCTTCAGTGTCTCTTAATTTTTTTTGTTATTGTTTCTTGTAGAATTATTGTTTTTAATTGTCTTAACATTAGGAAAAGAAAGTCTGCTCAGCCTACCACATTCTTTTTCCCGAAGAAAGAGAATAGGATCTATCATCCAGGTTATTCTAGTATGTGACTGCTGCAGTATACCCATCATATGGTAACTGCACAATCTTGCTCCGGAGGTTGGTTAATGAGTCCTTAACAACATCCTGGGGTGACTGCTAGAGGCCAGAGCCCCTTCTCTCAAAATATTAACTTCATAAGGAGCAATCAACAGCCAGAGGAATGGCGTGTTTAGAGTGAGAGATGACTTTTTCTGTCGTCATCATCATGATAGCTTCCTTACAGATTTTTCCTGTACGTCAACTATGTACAATTATATTTGAGGAGCATAATCCCCTAGTCACTTACAAAAAATGGATAGGCCTTTTATAGCATGAGGAGTGAATATAAAAGCTACTTGTGCTTGCTGATAGCCTGCAGGTTTACGACCTTTTCCTCCGGGTTGTCTCATGACAACCTCTTCATTTTTCCTGCTACCTTGTACTTCAGGTTTTGCGAACAGTTATGGAACAACTCGTGTGTTGAAGACTCAAAAATCACTTTCTATGGTGATCGTTTGATTCAAAATGTGATTCTCATTTTGGAAGTCGGACAGGGTAGTCTGAAATCTTCAAATGACGGTTTGCTGAAAGATGACTTGGTCGCTTCTGAACCTGCCTCGTGTCCCACGTAGAAGCAGTCCAGTTAGAGAGATGCATCATTTGATTCCATTTATATGAGCATCTTTGATGGAACGCAGAGGTTTCTAGCAAGGAGGGATGTGTGCCTTCCACCTCTACAGCTATCCTTGGCATTCTACACAACCATTTCAAGTCAGGTAACATTCAGTCACTTTACTGGCAGCCAAAGACCATGTGAAACTAGATCTAACAATGTGGTCCTAAGTCTCTTTGATTACCTGTGCCCTCGGAAATTTTTATTTATATCCCAACTCCAACTGGGATTGTAAGGGGTCTCACAATCAAAGCCATACAGAATAAGGTTGTAAACATAAAAGCAATTTAAAAATCATGAAAAGAAGGAAATTTGCTAGCCAGGATGGATAATGAAATTACTGTGATTTATTATTGAATTTGGCCCTGAGATTGTCTAAAGATCCATCATTAAGTAGATGATTAAATACCTGTGGTACAGCCACATGACAGAAGATTATGTAGCCTTTAAAATTATCTGCGGGGTGAATTTGTAACAATAAGAAAAGATGCTTATAATACAGTATTTAGAAGAGAGAGGATTAAAAACTATCAAATTATCTCAGCCATGTTTACAAAAAATTGAGAAAAAAATATGGGGATAAAATTCACCAGAATATTGACTACAGCTGATGACATGAAGTGATTTTTTTTTTTTTTTTTGTTTTCATCTTTATGTTTTTTTCTTTTCTTCAGGTAATTACAATGAACATATATATTATAATCACGTGTAAAAGTTATTTTATTAGTTGACTGTGAGATTCCTGACAAAAAAAGGCAGAAAGGGAAACAATCATGAGTTACATGGTTTTTATTATGTGATGAAAGAACTTTCTCAGTTCTTCAAGGTAAACTTTTCCTTGATACTGAATCCCAAAAGAATGTTGAGTGATATAATGTACAAATCTTGATAAAGTTCTTAGAGCGGATGCAGAAGGGGGGACTCCTTTTACTGTCTCATGACCACCCCCAAGAGCAGCCAAAGACACAGCACTCACTATGGGCTAAAGTAGTAGGGATTAGCCAGAGGGGAACTTGCCTCCCACTAGGCTTCTGTCTCTTAATTCTGCATTTGGAATGTTGAAGTGGTTCTTTTGCCCATTGCATTTATTCAAACAAAATGTGTGAGATAGGCCTAGCAGATGCAGACACAGCTCTCAGCTCTTTTTTTCACACCTTGAGGATTGAATCACCACCAGTCCTGGAAATTTTTTTGAGTAATATAATTTGATTTCTCCCCCCTTTTCAGGTGTTGCTGCACTGGATTCCAACATATCTGGAAAAATCGGTCTACGTGCTGTCGTGTACTACTTCTGTACCACTGTCATTGCTGTAATTTTAGGTAAAATTTATTTCTGAATCCTTATTTTTCTGTATAATTGTGACTTTCCAGTTAAAAGTCGTTGGCTTTTAAAAATGCACACTTTTTTAAAATCAGAAAGTACAATTGTCAAACTACTATGAAGCTTTTTGGCTTGAAGTCAGCACAGCACATTTTATATGAACAATATAACGCTGACTGAATTTCAGCCGTGGTACTGCTTATTAGTGTCTCTAGTAAGAAACAGAAAGAGGGTGACAGTTCTGTGCCATATCTACCTTATCGGGTAGAAGGAAATGAAGCCAAGAGATAATATAATCTTTAAACTTGATAATTAGTCTATAATAGTGGCTTTGAGTATAATTATAAAGTATTTCCAGAAAGACAGCATTTCATTACATTTCAAATTTCATGTAGTAGCCAGAGCTAACAGAGTCTTGCCAAGTATAAATTCCACTTGAAAGAGGGAGAATGTTCTAATGAGGGAATATGGTTGCTCTTATACCTTTGGCACTCTTTTGTGAAAAAAGTATGGTCCATCCTTTGGGACCTAGCGTAACATCTTAAGAAGGATGCCCGGAGTGGGAAGAGAGGAGTGTGTACTCAGATGTTGCAGCCAGTTTGACCCTTGCAGCTCTGCTTTAATGAACTGATAAAAGGTGATGAAGATGTGGTGACATTTTAGTGGTATTAGGCCAGGGGACTCAGGAGTGCCTGACCCCCGCCTTAAATCAAAGCTACATCTCCTCATGAGATTCCTGAGGGAGGCCAACGCAAAGAACAAAGCTGGGCTTATCTATTTACTGCAACCCTGAGATGGAAGAGTGGACCACACCCATTCATTGCCCCTCTATTACCCAGTGACTCCTCCCGTTAGTAAAACTGACACATTTAGCATCCTTAAGTCCCGCCCCCTTGGACTAGCATTTCTCCTTGGGAAGAGTGATAAAGGGCATGGGGCCTTTTCTTCTTCACTCCCCTCCAGTCAAACAACCTGGTCTTTCCTAAAACCTCCCACCTCTGCTTGAACACCTCAAGAGGAACCCATTACCTCCAGAGGCCAAAATGGGGCTTTCAGATGCTCTCTGTTTAGACATTTCTTCTTTACAATGAGAAGAACTATCTCTCCTTGGAACTCCTGTCCTCATTCCACCCCCTAAGAGTCACACAGAACACTTCCTAACCCAAATCCTTTTGTGGGTTACACAACAGCTTTCCAGATATTTGAAGGCTTGTGATATGAAAGGAAGATAGGGCTTATTCTGTATGAGCCTCAGAAAAATAAGCAGCAACTGTGGGTAAAAGTTACAGAAAGATGTTGAGTGAGTGCCCTGAGTTGGAAAATGAATTATTCTCACCCTAACCCCTGCCTAGGCTGATCTCATAAGCTAAAGAAAAGAAAAAAGAGGATTCTCATCAGCAGGTGTTTCCAGAAGCAGTTGTGGAATGCAGCCCCTTCATTTTTTAAAAACATACACGAAGAGTTCTTTCTGCTTCATTTAGTTGGAAAAGTAATAAAGGCATCTGCTGAGGTCCCCAGTGAGGCTTGTCGTTTTGGCTGGACCTCAGGGTCCCCATCCCAGTATTGCCCGGTACCACCAGGCCTATTGTTTCTAAAATGGATCCACGAGGGGTGTCAGGTGCCCGAGGAGGTTCTTAATGCTCTGTGGGTGCTATCTTTGGTCATAGGTATCGTGCTGGTGGTGAGCATCAAGCCTGGTGTCACCCAGAAAGTGAATGAAATTGACAGGACAGGCAGCAGCCCTGAAGTCAGTTCAGTGGATGCCATGTTAGACCTGATCAGGTGAGTGTCTGGCCAGCAGGGTGGCTTCATAGGCATGCGACCTATGTGGTCGCACAGGGCCCCAGACTTGGTTTAATGCTCTGCTGTTGCTGTCTTGAAATTTTTAATAATTTTTGAATTATTATACATGTTCATTTTGCCCTGGACCCTGCAAATTACACAGCCAGTCATGCTTACCACGTCATGGTTCCAAGAGGGAATGGAAGGAACAGCGTTCTCTGTCAGGGTTTAGGATGGACAGAGATGCCTAAAGTATACTTGTTGCGTTAAGATGCCGGGCTGTGTTAGGTGGTCAGTTCTGAAGCATACTTGAAGAAATACATTTTTTAATTGTACAGGAGAAACCCTCTTATCTGAAGCAATCAGGGCTGGAGATTGGTCAGTTAATTAAAAAAAAAACAGCATTTAAAGCAGAGAATTGTAAATATGTATTACATATTTTGTTTACACTCAAAACTTAGATGCGTTTATTTGCCAGTTTTTTTATGTCGGGCCAAGGTCTTCTCTTAGAGTGTGTCAGTTGATTTTTCATATTCCTGTTGCCTAGGCTGCCTTTATAAACGCATCATCTACAACTTCCAGATTCAGTTTCCATGAAGTGGAGAAACAAAACCCTTAGAAGTAGCAAAGAAAGCTGAGTGCCGAGTTCTTCCAGTTGTTTTTTGTTTCAATTGTCTTTCCTTACCTAATGCAACCACAGAAGTTTTACTCACTTGCCTCCATTGAGTTTCCAGGCATTCCAGCTTAGCTTTTTTTTTTTTTTTTTTTTTTTTTTTGTTTTGCCGCCCCTCACTTCTGTGGCCTCTCCCATTGCAGGCCACAGGCTCCGGACGCGCAGGTCCAGCGGCCATGGCTCACGGGCCTAGCTGCTTCACGGCATGTGGGATCCTCCCGGACCGGGGCATGAACCCGTGTCCCCTGCATCGGCAGGCAGACTCTCAACTACTGTGCCACCAGGGAAGCCCCCAGCTTAGTTTTTATAGAAACTGCTCCTTCCTTTTCACACTTATAATGCATTGATTTACATAATTTTTAATTCAATAATAACGATTATTTGCAACTGGCGTAAAGAATTTGGGAATAAGTGCAGTGGGCTCTCATTATCAATGAAAACAGAAATGTGGAAAATATTAAAGAAGTCTCTTAACTGTGCATGTCTACCTGCCAGTGTGAATTTCACCAAGGACAGCAGGCATGTCAGCTACTCGGTGAATCAGTTAAGCGTGACAGGTGGTTAGGAGAGCTTTCTATCTATCCCTGGTTGAAGCTCAGCAGGGATGTATAAGTCTTAATACAAGGAGGTATTATGTAAAGGAGAGGCCAGAAGAGAAACCAGAGTACTAGTTCTATCGCATAATCATTTCCATCAAAGTATTGGGTATGACCAAAAAAACCCAAAAAAACAAAACAAAACACTTTTGCCTTGGGCTTCCCTGGTGGCGCAGTGGTTGAGAGTCCGCCTGCCGATGCAGGGGACACGGGTTCGTGCCCGGGTCCAGGAAGATCCCACATGCCGCGCAGCGGCTGGGCCCGTGAGCCATGGCCGCTGAGCCTGCGCATCCGGAGCCTGTGCTCCGCAACAGGAGAGGCCACAACAGTGAGAGGCCAGCGTACTGCAAAAACAAAACAAAACAAAACACTTTTGCCTTAATGTAATACTGCTTGTCCTGTCTCCAACAGGAATATGTTCCCTGAGAACCTTGTCCAAGCCTGTTTTCAGCAGGTAAGAATAATGACTTTTGCCCTCAAGTTGCTCCCCTCTTCCCCCTTGCCAATTAAGATTTTTTTTCCTGCTATGACCCAAGAAATGGAATTAGCCCGTCAAAAATGACAGGAAATGCACCTGTGAATGGAGGAATATCAGGTGACCTATTTCGTAACCCTAGTATTTCCAGGCACAGTGACATGCCTGTTGTAGCTCCTCTGTTTTCCCTTAGGCTTTTTTTTCTTTCCTCCAAAAGGGCTCAACTGGAGCAAGTCAGGAACCTGTCAAATAATGAGTGTTTTAAAATGTGGCTTCTAGTACCTATTTTTGGAGAACCACATTATATTTGTGAAGAAACTTCGATTATCTACAGATATAATGCAGTTAGAAAAGTAGCCCTCCACCTCTTCTTTCCTTTCCCTCCCATGCTGGGAAATCAGTATCTGACCCACATGGGTGGTTAGTGTTCCTGGCATTTGGTCTTTTCTTGCACCTTTACATGCCCATTGCTTGCACTCTACAGAGCAATATAACAAAGCCAAGATTTTTTTCCTTTAGGAAGTTTAACAATCTCTTCACTCCATTTCCTTTAAGGCTTTTTCTCTTGTTTATCTCTGCACTTTAAGACAGCTGAGTCTATCACAAGCTGCTGAATTCATTTACATAATTACAGGAACAGAGACCTCTGTGTAGACCAACAAAAATGCAATTAAATTGCTCCCTGCCGACCTCCAAGAGGTACAGAACCACCTCTATTTAGGGAGTGCCTTTGCAATTCAGCCACAGTGGTCATTTGTAAGGTTCCTGGTGTTGGCAGAGCCTCGTAGGAGTGACATTTATGCCTGGCATGATGATATACTAGCTCTTTCTTAAACATCTCTGCTGAAGTCCAGCAGAATCAAACAGGGCTGAAGAAATTCAACAGAAATCTCACTCACGTAATAGCCCTAAAGGGACTATTGACTTTGGAACAACCGTATAGTTCTTGATGTTTGTTAAAGTCACGGTGACTACATTTATCCAAGTGATGAGGTTTTTTTTTTTCCAGATTAAAAATAATAAATGAATAAATAAACAGAAACAAAAATGATTCATAGGATTCCTATAGAGTCTGTCTGGTAAAGCAACTGCAAATAAAACCCATGCTTTCTTTCACATTATTGCTCCATTAATTGGTCCCTTATTACAGAAGTGAGAGAGCATTTTGACACCATTGAATGGTGGCTGTGGAGATCAGGAGGTTGGATTTCTCAATCCCATTTTTGCTTCCAAAGCCTCATGGGAGGTACCGTCCAAACCTGAAGCCAACAGAGGCCTCGGAGGTGGAACCTTTCAGTGACACTTGTCTGGCCAAAGTAATACTCCTTTAGCCTCAGAAGCTTAAAAAAAAATTCTTTTTTGTTTGTTTCTTTGACCTTTTTTCCCCTCCAACGTGCAGTACAAAACCACACGTGAAGAAGTGAAACGTCCCAATGAGCCAGGCACAAACAGGACGGAGGCATCTGTCACAGCCATCATGACAACTGCTATTTCCAAGGTACCATTTCCATCCTGTTGTTTGCTCCCTTCCCTGGTAGGCAGGGGCCGAGCCATGAGTGAGCAGGAGATGGAAATAAGTAGATCCTCATTGTTCGCAGATTCCACGTTTGTAAATTCACCTACTCACATTCACAGACACACAAAGAGTGGTGAAAGTTTTAAGTTGCCCAATGCACATGTTCCCCGCTGAGGCTGAACAAGGCTACGGCTCAGCCTTCTTGGTTCAGCTCTTACACGGTAAATAAGTGTCCTTTGTGCGGTGTGTTTATGCCACATTTTTCACATTTTTGTACTCTGTCTTGGTGATTTCGCTGTTTGAAATGTTCCCCAAGCATCATGCTGCAGTGCTGTCTAGTTAGTTTTCCCAAAGGCAGGCAGGCTGATGTGCCATATGAGAAAATACATGTGTTAGATAAGTTTCATTCAGACATGAGTTAAAGTGTGCTGGCTGTGAGTTCAATGTTAACAACTAAATAATATATATTAAATAAGGTGTCTTTGAACTGAAACACAGAGAAAACAAGGTTTTATGTTGATTATTTGGCAAAAATGTTGTGACTGTTGATTCCCAGAAACCTAATTCTATATTTCCCCTAGGAACATTGATTCAATATTCACTAATTCAGTGTTCGCAGCCACTTTATAGAGTGTAACTTCTGAGAATAATGAGAAGCAACTGAACCACGCAGAGAAAAGAATGAGCCCTCTCACTTCTGTATCTCTGCCACCCAGAGTTGAGTTGGGCACCTCTGGGAACTATGTTAGATTTGCAAGACTACTTAAACTGCAGGCCTACAGTTCCTTATCTGAAACTCTTTGCCCATATTTGATACTGAGTTCAGAGCTTTTCACTTTAGAAGGTCCAGGTGGTGTATGTACTATATGTTTTACAACATCCTTAAGTGGAATTGACAATAACATTCTAGAATCAAGCACATCAGTATTTCTGCAACTAACTTGTGAATGTTCTACCAAGTAAGAAAAATAGGCTATATGTAGCCTCATCTCAGTTCGGGATAGGTTTTGCCACCAAGAGTTTGCCATAAATTTATCAATGAAATCAACAGGCTTTGAGAACTTTGGGGATTTCAGCATTGGAGATTAGATCGTGTGGGCCTAAAGTAGTATATCTGTAGTCCTGTAGATCGCTCCTGAAGGTACTGTGCCTTCACACAGAAAGGAAAGATTTAAGGAAAAAGGAAATACTCAGTAGACTTAAGAGTTCAGGTTAAGTAGGCCACAGTTAGCTTCCTCTTTCTTCCTACAGAAAGCCCTCCATGACCTAGCTCCTCCCTGGTTTCCCAGCTTATTTCTTGGTGAGCCCAATCTATTCTATCCAGATCCACCTCCTCAATTAGTTTCTATTCCTGCTTTTTGATATGGTTCCATAAAGATTTTCTGAGCACCCTCCATGAGCCAAGCCCTGCTGGGCATTGGGATTACAGTAGAGAAAAGACAGATGTGACATATGCCCTCATGTGAAGAGTGATGAATATTAAATCAGGGAAGAATAGGGTACTCTGGGGCATTCAGCGGGGAGGTTTAAATTAGTTTGGGGTCCATCAAGGATGAGTAGGAATTATTCAAGCAGGGTACAGGGACCTGGTGCGTGATGACTTTTGCCTTTCCTTACATTTTTCTGGACTGTGCTTTCATCTCCTGGCTGCCTACTGCTCAGGCCTAGCTTTCCCTAACCTCACAGCCCTCATTCATGTCCCCAGTCTCCATATGATGCCTGTAACTCATAGCTTGGCTGTACAGCTAATTACACACCACCTTGCTAGCATTGGCTCCTGTTTCTCACAGTTAGTCTTGTCTATCCAGCTGCATTTTAAGACTTTATGCTGTAGCCAATGCAGTTAGCACACTAACTGCTCAATAAATATGTTTGATCGTGTCAGATCATAAGTAAGAAATAATTGGTACCCCAGTGGCTCGTCCACATAATTCTTTGTAAACCTGGTTTGCACCACTCAGAATACGTTATCTCCCTGTGAAATCTCTCAGTAAATCTCAGCTGCACAACGCAGATTGAGTTATCTCTCGGTATATCTCATGCTCTTCTTACCCAGCATAAAACAAAGACATGGTTCACAGTAGTATATGTCTGGTTAATTTTTATGTCTCTAAAATCCTATTGGTCATCCAGGACTAGAGGCAGAAAAGAATATTCCTGTGTTCATTATCAGGATAAAACAGATAGTAAAGTGTCCTAAAAATGTCCACACTGGTAAATATTTTGAGCTTCCTGCATTATTAATCTGTATCTTTTTTATGCAGACTCCAAATGTAACTAGTAGTTAAAATAACCCTGAAAAGTGCCTTGATTCTAAAGTTCTTATTAAAAATTTAAAACACCCCAGAATAAGAAATCTTCAAAAGAAATATTCAAATATGGATTTGTTGAAAGAAAGGAAAAAAGACACACTTTAAACTTCAGTGGCAGAGGGTGGGGGGCAGTAAAATTTGACCCACGCGTAGGTGTTTGTGTTTTTAATTATGTTTCCCAAAGTTGTTGATCCAGAGTTCTTGCTAGAGCCACTGGTTTGTTTGGCTATCATATCTTTCTGTTTCAGGGTCTATGCATTCTAACAAGACTGTACTCATGCATCAATGTATTTTCTTGGTTTTGATCCACAGAACAGAACAAAGGAATACAAAGTCATAGGCATGTATTCAGACGGCATAAATGTCCTGGGCTTGATTGTCTTTTGCCTCGTCTTTGGAATTGTCATTGGAAAAATGGGAGAAAGGGGACAGATTCTGGTGGATTTCTTCAATGCTCTGAGTGACGCAACCATGAAAATCGTTCAAATCATTATGTGGTGAGCACACGCCGGGTAATGCCATCTTGCTTCCCCTGACCCTTCAAAACTAGCATGAAGAGATTTATGTTTCTCAGTTGACCTCACCTTAGAAGAGGGTATCCAGACACTGGAGTATTAAATAATTCCATGTATTACTTAGGACTTAGGTCACTAACAAAAGTCTAGATATCAGCCATTGTCTTTTCTACCAAAGTCCTTGATCATCTTGCAACCAAGCAACATTTATGTAAGAAATAACTCTTAAAGGAGTGATTTGAAAGAGTTTCCTGCACATCAGAACACAAGGTGCTTTCCTTCCCAGGCCCCAGGCAGAAGGGATTTTCAGAATATTTACAGTTGGTACGACATGGGCCCTAACGCATCCAAATAAAAGCTGCCGTTGGTGAGCATAGCAGTGGCACCACCTGAGTATCTGCCCTGTCCCTAGAGATGCCAAAAAGTCCACCTTTCCTAGGAGACCTCTGCCCTGCTTATCTCATAGCAAGTTGGTTCAAAGTATAGACATTGACTGACATTTCAGTCACTTAATCCTGCTGAACCTCAGCTTCATCATATGTAAAAAAGGATAATAACGTCTGCCGCTAGAGCTGGGAGAAGTACATTAAGTGAAATGGTGCATGTAAAATTCTTAACCCAACACAAAGCACGTAATGACAGCTCCACAAACAGAGCTATTACGACGACTTGCACGACTAGTTCTACTGCTCTGTTGCTGATACCACTACCTGGGAAACAAGACAACCATGTCCAGAAAGAGCCTAGTGGCCATATTTGGACGGTCAAGCTAAGGAGAGATCTGCAGATGTGACAGTAGGCAGGGTGTTTGTGTACCAGAAGCAAGGCATGGGGTATGTACCAATTTAACCACACCTTCTAACCAAGTGTACCCCTTACAGTAGCTTAGGTGGGTAGAAGTTAAGGTGCACAGGGGTGCTGAAACCTGGTGCCAATGTGGTCCAGCAGGGCTGAAAGTGAGACCTTAGCTTCATCATGGACTCCCAGCTGAGGGCACATGCCAAGCCCAGGTGCATGCCCTGGCTTGTTTCTTCCCCATCATTCCCAACGTGAGAAAATACTTGATGACAGAAGTGAGTCTTTCTTATGTTTACTTTCTAGCTACATGCCGGTTGGTATTTTGTTCCTGATTGCCGGGAAGATCATAGAAGTCGAAGACTGGGAAATATTCCGCAAGCTGGGCCTTTATATGGCCACCGTCCTGAGTGGGTATGTCAGACTCGAGGGAAGAAACAGAAACATCATTTGAGCCAATGGATTTCTGCTGAGAGCCTGCGTTTCAGTTGGTTAAAATTGGCTTCTCTCCCACGTGCAGGGAAAGATGGGGTTCAGAGATAAGAGAGCAGCAGGGAGGAGGGCTGCCCTTTAACGGCTGAACTGGAGGTGGATCGCACTGTGCTAATTTCCAGATCTTGGCAGAACAGCCTGGACCATGCTTTGTCACTGCCTTTATTAGTTGTCTTAAAATCATTTCTTAAAACAAAAGAAAAACCCACTGGTGGCGTCTCTTGGTCTGCTCCTGGCCTTAACTTCTTCAAGGATGTAAACCAACCAAACCAATAAGAACAGGCCCCACGTACCCCGAGTCTGAAAGAAATTAGGCAGGGCCTAAATTAAGTCAGACTGGAGCAAGTAGGAGTGGGATGGCTGGTTGGTTCCACTCCTGTTGGTGGGGCTGGTAGGCACAGTCACAGCCTGCATCATTGGAGAGGGTGCTAGGAGAATCTTTAGATTGGTAAGAACTGTGCAAAGCAGGAGGGCAGTAGGAGACAGGTTGTGTGCATATTTATTGTAGCCCACTTATTGGTTCTTGAGGGGAGATGTGGTGGGATAGGTTATGAGTGGTGTGCCCAGATATCTAGTCAGGGGCAGGATACGTCACATGTGCTAAGAAATATGGACCAAGGGAATGACTAAACATCATCAACTTGACTCCCATAGGTCCTTGCCCCCAAACACCCAACTGGAGCAATCAGCTCACCTATTGGAACTCAGATGCACTGGGGACTTTCCACTGTACAGCATTTAGTTCTTAATCTGTGTGTACCAAAAGCATAGCCCTGCTGGTCAATGGAGAAGAAAGCCAGAATCAAATCCCAGGGCCCCAGCAGTAATGGAGGTGGGACCATCCACCTTACTGGAGGCCAGGGGCTGTGTCCAGGTCATGGTGTGGCTGAGGTTTATTATGCTGAGCTATTTCATAGTGGGGTTCTGCTGGTTTCTGCTCTATTGACCTATCTAGGTTTCTAACAGAAAACTAAGTCAGTTTCTCATAGTTCTAAGCCACAGGCTTTCTGTCTATAAGATCCTCTTTCCTGACCTCCAGGATCTGTATTTTCCATGACCATTTCTTATTATTTCAGCTTCACATAACTGATCTGTAAACTCTAAGTTCCCACTTACATGGCATCTGCTAAATCAGTCTCATTTCTTAAGCCTCCTGGCAAGGAATAGTTTGGAAGGTAGGAATGACAAAGAAAAGAGGGTCAGTCCTGAAGTATGACTGTGGAAAAGCAGGGATTACTTCCTCCTTATTGCACCCTGATTCTCCTCTTAGGTGGTGGGTGCCATCCAGCCAGTGGCGTGGCCCAGGCTGAGTGCTGTGATAAGGGCTATAATACTATTGGCCACAGAGTCACCAAGGAGGGAAAGGTCAGCTTGACCTGGGAAGGTGAAGGAAGGCTTCCCAGAGGAGGGGCAAGTTTTGCTGAGTCTTAGAGGAGGAATAAGAATTCAACAGCAGAAGGAAGTGAAAGCACGTTAACACGTATAGCAGGAAGCGCAGGTACAGGGCTCAGCAGCATAACACAACTTGTTCTGTGAGCTCCTAAACATGGGCTCAGCTACTGGCTTTGCCATTAACTTTGACAAGATATTTGATTTGCTGAGTCTCTTCTTCCTCATATGTGCACTGGAGACATATATTATATTCCTGTCCTCTTTTTCATATTCTCATTGGGTCATTATGAAAGTTGAATGATATATCATGAGTAAAACTGCTGTTTGAAAAAAAGAAGTAGTATGAAAAGATGATATCATCTATGAACCTGTTTCTCTCCTGTTTACAGGCTTGCAATCCACTCCATTGTAATTCTCCCACTGATATATTTTCTAATTGTACGAAAGAACCCTTTCCGATTCGCCATGGGAATGGCCCAGGCTCTTCTGACAGCTGTCATGATCTCCTCCAGGTAAATAGAAGAGGGGTGTCTGGAAGAAGTCTGTGAACCAGGCCTTAGCAACTCTCACCTCACCTGATGAAGCACTGGCTGCAGCTGGTGGGTTTTGTAGCTGCCTTTAATTTGAGAAATGACGTCCATAGTCTCTGCCCATGTCCTTAAACATATTCCCTCACCTACTGGATATTTCCTGCCCTCTTGGCAGAGCCTGCAGCCCGGAAGGGGTTATAGTGTAGCTGGGGGCAGTGGCAAGCACAGCGCCTTCTGATTCCTGGACCTGCCAAAAGTGCCATCATGCTTTGAGATCTCGGTTTAGTTTTTGGAACAGAGGTATCTCTTCAGGCAGGGATCGAGGACCAGCATTCCTAGACCATCAGTTCCTTTCTCTTTTATCACACAGTTCAGCAACACTGCCAGTCACTTTCCGCTGTGCTGAAGAGAAGAACCGGGTGGACAAGAGGATCACTAGATTTGTGTTGCCCGTTGGTGCTACAATCAACATGGATGGGACTGCACTCTATGAGGCAGTGGCAGCTGTGTTTATTGCACAGTTGAATGACTTGGACTTGAGCATTGGGCAGATTGTCACTATCAGGTGGGGCATGAAGTCATACTCCTTTTCATCTCTCTTACTGGAATTGCCTCAAGTGAAAATCATCTGTGAAGGGAGATCAAGGATGGTCCAGTGATAGGTTGATTTTCTTGGTCTACAAAGTCCCTTCCCAAGATTAAGCACAACTATATTACAAGTACTGGGATCGTGGTACATAAAACTGCTTCAGGTCTGGATAGCCAAAGGCATCCCTGTGTTCTCAGTCCAGTGCACCCACTAGGTGCTAGGCACAGAGTAGGTACCAAGGACTCAAGGTGGAATAAGGACCAGTCCCTGCTTTCAAGGGGTTCCTGGTAGAACGGTAAGGTACGAAGATATCTAAATAAGTGCTGAGTGGTATGGTAAAGACTATAATAGAGGTCTGAGTTCAGGGGGCACAAAGGGAACTGAAGAAGAAAGGGTTGGCTCTACCTGGGAAGGCGAGGAAAGGCTTCCTAGAAGAAGGGAACGTTTAGCTAAGTCTTAGAAGAGGAATAAGAATTTAGTAGTAGAAGGAAGGAAGCTAAAAGCATTTTGGAAAAAGGAATAGCATTAACAGGGGTCTTGATGTAACTATGGCCTAGTTACAGAGTACAGATTATTTGGTATGGTTGACATAAAGAGTACAATGTGAAGGCAGGGATCATATCCTGAAGGGCTTTGTGTGAGGAGCTCATGGAAGGGTCTAGACAGTCTTTCATATTATGGACAGATTTGCATTTTAGAGAGGTAACTGGTAATATGGTGGATGGCCCCAGTGGGGGCAGGAACCATAAGCTAGAAGACCAGTTAGAAGACTATTGCAAGTAAGGTATGAAAAGGCCTACATTAAGGTACTGACATGGGGGATGGAGAAGAGCTAATGAATTCAAGAGGCATTTACTGGATTCAGAGTGAGGGACAGAGGAAGGCTAAGATGACCCCCAGGATTGGTGGATGGTTCTGGATTGATGGATGGTGCTTACCAGAACAGGGACTAGTATAAGAGAAGCAAGTATAGGTGGGAAGGTAAAGAGATTACACTTTTTGACACATTGAATTTGAAATGCCTTTAAGACGTGCAAGTGGAAATATGTGGTGAGAAATGTGGTCACAACTGCAGATACAGAAGTCAGAGTCATCAGCTTGATGGTGCTCATCAAGCATGTGGGTCGTGAGTCAGTTATGTATGTTTGACCATGATTGGCTGTGACCTTGACCAAGTTACTCGAATTCTCTAAGCTTCTGTTTCTCACCTGTAAAATAAGGATAATAATAGTACCTACATTTTATGCAAGGAGTGATAATTAAGTCAGATGATGCATATAAAATGCTTAGAACAGTGCCTATATCCTGAGCACTCAGTAAATGTTGGGAATGGATGACATTACGTAGGGAGAGTTTGTAGAGAAGAGAGAAAGACGAAGGACTGAGCCCTAGAAAAGCCTAATATTAGAGGCAGGCAGAAAGGGGGAAACCCAACAGGAGAATGAGGAGGAATAGAAAGGTGGTAAGAGAGCCATGAAACCGTGGTGTCATGGAAACCCAGAGAAGAGAGATTTTCAAGTATGAAATGGTCAACAGAGTAAAATCTTGCAGAGAATTGTAGTCAAATGAAGACTGAAATTGTCTGCTCAAGTAGATGGTGAAAATGTCAGCAAATTTTTTTAAAATTTATTTATTTATGGCTGCGTTGGGTCTTCGTTGCTGCACGCAGGCTTTCTCTAGTTGCGGCAAGTGGAGGCTACTCTTCGTTGTGGTGCACGGGCTTCTCATTGCAGTGGCTTCTCTTGTTGCGGAGCACAGGCTCTAGGTGTGTGGGCTTCAGTAGTTGTGGCGCGTGGGCTCAGTAGTTGTGGTGCACAGGCTTAGTTGCTCCACAGCATGTGGGATCTTCCTGGACCAGGGCTCGAACCCGTGTCCCCTGCATTGGCAGGCGGATTCTTAACCACTGCGCCACCAGGGAAGTCCTCATTAGTGAGCTTTGCCAGAGATGTTTCTCTGGAATAGCACTGTTCAATATCATAGCCATTAGCCACACACACAAATTGGACAAAGCAGACAGCGAAGGTTCTGTCACTGTAGAAATAGGTGCCATCATAGTGGAAAACTCTACTGGACAGTGCTGCTTTGAAGTAGTGGGTTGGGATTAGAGTTAATCCTGAGACTTCAGTTTAGAGTAGAAGTTTAAGACTAAACCGGGTCCCTAGGCCTACACACAGTTGAATCCGAACCTTTCAGAGCTAATTCACTCTTGCATCCTCAGCACTTGACATAGGCATAAATCCCAGGCATAAAGTAAGTTCTTGCAGCATTCTAATGCAGTAAATTTTTAAATCTTCCCAACCCTAAATCATAAAGTATGTACTGCAGTTTGCTTGAAATTAACTGAAGACAAGTACAAACTAGACCATTTGGCACATCAGCCAGGAAGCTATACCAGTGCCTCCTGATCTGTAAAATGTATTAGTGGCTAAGGAAGCTAGACCCCGAGGAGCATGGGTAAAATTCTGTAATTTGAGTAGCAGTGAGTATGTTAAAAGTGAAACCCTGAATCATGCCTGAGAAAGTTCCAGAACCACTGTGGTTCCAGCAGTTGTTACTTTTACTTCTCCAAGTGCCTTTTCCCACCTCCCTCACCACAGCCTGTGGAACCCAGTCTGTGCTTAACTTATTTCCAAGGAGTGGTTGTATGAGGTGCCAGTTCTTTTGGGTATTTGCCATTTGGGGGATGAATTCCCTTCCTCTGCCTCAGTCATAAGTTTCCTAGATCTTTCTAACCCTTTTTTTTTTTTTTTTTTTTAACCTCACTGCTAGAGAAATAAGCTTTGGGCCTAGAGACTAAATAATCAATTCACATGAAAAACCTCTCTCCCTGCTCTGGTGTATTCTTTTTTTTTTTTTTTTTTTAATTTATTTATTTTGGCTGCGTTGGGTCTTCGTGGCCACACGCGGGCTTTCTCTGGTTGCGGCGAGCGGGGGCTACTCTTCGTTGTGCTGCACAGGCTTCTCATTGCAGTGGCTTCTCTTGTTTCAGAGCATGGGCTCCAGAATGCGGGCTCAGTAGTTGTGGCACACAGGCTTAGTTGCTCCGTGGCATGTGGGATCTTCCTGGACCAGGGCTCAAACCCGTGTCCCCCGCATTGGCAGGTGGATTCTTAACCACTGTGCCACCAAGGAAGCCCCTCTGGTGTATTCTTAAATCATACTTGCTGATAACTACTGGCCCAGAGCAAATAACAACTGTGAGGCCCAGAGTAATCATTGACTTAAAAAATCCTCTGGCTCTACCTGGGAGAGAATCAATAAGTGTTTTTTGTTTTTTTTTTCAATTTTACAAGTTACAGTTGTGGCTCATGTGGTTGATGGTTACAGAGATTTTTGGATCCATAGTTTATCTCTTTCTATGGTCCTTTTGGACTGGACATCAAAGAAACCATCCACCTAAAACATTCCCTTTCGTGGTTTTATCAAAATATTCACTTGATCAAAGGTTACAACTGATTGAAAATGGGATAAAGTTTCTTATAACAAAAGATAATTATGGGATTTGGGGCCTAGAAAGAGCTTAGAGGGAAAAAGTAGCAGCAGTAGTAATAGTAGATGTTTTTATGATAATTTTAATAGTAATACTAGCAGCAGTAGTAGTTGTAACAGCTGCTGACGTAGCAAAATGGCATCAGTTTTAAGCATCTACTACATCCAGGTGCTATACTTGATGCCTTACAAATAATACCTCATCTAATCTTAACAGCAGCCCTGCAAAGTAGACATATTCTCCCCATCTTACAGGCAAGAAATTGAGACTCAGAGAAGTAACTTGCCTAAGGACACACCGTTAGTAAAACGGCAGAGCTGGATCTGTCTGCCTCTAAAACCTGTGCTCACTCTAGCTCATGACTCAGTCCCCAACCTGTATGGAGAGCTGAGTTTTAAATGGCCTGACCTAAAACTAGATCTCAGTGCTAGGAAAGAACTTTCTACCAATGATTATTGTGTTTTCTTCTGTGAAACCCTCTTAAGTCAAAGTGGGGTATGTTCAAGAAGAAGTAGTTTTTTTATATTTTTACCCCCATCTGAAGATTTATAGTTCCAAGTTTCAGACCTAAGCCAGGCAAATGGCTGAAGTTTAATCAGCAAGGTCAAGGCTCAAGGGCAGAGTTTTCTTTGACTAAATGGATTTTGAGTTTCAAGCCCAGCCTCAATCCATAGGGACATGGTTAACCGTCATGTGTTGGGTCTTCCAAGAGGGATCAGTGGGTATGGACACAAATCACTTCTGACAAAGAAAACCCACTGATGCATTCACTTTAAATGTTTTCGACCACCACTGACATAAACTTAGGTTTTCCAAAGACTACTTAAGTCAGAACAGATCTAAAGGATTATGCAAGCCTGAAACTTTTAGAGGAATTGGGACAGCCCCAGAAATCTCTAATTTACTGTAAGTTGGTGGTCACAGCCACTGAAGGAAACCACACTTGTCAAAGAACTCGGCCTGTGTTTGACCGTGCCCTCAGACACCACCTGTGACACATCACTAGGCAGATGAATGAACAGTAGAACCAGCTTGGTGAGAACTCTGAGGCTTTTTTAGCCCACACAGTATGGATTTGTAGATAGAATCAGGGATTCTTCTAGTTTAAATTGACAGTGTCTCCATCTTCAGCTTTAAATCCAATGGCATCCTTGGCCCAAGGATGAGAAGGTGTATCCAGAAAATATAGGGGTCCCCTCAAGCTCATTCAAATCCAGGGACATTTCAGGGCAGGGCAAACCCTTGTTTACTCCAAAATGACCAGATTTAAATCAGGAAGATGTTGCTGATGAAAAACTGCACATTCCAAAGAGAAAAATCCCTAGTGCCACATTTGATCTGCGCAAGAGGGATCTTTTTAAATACAAGGTAGCGAAGTTCATTTGGCTGCCTCTCCTGGATTCCAGATCTTTCTTCCTTTTGCACAAAGTGCATCCACTGGTAAAAAGGAGCAGTCGGGAATAAACACTTGTACCTTGGACAGGAGTCACAGCTATTTCTCAACTCAGTGCCCTAAAGGGCAGCTCCCAGACAGGTCAAGAGACTTGTGATGTAAAAGAAAGTACATTGAAACCTGTTTAGCCAGTGCCTCATTCCTTTGCCTTCACCTGGAATACCCTTGCCCATCCACCCCCATCCCCACCCCTTCACCATCCTTCAAGGCAGTGTAAATTCCTGGCACACATTAGATGCTCAATGAATGATTGCCTGGGTGAATAGATGGAGGAAGGGAGGAAGAAAGCAGGTGGAGAGGTACTTGGCACCTGTTTAGGATGGATGGCTACATGGATGGGTGGATAAAGCCCTCCATTAACACCTCGGTTGGTAAACTCTTGCCTTCCTGTTAAGTGTCTCTCTAGCTCATTTTTTGTGTGCCACTCACGCAGTTCCTCTCCACTTCCTCATGTTAGAATGACTTGCTATATCTCCCCCCTGGAAAAAGATCATGCTCTTCTCAGTCTTCCACAGCTGTCCAATGAGGCAGAGCTTGTGCCCAGCAGAGAACAGATTCTGACTGGCCAGTCTAGGGACAGAGCAGTAACAGCCAACAGGACTAACCGTTTTGGACCAGGGCCCTTGAAGGGAGAAATGGGTGTCTGACTCCTTTTGTGTTGGTGTGTTTTGTCTACAGTGTCACGGCCACAGCCGCCAGCATCGGAGCTGCCGGTGTGCCCCAGGCCGGCCTGGTGACCATGGTGATCGTGCTGAGTGCCGTGGGGCTGCCCGCTGAGGATGTCACCCTCATCATCGCTGTCGACTGGCTCCTGTGAGTTGGGATAAACGCACTGCCTCTGGCGGATGAGAAGGCAGGCTTCCCAGCCATGGATAATCTGCAGTCTGTCATCATTCTCCCCTCAGATTGCCTAATGAGCCATCTGTTGCTGCTTTAATTTCCCTCTGACCAGGCCATCTGATAACATGCTTAAAAACTAACTCCTCATAACTGCAAGCAGTGATTTTATAAAGCTTGTGATCTCCATTAATTCATTATACCTGGTAATGCTCAAGGTTAGGAGCTGGGTGTGGGATGAGATAAACATAAAATAATAAGGTGAAGAAGCTGGGCAAGGCCCCAGACATTCCAAACCCAATAGGCCACCCTAGCCTATCCCAGCATCATAGGTTCAGAACCACCTGGTTCAACGTCAGCCTACCTTCCCAAGATCGTCAGCACCATCAGGGCAGTAGCACAAGCAAAGGCTTTGGGATAAGACTAATTTGGATTTGAATCCTGGTTCAGTGTCTTACTGGCTCTTTGACCTTGAGCAAGTTCCTTAACCTCTCTGGGGGCCAGCTGCATTACCTATGAGATGGGAAAGATTCTGTCTAGTTCATGGGGTTGGTATAAGGACTGAGTGAGCTAAAATGAGAGGAGTGTCCAGAACAGTGTCTGGCTGGCAGTATATGCTCAATTAACAGCAAGTTTAATTGTTATGATTAGAATGAGTTGGACCATTCAGGCCTGAACCAACAATTCATTCTCTCTCTAACAACAGACACACACATGCACACACCTACCTAAGGAACAGAGCAGAACATCTGGGTAAGAACATGCCTTTTGTGACCCCCAAGGTTAAAGTTAGAATGAGCCTGGTTCCTGGCTTTAACCTTGATACCCACTCTGTGCAGTGGTCTTCCAGCATCTGGGTGTGGCTCTGTCCCCTGGCCATCAGAGGAGAGTTTGCTCCATATTGAGCCTTCACTCAGAACCAGCCAGCTTTACTGGGGAGTACAGTGCTATGTAGTTTGCAAGTAGCAGCTGAAATAGTAGAAAGGGAAGCAGAAACATTCCATGTGGCTTTGAAGATACCGTCACATCCCAGAAGGCAGAACCTTCTGCACTTGGGAAGCTGCTATGGGGCCCCCTCAGCAGCTAGCTGATTCTTCAAGGCCCAACTGAGGTGGCACCTTTCTTGCCAAGATACCCTACCATTGAGGCAGGTGCTTCAATTTTTCTTTCTAGTGGTGATGGTGGATTTGCACTTCTCTCCTTTCCCTGGTTCTTCCTGAAACACAAGTGACCTTCACTTCCAAGACATCCAGAGAAGTCAAAGGCCTGACCTGCTCCACGGACAAGAAGACACTAGCTGGTCCACACCAGGGTCTAGTTCAATCCATGTTCTAAATAGCAGGAGGGCACCCAGAATGGACGTGTGTAGGCACGTGCGTAAGCGTTTTCTGTCCTGCAGGTGTAGCTTTCACAGTATTCATGTACACATTTCCTAGCAACAGTGCTCCAGCATCCAGGATGCCTCCTTCACCTACTCGGCTTCCTGCCACCAGCCTCTCCTCTGGGCTGTCTGGGGGGTACCACTGGCTGAGAGTGCCACAAGGAGTAAGCTATTCCCAGGCTGGCTGGGGTTTCTGACCCTATGCTCAGTGGTGTCCCTGTTGGCTTGCTCATGGAGTGACCCTGTGTGAGAAAGAAAGGAGCACACCGGGGACACACACACCACCCACAAAACATCCAAGTTCTCTCATCTTAGCCAAAAGAAGGCTCAGAAATGCCCATAAGAAAGAGGTTGGGTGAAAGACTAATGAATCCTGACCCTCCCTCAGCTCCCCCCAAATATCTGTGAAGACGGTGTTCACATTTCTTTGGGAGGAGAGGAGGGAATTTAGGGAGCTCAGTGCTGAATTCAGGAGATTCACTGTGACTGACGGGGACCCAGGGCAGCCTGTATGCTCATTCTGTGCCTTTACAAACCACCTCTGGCCCAGGCCTGTGAAGTGGAGAGCCTCTGGTCAGCCAGCCCTGGGGACAGCACTTTGTGCTTTGCTTAATTTGTAACTGAATTCCTTGGGTCCTTTCCCGTCTCCAACTTGAAGGAAAATGAAATCCGGGCCTTCTGTCTGACTCCCTCTGTCCTCCCCAGGGATCGGTTCAGGACCATGGTGAATGTCCTCGGCGATGCATTCGGGACTGGCATCGTGGAGAAGCTCTCTAAGAAGGAGCTGGAGCAGATGGATGTTTCATCTGAAGTCAACATCGTGAACCCCTTTGCCTTGGAATCCACGACACTCGACAATGAAGACTTGGACACCAAGAAGTCCTATGTCAACGGAGGCTTTGCCGTCGACAAGTCCGACACCATCTCATTCACCCAGACCTCACAGTTCTAGGGCCGTGGCTTTGGAAAACTGGGAGTGGTGAAGGACCTCTCCAGGAGAGTCATCTCTTAGCAAATTCAAACATTAAGTAAGGAAAAGAAAAACACTAACAGCCAACTGTACATTTGATTTGATATACAGACCTCTGGATTATTTTCTATATTTGGATTCACAGCTTTTGCTCTCCGAGTTCTGGGATTTGGGGGTGGGGTAAGATGAGAGAAAATTGATTGAAAGGAAAGCTGTATTACCTGGAATTTTTAAATCCTGTGGGAGACAGAGTTAGGAAGTGTTTAAAGTAGTAACTGTTTTAATTAGGTAATATCAATAGATGTGAAAGAGAAACTGCTTTCTCATGCACAGACGAGTGTTTTGGGTTTTTAAAAAAGATATTCTGTCATTACTCAGGCTTTATTGCCATGGATTTCCTTTGACCTCTCACATTTTTATAGATTATAATGCATCTAAACACCCCGCCCCCCCGCAAGTTAATGTGCCAAATTGTCCATTTTGAACTCATCTCCGGCCAATTTCAAAGAAACTACTCTGAAAGAAAACAGACCAGCACGGTTCTGCAGTAACAGTTTTAAGATGTATGTGAGGTCTGGGGAGAAGAGAGAAGGGTTCTTTTTTTCAATGTACTGTATTGGGACGCTGGTAACTATTAATCCAGTGTTCAGTATAGAGCTAGATATATATATATATATATAAATATGTATATATTTATTATTTTCATATAGTTTGCCAGACAGAGATCACAATTGAACTGTCAACGTGAAATACAGAGCTCTCCTTGTACTTGAATAATAACTACAATTTCAATCCAGATATGCTTTGGGGCTTAATCAGAACCGCTCTCTCATAAGCATAAGAATGAGAAATCATGTTGTTTGATCGTTTCATGTTTGTGTATCAGCCCCAAAGCAGAGATGTTATTCTGGTGATACTCTGAGGTGGCACGGCCCACTCATTTACAACTTCCAGATTCTACTTCTGGGAGGGAATCCATATCAGCTCTATATAAGACTATATACAAAGTTGTCACTCATATAAGGCTGGATGTGTTTTTATCCAACTGGATGTGTTTAATATAATAATTATATTATCCAACTATAATTCTTCCAAAGTCAATTATACCTGCTTAAAAAGACAGTACTTTGCCCTTTCCTACCCACCAGGCCCAAACAACAATGGCAAGCTACCAGCTAAGTTGTATTTTAATATGGGTTTGATGGACTGAACAAGCCACATTGGCCAGAAAAGCACTGTCCCTACCCTAGATTCTTGCAGAGTAAATCCCACAACATGAGACATTGGTATCAGTGGTTCAGGGAAATTCTTCCGTTGTATGAAACTTGTGTCCTCCTCCAGGGAAGTTTGTTCTAACTAACTAGTAGTCTAGTAATCTTGGCCCCTGCTCATTAAAATCCGTTGCCTGTCATTCTTCTGCTCATTTGTGAAGACAGCGTATTGAAGTCTGTGCTCGGCTCTCATCTTGTAAATAATGCTTACCATATACTTGTGTTTACACTGAGATCCAAAATAGTCCTGTTTCTGCAGTATTGCGTAGCCAATTTAAGCCTGTGCTTTTATATTTAAGAAACCAGAAACTGTGCCAAAGATCATGGAATAGTAAAACAAAATGCTCAGTATTGACCACCTGCACCTGAAATCTACAAGAGGATGATACCAAATGGTCATGTACACATAAATTATGGACCCATGATTCAATGTGAATTTTAACATGCAAATATTGTGGTGTTGTTTAGGAAGTAAATATAAATACAGTTGAATCAGTAATTTATCTTGGGCTGAATGGTTCTACCCCCTTGGCAGCCTGCTTTGATTTGAGACACTGGAGTTGACAGAGCCATTCGTGAACTGCAGGTCATCCTTATTTTGGAGTGAGTTTGTAACCAGCCTCTTAACACACTGTGCTGTTAACTCATAAAAGAGAACAATGTTCCATTTCAGTCTCAATAAACATTTCCATCATTCTTTCTTCTCTGCCTTTTCCTTCCCTAATCTGTTCTTTTATCTCACGAACTCTGATGGGTGTGGGAAGGGAGAGACCTGGTCAGTTGATAGTCACACGTGAAACATCTCATTGCCCTAGTAATTCCAGAGACTGCAGGAGGCACAGGTTGTATCTTACACTCCTTAGCATATCTCGTCCCATACCCCCCAGGGCACATTACAATACTGAGCATGTAGTATTACTAAAAACAAACATATCTCATTGTAGTTTTGATTTGCATTTCTCTAATGATTAATGATGTTGAGCATTCTCTCATGTGCTTGTTGGCAATCTGTATATCTTCTTTGGAGAAATGTCTTTTTAGGTCTTCTGCCCATTTTTGGATTGGGTCGTTTGTTTTTTTCATATTGAGCTGCATGAGCTGCTTGTAAATTTTGGAGATTAATCCTTTGTCAGTTGCTTCGTTTGCAAATATTTTCTCCCATTCTGAGGGTTGTCTTTTCGTCTTGTTTATGTTTTCCTTTGCTGTGCAAAAGCTTTTAAGTTTCATTAGGTACCATTTGTTTATTTTTATTTCCATTTCTCTAGGAGGTGGGTCAAAAAGGATCTTGTTGTGATTTATGTCATAGAGTGTTCTGCCTATGTTTTCCTCTAAGAGTTTGATGGTGTCTGGCCTTACATTTAGGTCTTTAATCCATTTTGAGTTTATTTTTGTGTATGGTGTTAGGGAGTGTTCTAATTTCATTCTTTTACATGTAGCTGTCCAGTTTTCCCAGCACCACTTATTGAAGAGGCTGTCTTTTCTCCACTGTATATTTCTGCCTCCTTTATCAAAGATAAGGTGACCATATGTGTGTGGGTTTATCTCTGGGCTTTCTGTCCTGTTCCATGATCTATATTTCTGTTTTTGTGCCAGTACCATACTGTCTTGATTATTGTAGCTTTGTAGTATAGTCTGAAGTCCAGGAGCCTGATTCCTCCAGCTGTTTTTTTTTCTCACACCAGTCAGAATGACCATCATCAAAAAATCTACAAACAATAAAGGCTGGAGAGGGTGTGGAGAAAAGGGAACCCTCTTGCACTGTTGGTGGGAATGTAAATTGATACAGCCACTATGGAGAACAGTATGCACGTTCCTTAAAAAACTAAAAATAGAACTACCATATGACCCAGCAATCCCACTACTGGGCATATACCCTGAGAAAACCATAATTCAAAAAGAGTCATGTACCAAAATGTTCAGTGCAGCTCTATTTACAATAGCCAGGACATGGAAGCAACCTAAGTGTCCATCGACAGATGAATGGATAAAGAAGATGTGGCACATATATACAATGGAATATTACCCAGCCATAAAAAGAAACGAAATTGAGTTATTTGTAGTGAGGTGGATGGACCTAGAATCTGTCATACAGAGTGATGTAAGTCAGAAAGAGAAAAAACAAATACCATATGCTAACACATATATACGGAATCTTAAAAAAAAAAAAAAAGTCATGAAGAACCTAGGGGCAAGACAGGAATAAAGATGCAGACCTACTGGAGAATGGACTTGAGGAGGATACGGGGAGGGGGAAGGGTAAGCTGGGACAAAGTGAGAGAGTGGCATGGACATATATACACTACCAAATGTAAAATAGCTAGCTAGTGGGAAGCAGCCACATAGCACCGGGAGATCAGCTCAGTGCTTTGTGACCATCTAGAGGGGTGGGATAGGGAGGGTGGGAGGGAGGAAGCTGCAAGAGGGAAGAGACATGGAGACATATGTATAACTGATTCACTTTGTTATAAAGCAGAAACTAACACACCATTGTAAAGCAGTTATACTCCAATAAAGATGTTAAAAAAAAAAAACAGTGATTGCACGCAAGGCTACAGAACCAGTTCAGTTAATCGTCAGGGCTGGGACCATATGACTCAATGAACAAAGGATGTCATCATTCGCCATGTTGAACTCCCCTCATGCAAGGACAAACGAGCTTTCACGACAAGGAGTTCTCACCATGAATCCAGCACTTCCAGCAATGACACCTATTACAGTCTTTCCTAGAAGTCGTCCCACTAAAATAGGTGTGATATTTACCTCAGTTCAAGATATCAATCTAAATAAGTGCCAGTTCCTGGAGGAAAAGGAACAGGGATGTTGATTTTGGGGTGGGGGAAGGGGGGGTGGTTTCCTAAAAATGCTGTTTACAAACATAATATTCCAATGACAGGAAATGAGAGCAGAAAGCATCTCTTGTTGGCCTAAGCAAGAAGTGGTTAACCTCGTCCCAACTCCTGTCAAGAGACCTTAGTTGCCCTGTCACTTTACTGAAGGACTCTGAATTCATTTTTTTCAAACCCTTGAGGTTGAATCATCCAGCATGCACCAGACTCAGGGACAATCAAGTGACAACCAAGGGGTGGCAGAAAGTAGCAGAAAGGTCATGAGGTTTGGAGACAGGACAGACCAGGGTTTGGAAATTGGCTCGGACACTCAGCTTTTCTGAGCCTAAGTGTCCTCAGCAAAAAAAAAAGGGGGGGAGATGGGGGGAGGGGAATGCTTTCCTCAATAATTAAATGAGATGTGCATAATAACAGCTAACACTTACTGAGTGCTTGTTTTGTGCCAGGCACTGATTTGAAGGGCTTTAAATGCATTAATTCATTTGCTTATGACAACAACATTATGAAATAGATGGTACCATTGACTCCATCTCACATAGATGGACACTGAGGCACAAAAAAAGGTTACGTTATTTGCTCAAGTCACTCAGCCAGTAAATGGTAAAACCAGGATTCAAATCCAGGTGCTCTCACTCCAGGGCCCTCAACCTTAACACCGCCTACTAATGCCCTTGGGAAGCACCTGATACAGCACCTGGCAAACTGAGGCAGTAAATACAGGAATAAAAGAGAGAAAAAGAGGGGGCAGGAAGAAGGAAAAAGACCTTTACTCCATTTCTCTCCTGGGATTCCAGGTCTCCCAAAGTTAGTTGGTAAGGTCTTTAAAAGACTGTAGCTTGGGGCTTCCCTGGTGGCACAGTGGTTGAGAGTCCGCCTGCCGATGCAGGGGACGCGGGTTCGTGCCCCGGTCCGGGAAGATCCCACATGCCGCGGAGCGGCTGGGCCCGTGAGCCATGGCCGCTGAGCCTGTGCGTCTGGAGCCTGGGCTCCACAGCGGGAGAGGCCACGATGGTGAGAGGCCCGCATACCGCAAACAAAACAAAACAAAACAGACTGTAGCTCTCCCAAGTCCCTGGACGTTGCCCTTGTCCTGGCCTCCTCTGTGGAAGGACCTAGAATAAACTACTCCACACCCCCACCCAGGCTGAGCAAGACATGCAGTGACATACCTTGGCTGAGCCAAAAGCAGATCCAGCCAGTCAAAAACCAAAGACCCATCACATATGTTTCAGCTCTCCTACCTTACAGCAAACTCCGCCCTGCCAGAGGTCTCCCTTCTTCCTCTTCATTTGAAAATCCTAATCCTGGTACCTGAGCCGCCTAGCAGCCCCCAGTTCCCCACACCGTCTCTGGGCAGGCATGGTGGCCCTCAGTGCTGCCATCTCAGAGCTCCTGGAATTGAGATGACACACAAAACAAACCCTGCCACAGAATATGCTGTATTCCTTCTGCCCACAGCGTCTTGGAGAGGCAAAGCTGTGGTCACCACAGAGAGCAAATAAATGAGCCCTGGCAGGTGATTCTCATGGTGAATGATGAGGAGGGTTGATATTATACTATAGGCTACAGGGTACTTTTAAAATAAGATAAGAGAAAGAAAAGTACATAAATATACATTTATGAATATAAAAATATACTTACGGGGGTGCTGCAGGATCACTCTAAAAATACAGAAGCCCAAGGGGGAAATTTCGGACTGCTGAAGAAGCTCCGACAAGCCAGCCATCCATTTGCACCAGGGTAAAGCGCCTGTCCTAGGCATGACCCTGCTTTTGCCAAATTTCCTAGTTCTGAAGGTGAAACCAAGCACAGGCTCTTTCCTCTGACGATCGAAGTAACTACTGCTTCCCCTAGGCCCCATGTGGAGGGGCCGGGGGAGCAGACCAGGGAGCAGTAAGATTGCAGCTCCGCTCACTGTCAGCAGGGTTCCCACTCCATGGGAAGAGGGGACGGAGTTATCTCCAAGACCTGCACATCCCCCAGGAGTGCTGGGATGGGCCCCCTATTCAGGGAAGGACAGCAGTCCCGTCAGGCAGTACTAGCAGGTTCACTGGTCACACACGGACTAGAGAGCACGTCCTTTCCTCCGGCTGCCCTCAGAGAGGTCAGAGGGCTCCTTTAATGGAACTAATCAAGAACAGCCATGACTATTAGTAAGAGCGGCCAGGCATTCAGGGGCTAGGTGAACTTGCATACATAATCCATCAGTCCTCCCCAATTATGCATTTAAAACCGACCAACTTCTCTTATGTTAAACATATTATGTACACTCTCATTTTTAAAATCTTATTTATAATTCAGGGTCTATAGGCTTCAGCTAACTTTGCGTCAGTCAGGTGACAATAGGGTAATGGTCTTACTGTATGGTGGCTTTTGCTTGGAGGGCCCAGGCTCCACCAAGGAGATTTTCCCAGGAGCCTCTGTAAACCCAGACCCTGTAAAATACATTTGTAAAATACGGTCCAGGCTTTGATAGATCTGCTGCTGTGAAAGTCAAGAAAACAGTAATAAACTGAAGCAAGACAGGTGGGGATATTTATTACATTTAATGACACAGATCTTCCCAAAGTAATCCCCAATAAGTCACAAAATTATTCACATTTTTATATATTCCAAAAGCAAAATCCTGCTGCAATCCTGGCCCCAATGTAAGTCCTCAAAACTGAAATAACTCCTTGAGAAATATAAAGATAAAATAGGAATAACTTAAACAATAGAGTTAGCAGATCAGAAAGTGAGCAAAAGGCAGATTGATTGGTGAAAGAAAAAAAAAAGACTTTAAATAAGAATGGGCATTTAAGATCTTATCCCTAAATTGAATTAAGGAGTTATGCTCAAACCGTAAAAAAAGAAAAAAAGGACAATGAGTGTCACAGTGGGTATCTGAACAATAACTGCCACCGGATACCAATTCATTAGAACTGATTTCCTTCAGCTGCTTATATCCTTCCTAAGTGGCCCTTTTCTGAGAACTCTACCATAGTCTTAATGTAATACAGTATTTTTTATTATTGATGACTACTTAGACCTCAAAATAACAAACTGACAACTATAGTTTCAGACACACTGAGAACATACAAGCAGGTGTAATTTAAGCATATCGTCTGTCTTTCAAAGGTGGAATGCTTGTTGTGATATATACCTTTATTAGGCTGAAATTCTGAGAAGGGGATAAATGAATTTTGTTTTATTTTGGCTTTTGGACTTTTTTTCTCCTTTAATTTTAAATTTCGTTTTCTTAATTTACCTAATGAACCAATTCCTGTGGTAATAATGAGAAAAGGAAACTTGACTCTCACTGAATCTTGTAAAAACTGAAAGGGTTTTAGGGCATGGTAGAGGAAAATGCTCAGGATATAGCATGAAGGAAAGACAAAGGTTGCCGTTTTCAAGCCCTCTCTTCTCTGGGTCTGTAGACCCATGAAGACAAATGTCCACTTCAATCCACCCCCATCCTCTTCTTGTTCCTCAAACTGGGTAAGCATTTCATGAAGGCACCCTTCTACTAATTTTAAATCTGGTTTTGACAGTCATTTCTGCCAAACTTAGTGTAGTTATTTCAGAAAAATATTTGAAGGTTTTCTTCCTCATATAAATTTATTTAAGAATTGTTGGAAAAAAGGAGGGGTAGGTGACAGAAGGAGTGGTTTAAACAACAAACAAAAGAAATTAGCCTCCTCTTACAAATGTAGCATAGAAATTAAACCTTTAAAGCAAGACCTGAATTCTCCAGAAGTAATGCTCCCTCTTCCTAGGTTTTCAGTTGATATCATGTAAATCAAGCCTAACACTAAAAAGCAAACAAACAACCACAAAAAAACAGATTTACCAAAAATGGAAAATCAGGGTGACAGTCTTTTTCTAGAGGATATATCAGTTTATTCCTCTAGATAGCAGCTTCCTCGAGCTCATGGAAAATGTAAGAGGAAAGGGAAGGAACAGGAAGGGACAGGAAGGAACGGGAAGGAAAAGGAAGGGAAGGGAAGGGAAATAGGTAGAGGTGGGGGAGGCGTGAGGACAAGCGGGAAGGAGGAAAAAATGAGGAAGGAGGGAAAGAAAAGAACTTTTCAAGAACACATCCACTGCCAAAAATGAGGAACACCTGAAAAGGCATCTTGACACCTTCTCATCAGAATTTTAAGAAGCACTTTCCAAATGAAAAAGCACCGGCCACCCAACTATTATTTTCGTTTTCAAGCTCAAAACAAGCATACAAACAAACTAAAACACAAATTTTCCAGCTTGACAAGAAAACTTGAGCCCCAAACAGCAGACACTTTAATCAATGACTCTTACCTGGGTACAAAAGACTGGGTGGGTACAGGTTTGAGTTAATGGGGGTTAGACACTGGTGCTTTGATACACAGAACAAAAACTGTTGTTCAGTTGGCTTGATGAGTGAGCTCTTCATGATGCTCCTCCAGCTTTCATTCAGTCTCCCCTGTGAAATGTGAAGACACTTCATACACTACATGTGGTACTGAGAAAAAGGCCATCAATAAACACAACCAAGGAGAAGATGGTTTCCCTCTATCCAAATCTTGGCATGTAGCTCTACGTGTAGGAAGGAGGCAATGTTAGGTTAGCAAAACAAACACCTGTGTGACCTTGGGCAAGTTACCTGGCCTCTTTGTATACTATCAGGATGATGACAAGCAAAGTATCTACCTCTTAGTGTTACTCTGAGGAGCTAGTACAGTCCTTGGCACATAGTAAATGTGCAGAAACTGCTAGGTGTTATTGAGCTGAACTGTTAAACATGCCCAAATCAATTCTATTCCATGGAACAATTATTTTTGAGAGTGGAGGGGGTCAGTATAGGATTGGGGGGTGTTCTGAGTCCCCCATTCTCAAGACATTTGCAGCCTACTGCAGAGATTCTCGGTGCTAAATGTGCATTAGAATCTCCTGAAGAACCTTTATAGAAATACTGATGCCAGGCACCACCCACAGAGATTCCAATTAAGTTGGTCCAGAGTGTGACCTGGGCATCAGTATTTTTCAGCACCCCCAGGTGATTCTAATGCTCATTGAGGATTGCTGACCCAGGAATTTGCCATGTGATTTGGGTGTATGGCCACTGCCTGTGCGGTCTGTCTGTTAGACTCTGACAGGACCAGGAGCCCCTGGGATGAAGGGAGGTGTGTCATTATCCATGTGTCAATCACCACAAACCATCAAATGACAAATCCCTCCGAAGCTGGTGAGCAAATCAGAGAGGGAGAGCCTCGAGGTTGGAGCTTGGCATCTGTAGGCTGGTTTGCTTTTTGCTTTGGTTGTAAGGGAGGTGAAGGCGCCCCGTGGGAGGAAGTAAAATGGCTCCTGCCTGCCCAGCAGAGATGGTAAGGTTGGAAGCCGTAGCAGCCCCTCCCTTTGGAGCTGGAGGCCTAAGGAGCTATGACAGAATCAGAAACCAGCATTTTAATTCACTGTTGTCCTTTTTCTTTCCTTTTCTTGGTTTATTTCCTTTTTGCTATTCTTTAATTTTAGAAAAGTTTTTGTGCTACATTTCTTGTCTGTGTCTGAGGACGTCTGGGCCTGGGTTCTTTGCCCTCCCTCAAGTTGGGAGCATTACAAGTGGACCAGGTCCCGCAGCAGGCTGGCCATGGCGGCGGCAGCTGGGATCATGGGAGCTGCTCACAGGGATGGGAGGGTCGGTGGGCCAGAGCTGGTTCCATCTGCTCAGTCTCCCATCCCTTTGCAGAAACCTCCCTCCAGTCCTCTGCCCTCTTCTTGGGAGAGTTTTCATAAGGAAAACCAACTACAATACAAGTCTGAAGGAATGAAGTCCTTAGTGGAGGCACGTGGAGGGGCAGAAGGCAGAGGGCCTAAGTCTGCCTGAGGGACCAGCAGGTTTCACAGAGGAGGCGTTGTAAGCCCAACCTTGAAAGTGGAATCTCAGTGAGCACACACCAGACGTGGGCAATCAGCTCTTGATAAGGACGGTGACACCGAGGCAATCACACCTCACAGGAGAACTAGGGATAACGGGTGTGTGCGTGTGTGTGTGTGTGTGTGTGCACGCTTATGGGACTTTTTTAATGGTAAAATTCATATAACCTAAAATTCACCATCTTAAAGTATACAAAGGATCATCTGTTTTACACCAAAAGTATCAAGGCCCAAACCATCCTGAGTAAGGAGAAACAGGTGTATTCCAACCCCTTCGACCCATCTCTTCCACACATTCCCTGGTCAGACAATTGGACTCATTGTTTCTGGTCCAAGCATCCCTAACTTAATCCCTAAGTGCTAAGAATCTACTTTTTCATTTCCCCTGAATCTTGAGGTCACCAGGAAACCAGGAGAGGGAAAGATGATGAACAGTGAAAGAGCAGAAGTGCAGAAGGGAAGGACAAGCGCTGGTGCTGTAAGCAGGAGAGTCCTTGAGAAAAGCAGGGCAGGGGACATGGAGTGGAAACTCACTGGGTCTTCTGCCGAATGCTCCTCTCTGTTGCTGTCTACCCAGGCCATAGGCATAACAGTCCCATTTTAGCTGCTTGACCTTGCTTGTTTGGATCTTCCCTGGATTCACTGAGACAGCTTCATTCTACTAAATGCCCTGTTTGCTTAAGATGAGTCAAAGTCACCTGGGTTCTTTACAACCATGAAAACTTTCACTGACAGTCCTCCAGGACCCCTGCCTCACCAGGAATCCATGACCCAAATTGGGACAGGAAGAGAATGGTATGGAGAGCTTTCATAGAAGGCCTATGAGCATATTCCAAACCACTGAGTGGGAACTCATGTTACAAAGGAAAGCTATTTACTAAGACGGAATTTTTTTTCTTACCTTCTCTCTATCTCCTCACGTCAGGGTCCACATATCTGCCGGTTCAGGGCTTTATGTAACTTGATGTTAGCCATGTTGAAATTCAACACAATTTGGCAGTTGGTAATTACGTGGGCCACGTTCCCTAAGTGGTAATTAAGTGGGCTGTGTTCCGTATAAACACCTAATAAATGCCTAGATGACTATTTTGGCAACCGGAGATTATGTGGCCCAGAAGCCATCCTTTAATCTACCAAGCAGAACATTCTAAGGTAGAAGCCTGCAAAGTGGGAAACTACTGAGCTGTCCTCCACATTCCTCTGTGCTGAAGGCGGGAAATCCTGGCCAGCCCTGGGCAAGGCGATGTGTGCCCTAAAGCATGAATGACCCTCAAACCAGAATTTCAGGAGCCTGAGGACAGTGAAAACCTAGCACATCATCCCACACTCCTTTATTGTTTAAAAAGATTCGTTAATTATCTTGATGTTGCTAGAATGAGGGACTACCTGATACAACACCATAGGACCCTCTGGGGGATGTTCAAGGGCATTGTCCACCAATTCTGCTTAGGTTCCAAAGGGCTCTGCTCTTTCTCCCCAGGGTTCTCCTATCACACACTCCAGTTTTGGAGAACAATGGAATGTAATGGTTAAAAGCCAGATCACCTGGCTTCAGACGGCAGCTGAGCCATTCACTAGCCATGTTACCTTGAGCAAGGCACTTAACCTCTCCTTGCCTCAGTTTCCCTATCTGTGAAATGGAACTGGTGATAGTACCTACTTCACAGAGTTGTTGTGATAATTAAATATTAGTTCATTTAATACAAGTGAAGTACTCGGGCCAGTTCCTGGCACTCAGGAAGCACTTAATAAGGAAGAGCTATTCTTATGCTGGGCCTGGGTAGGAAGGGAAAGAAGAAAAAACCTGAGAAATGACGACAGCCCTCAAAATGTCGAACTTCTTACCACACACCTGAATTCAAGAGTTGCCTCATCACCTCATTCAACAGCCTCCCACAAAAAAATATTTACTGAGCACCAACCACAGTGGAAGGTCATCTGATGCAAGTGTGGTGACAGGGTGGTGGAGGGAAGGAAGGCTCTTGTTCAGGGCACACACCTGGCATGTGTGGTTCAGTTCACCTAAGTTAAATGGGATCCCACTGTAATTCTGGCTGTAAAATAGTGAGCAGGACGGCAGAGTCCCTGACCTCGGGAAGGTATCATTCAAGTAGAAGGAGCAGACTTTTAAGCAATCAACCCACATAAAAATATAACCAAAAAAAAAATATATATATATATACATATAACAACAAACTGTGTCATACTGTATGAAAGGAAACTGCAGAGGGCTAAAAAGGTGTACCTCAGAGCAGGAGGGGGTGTCATGGAAAGTCATGAGACCCGAAAGGTAAAGAGAAGTGACCCATACAGGGTCAGGAAGAAGTATTCCAGTCAGAGAGCACATGCAAAGGCCCCACAGCCGGAAGGAGCTTGTGTTTGAGGAGCTGAAAGAGGGACCATTAGGTAAGGGGGTAGGGGGAGCATACCAGAGGCAAGACTGCTGGCAGACCCGCATATGTGCTGTCTGAAGGAAGAATGTGGCTCTTATCTCCTCCTTGACTCCTGTCCGCCACATTTTCTAGGTACTTTATATGGTAGCAGGAAGCTGAAATTATTTGAGCAAATCAACAAGAAGCACTTAAGCTGCTTACTTACACAGGACAGCAGTTTAAAAATATCTCTGTTTATGCACCGGATATTTCTTCAGAGGGTAGTTTGGTCTTTCAAGGATATTCTTTACTTCAGAGATGGAGTCTTCCTATATAACAAAAACAAATCCAGCAATTGCATTACTCATAATGTAATACAGGTCAAGGATATCCGGATGTGTAGTTTTGCATTTAAGAGGTCTATGAATCCCATATATGCCGTATATATTGTGTTCATGATACATGTGTGTATATAGATACTATTTCTTTTTTCCCCCTCCCTCCTTCCCTTTATCGCTCTTTCTTTCTTTCCTCTTCCTTCTTCTCTCCCAAGCCCCCTCCCTCTTCCCTTTCTTCCTTTTCTTCTTTTTACATTTTAAAGGGATTCCCTTACTTGAAAAAACTACGAATTAACAAAGCAAAGCAAATGACTTTGCAGACAGGCCGTAAAGTAATCCAGGACCCTGATGATTAGGGGAATCAATATTCATTTAAATAATTCATTTAAATGCCAGCATTTAAATAAGTCAAGATGACCAATTCAACTACATGGTATAGTTAAATCCAACCAGAGGGGGCACTGTCAACCTTCCATTTGAATTTTTTTGAACTGGTGACAGGTCACAGCTAATGGCTGTACCTCTGCAGTAGACAAAGTGCTGGGTTTATCTATCTATGGATCAGACACACTCCCCTCACCCCCATAAAAGTCAAACAGTGAAAAACACCTTATTCACTTTGAGGAAAACTTTTTTCCATGTTGTGAGCTCATGCAGACCACACACGTCCCTAGATTCTTCCCTGGACAGGGATTCCTGTCCAGAGCAGAAGGAAATGTGCTTCGGGCCAGTTACACTGTCTTCTCTAAGTTCTTTGACAGGACAACGCTCCCTCTTGCTGTAGGACCTCTGCTTGATGCGTGCTGTTCTCCAAAGTAGCTGCTACTCATCACTCAGATTGAAGCTCCGCTGTCTCTTCCTCAGGGAAGCCTGCCCTGACTGCCAACCAAGTCCAATACTCCTTTTCATACACTCTCAGGATACCATGTAACCTCCTTGGTGAGCATCACAATTTTACATTTATTTCTGTCGTTACTTGATTAATGTCTGTCTCCCCTGCTAGACTGTGAGACCCAGTCCCCATATTATTTTATCAGCAAAGATCTAATTCCATCAGAAGCCCTGACCTTGTTCAGGTGTTGCTGAGATCTGTGGGACGTCAGACGACTGCAGACCCTTTCGTGGATCTTCTTCCACATGTACTGGGACCCAGGGTGGAACCTGCTCAACAGAGTAAACAGGGTGGAGTATTATGCAGCTGATAAAAAGGACACTTAGAGTGCATAACAATAACGGTCGATATTTATAACTTAAAGGCGAGAAAAAAGCAGCAACATGCATAGCATGGTTTCAATGTCTTTATTAAGCCTAGGTATAGGAAAAGCACTGGGAATAAAACAAGCAAGATGTTAAAAGTGGTGTGCGTCAGGGTGTGTGACTCTTTTCTTCTTTGTAATTTACTGTGTATTTTAGATATTTCTCTAAAGAACAAATCCTGCTTTTACTTTTAAAACATGTAACCCCAAAATTTTTAATACAAAATTTAATCCCAACTGTTTTCTACCAGGGTTTTTTTATGTGTCATTTACTTTAGGCCACCCAGACCCAAACTTAACCACAGATCTTTCAGTGTCTGTCAGTTCCTCAAACAGGCTGCATTTTCTCCCTTCCATAGGCACTTGCCAGCACTGCTCCCTCGGGTAGAATGCTGCCACCCCCAAGCCCCATCCCCGCTCATGTTGAGTCCTACCCACCTTCAGAGCTCAATTCAGTTACTGATTTCTCAGGAAGATCCTTCCTGAGCCCCTTCCTGTAGAGCAGTGGTCCCCAACCTTTTTGGCACCAGGGACCGGATTTGCGGAAGACACTTTTTGGCACCGGGGTGGGGCAGGGGGGAGTTCAAGCAGTAATGCGAGCGACGGGGAGCGGCAGATAAGCTTCGCTTGCTCGCCCGCCACTCACCTCCTGCTGTGCGGCCCGGTTCCTAACAGGCCATGGACTGGTACCGGTCCGCGGCCCGGGGGGGTTGGGGACCCCTGCTGTAGAGGGAGTCGGCTTCCCTATTTCATGCACTTGGAATCCATTCACCTCTCATTCATAGCACTTCCCCCAGTGGACATTTTGTCACTATTTGGTTAATGTCTGTCTCTCCTCCTAGACTGAAATTGGGACTGAGCCTCTTGGGCTAATAGCTCATCTCAGGGCTTTGCATACCACAGTAGGAATTTAATACATATTTCTTGAGTGATTGAATCCATCCATTCATTCATTCATTTTGGGGAGGGAAGTGAGTACCAATTCTTAAGTTGAGGCAGAATTTGCAGTTTGAATATGAAAAGCACAGATATTGTTTTCTTAAAATGCCTAAAACTTTTAGCAATTTGGATAAAATCGTTCTCTTTAACTAATATACAGTAAACACTGGAAATGACAGAAACATGTGAGAATCAATCCAGTTGTTGTTATGGCCACCACACTAATGAGTCCCTGTGCAGTTGCCCCTCTGCTCGGTTTGGGACCCACATCCAGGCCACCCATCCTGGCTCCCTGTAACGAGCATGTACCCTGTGGTTTCCAGGGAGACAAGACCAAGAGAATGACTGGATCTACACAAATCCATTACCAACCCAGGAAAATGACTCACAGCAAATGAACGAACCACCTAAAGCACTGCCCATGTTTAAGAAAAGGCCAGGCACATCATTTCTACACTCCTCTAAGAATTTTTAAGATGAAGGAATAGAAATATTTTGAAGCTATAAATAAAATTGGCATTTAAAAATAGCCACCAAATGGACACTGCAAATGCTTTTTCATTGGTCTTGAGTAACCAGTGCCAGAATTATCCGTACACTTGTTACCCTTATTACTATATACAATCAACACTATGTTTGAAGACCTCTGAGAATGAGTCAACAGGCAAGAGCAGTGCTCTGCCTTGATTATGGCCTTCTCCTTGTGCAGTGGGACGACTGCGGATGGATGCTGAACTGCGGATGGATGCTGAAGGGATGTGACTCTATCTGGACACTGGAGCTAGGGAACCGGCTTGAGAGTGTTTCTCCCACGTTTGGGACTACCATTTCCCATGCTGCTAGTTAAAAGAGTTTTCCTCTTCCTCCATTAAAACCTTGGGCTGATTCTCACTCCAAAACTTGCCTCCCATCTCATTCTTGCAAACTTGGCCCTTGCTGATTTCAGTATTAAGTCAGCAGAAACTCAAAAGGTATTTCTCATGCACTTCTGTGATCTGAGCAGAGGGAGACTGGTCCCAGTGGCTCATGTGAAAAGAACGGTGAGTGAGGCAGAGCCTAAGCACTGGTAGTGAAACTACGCCCCTTATGGTTGACTACCAGAAATTCTTGAGCTTGACTTACAGAAGATAAGGAACCAGCTTGTTAAAAACCCCTCTTCTTACAAACTGCCTTTACTGATTAAGCTTGCTTTAGTTGTTTTTATTCTTTTTTCCTTTCTTTATTTGCATACCCTCCAAGCTTCACATAGCCTAGGGTAATATATCACAAGACTTCTTAACCACCCCTATAGATAAAGCCTCTGACATCACAGGTCACTATAGTAATGGTGGGCTTAAGTTGTTTTACAAGAACGTGGAGTTGGATCCTGTCTAGTTCAAGCTGGCTAAGACTGGTTGGGATAACTAACCCTAAAACTGTGTCTGCACAGTTATCTGATGAACAATTTTTTGACTTCAGAGGGTCAAAAACTCCACCCTCAGATCATGCTAAGTACCTCCATTTTTGAACATGCATCCCATGAAGAAGCATGTAACCCAGATATGCCTGGGCAAAGTACCGATTACTTCACCTTTTCTCTACCTCCAATTACATTTCCTCATGACTAAGACCACCCTACTTCTTTATCCCATAAATATCTCAAGCCCCTTGCCTTTGGGGAGGTGGAGCTGAGACTTGTTCTCCCATCTCCGTACTTGGCTGCGTTGTGAATAAACCTTCTCTGCACCTCAGCATTTGGCTTGCTGTGCATAGGGCAAATGAACCTGGTTCGATAACAGTAACACCTAGTGTTCCAAGGGCTACCTCTGTGAGGTCAACGGGGAATGGATTCTTCCACAGGGGCTACACTGAGGTCAATGGGGAATGGATTCTTCCCCAAGGATACAAAGGGATATCCTTTACTCAAAACAGCTGCCTTAAAATTATTATCTTCAGTGCCACTTCCCTGGAGGTTAAGGTGACAAGCTCTCCTGGATGCCTGGAACTAAGAGGTTTCCCACAGTCCAGGACTTTCAGCACTATAACCAGAACAGTCTTGGGCAAACCAGATAGCCTTTGTGTGACCATGTTATACTTTGTCACCTTATTTACAAATTCATAGTTTGATTAGTTCCAAACTTATCAGTTTAGAGTGACTTTGGACAGAGAATTTGCTGACTCATCAGAGATAAATGATTAAAACTCTGGTCTGCAGCCAGAGTCATCATTCTACAGTCAACTGTGCTAATTCCTGTGAATGACTTGCAAAAGCTCCCCACTGCCTTCCAACTGAGCCCAAATTCCTTAGCTTGGTTTCCACAGTCCCCCTCAGACCCTCAGCCTTGGCACCCACTTTTCCCCAAGGCTGCTCTAACTTTTAGAACCTGACAGCACCCCCTGCCTTCTCACCTCCCATCCCTCCCCTCCATTAACTATCACAATCCAATCCCCTCCCCTCTGGGCCCCCATGAAAATGCCACCTCCTCCATAAAACATTCCAGAGTACTTTCCTTTTCCTTTATACTCTGATAGCATTTGGTCTGTACTGTTCTCAAAGTTCTGCCTTGTAGAAAACTCTCTGTGTACATTTTTTTTTTAACATCCTCTGCAAGTTCTCAGAGATCAGAAGAAATGTCTTAAATGTTAGCGTTTCTATTCCAGGACTAGCAGGTTGACTATCAATCCTGTTTTCCTTCTGAGGCACTGTTTTTTTCCCTTGTGTCAGCAAGTATTTATTGAATGTCTACTAAGTGCCATGAATTGGTAACTGATTCTTCATGTGTCTTTTTTTTTAATTGAGGTATAATTGGTGAGGCACACTTTTAATCACAGAGATTCTACATTCCCCTCCACACACCCAGTACTAATCTCAAGGATTCTGACTCAATATGAGGCAATTCTTCAGTGAGCCAGAGTTGAGAATTACTGTCCTGCTGCATAAAGATACTCAGGAAAGACTGGTTGAATGAATGCATAAACCATCTAACAAATTTATTTCAAAAAAAATGAGGCCTTCCTAGATCTCCTTCCTAATGGAATTAACCTCCTCTTGCTCTGCCTTTCCCCTACATTTCGATTATACTTCTGTTAAGTGCACATCATAATCCATCTCAAATTTAGTGACATGGGGGTATGCCTGCCACCCTGTCTAGTGTGTGAGCCACTGGGAAGCCAGGACGTGTCATGATCACATACACTGCACATAATAGGTTCTCAATAAATGGATGCTCAATTCAGTCCCTCAGAAAATCTTGCTATGCTGATTATAAGGAGTTTGGGTGATGTACGAAAACAAGGCACATGGGCAAAATCCATGAGCTTCTTCCAGTTCTGGCAGCAAAGAAGCACTTTGGGCTGCAAGAGGATGGATCTTTGATCACTAAACCCCTTTTACAGACGAGGAAACTAAGGTCTAAAAGGCTGAGTACTTGTGTGAGATCACATAGCACTTGGAGACAGGTTGAGCAGAGCTCAAGTGTCCTGACTACCACCAGTTGAAGGTTCCTCCCCTTCTCTGTTTAAAATAAATTCTAAGTCTTTACATCTGGGGTAACCCCCTACCTGCTCTGTCCACCTGTTAAGCTGCAGGCTGGTAGAAAGAGAAGAAGCCAGAAGAGAAGGGAGACCAGGCCCAGAGATGGGTGTAAATGTGTCTCTCACCACCTGTCTCTGGGAGCCAAGGCCAATTTTTAAAAATCTATGTTGTGTTATTTTCTTCCAATACAGTAACTAATCAAGGACTCACCATTACTTAGTAGATTTTATCAAAATGTTTTACTTGGTTTCCTCAAGTCCATTTTAATATAAAGGTATTCTATCATTTCTGAAAAAAGTCTAAGAATGCATTGTCACTTTCTTATAATTCCTACTAAAATTTCAGTGCCACTTTTGTTCTGGGATATTTACTACAAGTCTCTTTGTTAGCAACTGTATTATTTTTATGTGGAGATTTCTTATTCTCATCACTAACAATGCAGAGAAAAGCAGACTGGCCTATCTTTTTTTTTTTTTTTTTTTTGCAGTATGCGGGCCTCTCACTGTTGTGGCCTCTCCCGTTGCGGAGCACAGGCTCTGGACGCGCAGGCTCAGCGGCCATGGCTCACGGGCCCAGCCGCTCCACGGCACGTGGGATCTTCCCGGACCGGGGCACGAACCTATGTCCCCTGCATCGGCAGGTGGACTCTCAACCACTGCACCACCAGGGAAGCCCAAGACTGGCCTATCTTTCATTCAAAACAACTATCTTAAAACTACTATCTTTTGTGCTACTTCACTGGAGTTGTGACCAACTGTCCTGGTTTGCCTGGGACCAAGAAGTTTCCCAGAATGCAGGATTGTCAGGGTTAAAATCAGGACAGTCTGGGGCAAACCGGATGGTTAGTCACATCAGCTGGGAGTGCAGTTTGGAAAATAAAGTTTCCTGCTCTCAATCTCTGGCCTGCCCTCCAGACATACGCAATTGTGGGTTTGTGTGTATGTGTGTGTGACAATAATATAAACAAGCCAACAAACCATGTCTAGAAAAAGAGAAAGAAAATACACCCACGTATTAATCATGCTTGTCTTTGGGTGGCAGGACTGTAGGTGATTTATTTTTTCACTCCTTTTCATTTTTCTATAATTTCCAAACTTTCGATAGTAAGTTCTTTTATACTGGTGAAACCAAAAGCTTGAGTTCTAAAATTTATGACAGATCATAATGGATAGATAAATAGTACCTATGCCAAGTTAGCTGTCTGTCCCATTTTCAACAAGCATTCTGAGATATGCTTTCCAGGGTAAGAGAAAAGTCTCAATTCTTACTTTTGGGGTTATTTTTCAAGGAATAATAATTTTTCATATCAAGGTGTCCCCAGCTGAATATTCCTAAGGAAGCAAACTGATGAAGTGACCTGACTTTACTCCTGCCAGACCACAAGGCACTCTTCTAGCAAAGAGCCGGGTGCTTGCTGCTGACCTTTCTCGGAGAAGGGGCTGATCCAGAAGAGGGCTGGGAGTTCTGCAGTGTTGGGAGGTGGCAAATGAAGTTCCCCAGTGGAAATCGGCATCCCCTTGATGACTGTAACTGGCTGAGGGCTTTCCAAACTTACTTGAATCTAACGATAATGGTGATTCATTCCTTAAAACAATCCGTTCATCTGGCTCTTTGATAACCTGAGTGACAATGTGCATTAATCGTTAGTTGTAGTTTTTGCTTTGGTTTGCTTAATTTAGAGCTGGGGGCCAGGTGGGACAGGGAAGAGAACTGGGGGCAAGATGATAGAATACCTGCCACAGGGATCTCCTGCAAATAAAAGAGGGGTGGGACTAGAGAATACTAGAGACAAAACGCTCAGCAGTCAAGGGCAAGGAAAGATAACCAAAATTCTGTACATTTGGCATATATTCACAAGCCAAAATCAACTCATGCTCTGAGCTTTGGTTTGTGAGGATTGGAGATTATTGGGTTTGGGAAAGACATAATTTTTTAGACAAAATATTTAACTGCTATGGCAAAGGAAGCTTAGTGTACTCCATTTTCTTTGCATATATCCATTCTCATGTTGTAACATGGAAGTCTGCACCTTCACCTGAATAAACCAATCAAACTTTAAGAACAAGTGATTTACCATCTCATATACAAAGGTACTCGACTAGAGAAAAAGTAATGAAAATCCCTACTGATAAAGTAGATATTGGGCCTACATACACCCTCACTGGTGATTCATCCTACAAATGAAAAGAGTTTATGTGAAGGGAATAAGCCAACTAAAGCAAAGCAACTCAAGTTAAACTACGGGAATTCCATAAGCAGCATTAGCTAGAAATATACTTTCCACCACTCATGGGAGAAAGCACAATAATTGACATTAGACAGCTGGAAATAAATCAGTTTACAAATGCTACTTCTAAAATTACCTTTATGTTAGCTGCAAGGCTGTCAAGAGAAGAAGCTAGAAGAAAGAGGAACAGGTGTTTCAATGACTCATTATTACCAGTTACCCCTAAAGCTGCTGTTACACTTATTCCACAGCAGTACAAAAATATTACACAATGAATGAATTATCTGAGAACTTAAATGCTCCCTTGTAAATTATACCATCAACTTTAAGTCTTCCTGAAGTCACAGCAATTTATCTATTAGTTTTACTGTCCTCTTGAGGTCAACAATGAGGTTATATTAATGACAACACGTATGGATACAGGAAGAGTAAGCGGGAGTCTAAAGTGAAGCAGTAACTTCAGTAGCCCTCGGGCAGCCTGGAAAACTCTTATTTGCCCAGGTGCCCAGGGCCTAAAAGAAAGCCATTTGGCTCAATGTAAAATTCATACCCTCTGCCTCTTCTGGCATTCCCTTTATATTTGGTTTACATAAAATCCTACTTATGCAGAAACTCTTGAGTGTACTTGTCCAAGGTAGATACAAAAATGAATACATAAGAGCTTGGAAAAACAACACAGCAAAAGTGTAAATCATTATGATTACCCAAGTAATCATAATAAGTAAATAGACCTAATGCCAGAGAATGGTAAGAATTACTAGAAGTAATACACACAGATAAAACCAAGAATAAATGGGATTTTTCCAGGTTGAAAAAAAAATGCTTTTGAAATGAGTATTTGCAAGACTATGCTAAGGCCACCGTGGCTTCCCCCAGCATGACTGGGGCTTAGGCAGTGACAAGGGTCTGCTGATTCCCCAATGCCACTGGTAATAAGAAGGAAGATATAAAAAGGGATTGTTTAAAGGATGCTAATTGTCATATCCTCTGGGCACGCGCATAGGTGTGTGGGCATCTTGTCCCAGAAGCTCTCTTCCACCCTACTCCCAGCTGAGCAGGGAACTGGTTAATGCTAAGCCCCTTTTCAGCTATAACCATAAATCTGCCCTGTTGCCTAGGAACCCCCTTGCTACTGATTTTTGAACACTCCCTTTCACGGGGAGTTTGCCCTTGTTTCCTAGCTTCTCAAAGTGTAGTCCATGGACCAGCTGCATCGGTATCACCTGGAAGCTTGTTAGAAAAGAGGGATTCCAGGCCCCACCCCAGCCTTAGGGAATCAGAATCTGCACTTTAACAAGATCCCCAGGTGATTCGAATGCACACTGAAGTTTGAGAAGCACTGCTTTATTCTACCTTAGGCCTGAATGAATGAGCTGACAGGTGACCTAAGGAAAAGTCTGGCTTGGAAGCTACAGGGATTCCAAGGATCTGAGCCCCAAGGTCTGAACTTCTTCTCTAAATGTAAGTATGCCAAAAACTTGGTGTGTGACCTGTACACACTCTGTAACCTCTCTGGAACCTTAGTTCTCCACCTGCCAGGATTAAGAAAGACAAAGGCTGAGACCAATGTGATATATGAGTCCCGTTGTAATTGAGCTAGCATTAAGCCCAACTGTCCTCCCCGGGAAAGGACATTTCCTGTTGCTTGATTTCACAGTAATTGGGGAAGACAGTGCTGCTTTTATGGGCTACATGGGTGATTTTCAATCCAAAGGACTTAAATGTCAGAGGTGATGAAGCACTTTCTGCTTCAAACCCTGTCTTCTGTCCTTGGTTTGCTGCTGTAGAACAGTCACAGTGATTCAAGGACACCGGCTTGAGTTACCACAAGAGAATGTGCAGCCCCTTAAAAGTATAAACCTTTCAGCCTAACATAGGAAACCCTGTTGTCAGGGATGGTACAGGTCCAGTCTCACCAAGAGTCAAGAGAATGGGCCACCACCATCCCTTTCTAGCCTAAGAATTTTTATTAATTCAGGAATGGTTGAAATTCACTGCCCTGACCTTCAGTATTGACATGGTTCCTGTATTTCAATCATAAAGTAAAGGCCTCCCAGGGAGGTCTTAACCCAGTGCCTCTCAGTGTGTGATCCAGGGGCCTCCCCATGGGTCTCTAAGACCTTTCAGGAGCTCTGCAAGATCAAAACTGTTCTCCTATTAATACTAATCTCTTTTTCACTCTCTTTCTCTCACAACTGTATAATGGAGTTTTCCAAAAGCTACATGATATGTCATGATGTCACCACTCTGATGGTTAATGGAATGTGTGCTTGTATATTCTTGTATTTTACAAATTTCTCAGTTTTAATTTCTAACACTAAATATTGACAGATATCATCTGCATACACAAAGTTCACTGGGGTCTTCAATAATACTTAATGCAAAAGGGTACTGAAATCGAAACATTTGAGATCCCCTGCCTTGACCTCACTGCTTCAGACAAATTGCCTCTCCTCCTTTGCTGACATGGAATCTTGTAAAGTAAGTGTTGCATCTCCTGATCTCCAGCAATCCCCTGCTGCTTCCTATCCAGAGAAATGGAGAGTCCTATATGTTAGCTATCAGTGGTGCCTTAGCAAGAAGATTCCACCAGGACAAGATGCTCCCTGCTTTTCCAGCCCAGCCAGGGAACAACCACAGCTAGAGCACGCTCAGCGGTCACACTACCCAGAGCAGTCTCCTTCAACAGCTAGGGGAACTCTGAAACAGCTTCTCGGCTGACTCTGCTCGTGGGAACTCCCTCCCTGGAAACTCCACAGCGGGAGGGCACCTGAGAATTAGGCCCTGAATTTCCAAAGAAACATGTGATTCCTCAGAATGAAAGAAGACTTAGAGGTAGGTAGAATGCATTCGTTCCCATGGGGAAACTGTATAGGGATAACAAGAAACTCAAGTACCTCTTCTCACTGGAAATGGAAAGTTTGAAAAGTCAGATTTTCTTCTAGACTTCTGGGAATGATGCTCTGAACTGTTCTCACCAAAGGGCTTTGCACTGTCCACCTGAAAGGAAAGGAAAGGAATGAGACTTGAACCCACTGTAGCTTGTATTACCCTCTCCTCATTACCTGTAATGCCTTTCTCCCCCTCAGTCACAGTCATGCAGGTGAGAAAAGAGGTTGGAAACAGATTAAATCACAGTCTCCAAGTATATAAAATGTTATACCCAACAGGGAAACCTGTCTGTCCCTACCTTCACTGAGGTTAGAACACGAAGACATGGCCTAGCACTAGGCACAAATCATATTCTAACCACTGGTAAGGCTCCAGCCCAGAAAACAGCAAGTGACATTTACTTCACATTCTTTTAGAACCAGACAGAGTTTCATGTTCCTAAACAGTCTGAGCAGTACTGGCCTAGGTGTGGTCCTCCCTGAAGACAAGGGATTTTCACAAGGTGACATTTCAGCCTTCCACATCCCCTTCCAGTCTGAGTGTCTATATTCTTGAAAAAAAGAATAGTGGTGACTGTATTATTTTACTTAAGGTAACCGTATTTTCCTACACTGGACAACATGTCAAAATACTTGAAATAGAGACTCTTCCAGAATATGTATGACATAGAGTTGCTGGAGTTTCTTTGTAACATTGTTTATTTCTGTTTTTTTTTTTAAATTTCAAGAAAGCATGTTATAATATTACTCTTCAATCTACTTCAAGAAATACTTTGATTAGAATTTACAATCTTGACAACATCAGGTCCTCTACATTTTAATGCTGCTACTTAAACTTCAGATATCAGGAAATCTGGCTAAATAAAAGAGCACTTAGGAAAGAGCTTGGCACATTAGTAAAGACTGTATAAGAATTTGTTAAATAAAAGTATCAAGCAAGTTTTAATTCCCTAAGAAACCTTCCAAGATTTTAAGCTTATTTAGCCCATAATGGCATACACTAAAGTTGTATTTTATAAAAATTTATGTCAAATAATATAAATCAGACTCAGTAAACTCAATTCAACAATATTTGTATGAAGCCACGTTTAAAGAGTGATTGCTAGATTTTGCCAGACATTTTTACCCAGGTCACCATGAAGAAAACAGCTATCCTGTACTTTCTAGCCAAACAACGTCTCTGTTCTACCTACAAACCAACTCTATATCCAGTCATCTCAAAAGCACCTTGCCTTTGAGATTTACCATGCTTCATTTCTTGCGTCTAATGCACAAACATCATCATTAAGTCAAATTATCAACTTGACAATAATATCAACAGTTAACATTCTGAAGAATAAGTCATGAAGTAGAATGTGGAATGGTGTTCATGAAAAATATGAACTAATACTGGAAGTGTTTTTAATGTAATATTAACTGTAAATATCAAGAAACAAATCTGTATATACAGTATAATTACAACTTTGTGGGAAAAAATAAGGCATTATGAATACCAAAAAAAGGCAAAAGAAAATGTATCAAATTAAACAATGATTTTATTATTCTGGTGAACCTGTGGGCAATTTTTGTCTTGAACTCTTCTACATTTTCCTTTACTTTTATAGTAGTCAAAAAATCTTGAGACTATGAGAACAAGTGTGATTAAATTTGCCTACTATTTCCTGAGGGCTAAATCTAAAATAACTTTAATTAAGGGCTTTGACTGTGGCACATCATTGCATCTTCCTGCAGACATATGTTTCCTGCTCTTAAAAGTGTGGCCATTAAGCAACAACCTCACTAAGAAAACTCAAACCAGTTTTCTTAAAACAGATGAGGCTTTGGTTTCAGATAGGTACAGAGTATATGCCAGCCTTTGATATGCATCTTCTACCACTGACAGTTCATTGATTCTTCTGGACAGTGGCAGGTTATCATATGTAGATAACACTCTCTATTAATAATCTTCAGAAATTAAAAATAGGGATGGCAGACATTTACTAAGCAAGTCTTCTGCATAAGACATCTTTCCTGACAATGACTCTAGGAAGTGAACATAATTTAATCATAGCTGTCATTCAATTTGAATTTCCTCTATTTATTTACTTACCCATTTGTTTTCATGGTCCAACCTTCCTTTATTCCACCCTCATTCACACCCTCACCATTCCAAAGGACTGTGAAAAATAATTTTAGGCTCACATGTCTTACTACAAATGGAGGTTTGCTTTCTCCAGGTATTTTGAAACTATCTCCAAGATTCAGTTGAGCTGGCTGGTCCTGAAAGAAACGCCTGGTGAAATATGGAGAGGGCGGCCGGGACTGCATGCCTTGGGGCAGTCTGTCAAGATTACTCTCCCTTGGTTTCATCTTTATACTACTTAAGTGGAATTTTGGTCCATTTGATGTGGATAAAGGCCTTCGTGACTTACATCTTTCTTCCTGAAAACCCAAAAAAGAAACAATATTTTTAAAGAAGAAAACTCAATCAGAATATAACTGTGTTTAATGGAACTTTAACTAAGGTAGAAGATTGAACATCTCAGATTTATAAAACATGAACTTAAGGAAGGGCATTTTAAAATTTTTCTTCAGGTCAGGTTAGTATCACTAGTATATTTCAACTATTAGCAGTGAGATTTATTTGCATTATGAGAAAGTTGGAAAGTATCAGACACCCCCACCCCCACCCCATCATAGACAGATGATTGACAGATGTAGAAATATAGTGAGAGAGAGAGAGAGAGAGAGAGAGAGAGAGAGAGAGAATTTGGCATAAACTTGGGTCCAGCAATTTCACTTCAAGGAATTTATTATAGAGAAATAATTATGGCTATATGTATAGCTACAGAAATTCTTAGAACATTTCAAAAATTAGAAACCAACTATATTGGTGAGTAAGCACTTTCCTTTCAGCTCCAAACCCACCTTTCTACACTCAGCTTTATGATACCGGACCTGGCACTCTGCAAACCCCCCTCGGTTTTTCCAGCTGTTTTGTTAGGCTCCACCACTAGAGGGCGCTAGAGGGAGACCGTAAGACTAGAGGAGGAGGAAGGGACTGGGGACTTCCAGTTTTGCATTCTGTTCTTGTCAGCATCACCCCAGCAACCATTCTTCACCTTGACAGCAGCAAATGGCTCCAGTTTATAGTTTTTTCCTACCATAATCCAAAACTAGCCTCACAGCACCAGGTGGCCAGAGAGCCCCTTGCTCAGAGATTTGAGTCTAGACCCACAGGATCCTTCCTCCAAGCTCCTGGGACAGCAGCAATGAGCAGTGTCCCTCCTTAGAGATCTGAGTCCCAGCTCATCAGAGTCTCCCCTCTGAAATCATGAGGAAACACCCGGGAGAGCAGCCCCTCCCCACATGTCTGGGTGCCCTTTCTATGGGGTTTCTTCCTCCAATTTCTATGTTCTTGATGATCCAACCTCTTCCCTTTGGTCCCCCAACGCTAGAGGTGGAAGCTGCTTCCTGTAGTTACTATCTCCATCACTTCACTGTTCCCCATTTCCTTTCAGTCCTCCAACCCTCGTTTAGCCCTTTTTTTTTTACATTAAATCTTTCTGTTAAAGTAACAGGTATGGTTTGTTTTCCAGACTGGACCCTGACTAATATATCAGCTTAGTACCCAACAACAGAAAAATGAATTGCCAAAAATTATGGTACTTCTGTACAATGGCATAGTATGAAGCCATGAAAAATTGCCTGGCTTAAGCATACTTAAGGACATGAGAACACGTTCATGACATTCAAAGTGAAAATATGATATGAAATAATATCATTATTGTAGTATGGTCCTAATCTTCTAAAATTAAAACAATATGTGTATGTGTGTGTGTGTACAGAAGAATATATTCAAAAAAGTAGTCATGCTCATCTCTAGATAGTAAGAATAACAGGTAATTTTTATTTTGTCCTTTTTTCTTATCTGTATTTTCTAATTGTATAAAATAAATGGGATACTTTTGTTATAGGAAAACAATGAAAGCTATTATTTTTAAAAGTTAACACTTAAAAAAGTTAATATAGGAAGACCTATATTAGGAGATTAAAACAAGATTAAAATGGTGGAGTAGAAGAAAAAGAATAATAAACTGAAAGATCACTGTGCACACTTAAACAGATTGGAGAAAACAGTGGGTAAATAAGGAGAGACTAAAAAGCAGCTATTGCCTTCCTGAAAATTAACCACTGGCTTCCCATTTATGAGTTATGGTGCCCAGGGGACCAACGGACTTGCACAGATTAGTGACCCTTCTCATTCAGTATCTCTTAACCCAAAGCCCACATTTTCAAGGCATTTTCTAGGACTCCAGGTGAGGTCTACAAACTATATTCATTAACTCTCTATATCATTTTAGAAACGATTTTACATGGTTGCAAAATTATGGACAATAAGGTAAAACAAAAACAGAAAGAAATCAGGGTGAAGGGGAAATTGGGGCTGAACAAGAAAGTAAAATGAAGGTAGTGCTCATGGATGCCCCAAGACCCTCACTGTTACCAAAGGTGGCCCACAAATACAACTCTGAGCTTCAGCCTCAGCGCAGGAAAGAAGGAAACACTACTGTTGATAAAATCAAGAGTAAAAGTCATGGAACAACAACAACAAAAGCTAACTAAACGACACATCAAGCTTGTGATCGTAGCTTCTGGATCATTCTGTTCCACCAATTATGCCATGATGAATACATGCCAAACATACTCACTCTAATGTGACAGGCTGAACAAACAGTTTGACTATGGAAATTCAAACCTAGTAATAAGTTTCCAGGTTTCTGTTTGTCCAGTTGCATCTAAACTTGGTAAACCGAGTTTAGGCTGAAATTCTTTAAATTTGTGGAGAAAATTTCTAACATTTCTATCACTGGATTCTCGATTATACTTACAAGAAATCTGTTTCTATGCAGAAACACAGGTTCTCTGATGGCTGTCCTCGTAGAAAACTCTATTTTGGGAGCAATGCCCTGAAAATAAAACAGCATAAAAGAAACAAATAAAATGGAAAGAGGGTCTTTGCTCATCCTATCCTAACTTGAAATCATCCGAGAACCTAAATGCTCTTTTCTGTAGTTGGCATAATCTACACACATTATCTAAAATACATACATAACGAATATATATACAGTGAAATATTATTCAGCCTTTCAAAAGAAGAAGATCCTGCCATTTGTGACAACATAGAAGAAACCAGAGGACCCTATACTAAGTGAAATAAACAAGACACAGAAAGGCAAATACTGCATGTCTCACTTATATGTGCAATCTGAAACAAATTCATAGAAACAGCTAATAGAGAGCTGGTTGCCAGGAGCTGGAGGATGGGGGAAATGGGGAGATGTTAGGGGATACAAAGTTTCAGTTAGGCAAGATGAACATATTCTAGAAGTGGAATGTACAGCAATGTGACAACAGTTAACAATACCATATTTTATATTTGAAATCTTCTAAAAGGGTGGATGTTAAGTATTTTCACCACAAAAAAGAACAAAAACAACAGTTTACAATGTTAAATGATGGATATGTTAATTAGCTTGATTGTGGGAATTCCCTGGCAGTCCAGTGGTTAGGACTTGGCACTTTCATTGTCGGGGCCCAGGTTCCATCCCTGGTCAGGGAACTAAGATCCCACAAGCCACACAGCACGGCCAAAAAAAAAAAAAAAAAATTAGCTTGATTGTGGCAATTATTTTACAATGTATATACAAAAATAAAGGTGTATACCTTAAATATATACAGGTTTTGTCAATTATATACCAACAAAGCTGAAAATAAAATACATACATAATAAGAATAGCTAAACACATATAATACTACATATTATGTGCCAGAGCCCAACCAAAGGGCTTTGCATATATTAACTCATCTAACCCTCACAACAACCCTGTGAGGTTGGTGCCAGTAGTATCTCCACTTTGTAGATGTGTAAGCTAAGGTACAGAGAATTTAAGCAACTTGTCCAGCTAGTACTGGCAGAGCTGGTAATTGAATCCAGGCATTGCAACTTGTGTCCCCGCAGTTAGCTACTCTATTTAAAACACTGGACCATGGAACTGAATGAGATTACCTAGGGGGAGGGATGGATAGAAGTTCTCCTTCCCTACCTACCTGCTTTGAAAACATGCTTTATATCTCATACAAAATATTTATACTCATTTCCAAACTCTTCATTTTGTTTCATTGATCAATACTTCTTTTTCTGCTCGGTACCATCCTATCTAAAACATGGTGATACATACATATATATATATATATACATACATACACATATATATACATACACATACATATACCCTATCCTACTTAATTCTCATAGTGCTATAAGGAAAGTACAGTTATTAACGTCAACCCACTTAATAAATGATAAAACTGAGAACTGGACAAAAACTTGAAACAACTCTAATGTTCTTCATAGGTGAATAAACTATGGTATATCTATATAATGGAATCTACTCAGTAATAACAAGGAACAAGTTACTGATACACACAACTACATGGATGAATCTTAAAAACATTGTTCTACGTGAAAGAAGCCAGTCTTGAGTGGTTACAGACTATGTGATTCCATTTATGTGACATTCTCAAGAGGAAACAAAGTTTTAATGACAGAGAACAGATTAGTGGATTATGGCAGAGGATGTGTCTATAAAGAGATAGCATGAGGGAGATTTGGGGAGTGATGGAACTGTTCTGTATCCTGATTATGATGGTGGTTTCACAAATCTATACATGTGTTAAATTCATAGAACTGTGTATCAAAAAAGTCAATTTTACTGTATATTTAAAAAATACAATTATTTTTCTTTAAAAAAAACTGAGGCAGAAAGAGATATTAAGCAATTTTCCCAAGGTCACATGTCTTGTAAACGTCAAAACAGGTATAGGACTTGGAGCTGAATTACACTGTCTCCAATTGACCCCATCCAGTTACCTGCAGCCCCTCTGAACATGACCCTTTGCTCTCCTCTCCCCCAGAGAACACCGCCTGGCCAGGTACCCCTTTGTTCTGGGGACACTTTCCCTTTCTTCTTGTTGCCAATCCAAATCCTACCTGTCTCTTGAAGCCTGGCCTCACCCTCTCCCCTCCAGGCACACCCATAGTGACTTCTCCCTCCAGTTGCTAACAGCTCATTTCACTTATATAACATACTCCAAGTACCTGCAAGAAGAATTTGCATCGGCCGAAGCCCTAGAGGGAAAAGGAACCAACATGCACTGTATGTTTAGACAGGTACCAGGTGCTCCTAGAGGCTTTCACATGTGCGATCTCATTTAATCCTCATACAACCTGTGTAGTCGACAATTATATCCCACTTTAAATGTGAGGGAACAGGCTTGAAGAGGTTAGTCTGTCCAGTGTCACACAGCTGGGGATCAGTAGAGCCAAGAGTTGAAACTCTGTTGGACAGCAAAACCCATCCTCTTTCCATTACCTCATGCTACCTCTCAGGGGGCTTCATGGATGAACTAGTCAGCTCGATTCCTGTGCATTCATTCATTCCGATGCACATTCAGTCCTGTACATTCATCTTGTCTACAGAACAGGTCCTCACAGGCACAACCTACCTCCTCAGCTCCCCCTCCTCTTTTTTTTTTTTTTTTTTTCCTTTTTATTTCTTGTTTTCCCCTAAGGGTTTTTTGGGCCGGGTCTGGTGACTCAAGTTTTCTGGGCTTAAAAACACAAGAGCCCAGTTGCTGCACAGAGTTGAATAATTGGGGCGGGGGGGGGCGGCGGGGAGGTGGCGTTCCATAAAGCATGCACAATAACACGGCCGGCACAGCCTCACCTCCAGTTATCAAGACTGCCCACATGAAGAAGAGGGTGGGGGAAGGGGAGTTTCGGGGTCCACAGCACCACTGGTGGAAATCCAAAACCTCATGGGTGCGCGAAGCCCCAGGTCCCCAGCGGCCCAGCTGCCTGAGCCTGAACAAGTTATCTCTTAAGCCACAGACTGGTGTAGTCTTCTTAATGCCTCATGGAGAAGTAGTATTAACCATTGAATGACAGTTTAATAAAATATAACAGCTCACATTATTGTGCACTTAACTATACACCAGATATTATGCTAAAGACTATACATATATTACCTCATTTAACCCTCCTAATAACCCTATAAGGGAAGAACTATTACCAGTCCCATTTTACAGATGAAGAAACTAAGGTACATGGAGACTAAGTAATTTACCCAAAATCACACAGTCATTCAGTGACAAAACTGGGCTTGAACCCAGACCACCTGAGTCCACATGTAACCGCTATACATGCAGCTCCACTTTGCCTGGAGAAGACGAGGAGGGTCCCCTACCAGTAAGGAATCCACAGCCTGTAACACCATCTTGTTCACCTATTTGACCTCCACTCCTGGCAGTGACTTCCAGACAATACGGAGGAAGGTATTTTTCATAGAAGTACTGATTTTAGCATAACAGTTTAGAGCTGAAATTTACAGGCTCTATCTTGTGCAATCCCCTCAGCAACGGGATGGTGGTGATGATGGTTAGGTCAATAAATGTATTTAACAGTAGGATTTTCCTAGAATCACTGCACTAAAGAAAAATGGAAATTATTAACTAAAAATTAATAATTAAAAAAATACTGTTTCTGCTTAATTTACAAATTCAGCCTTTACCTAACAAAAAACAGATTATATTCCCCTCCTCAGAATTCTTGACCTCAGCAGGAAAAGGAGGCAAAAAAGGCTGTTAGCATAACAAGTGAAATGAAATAAAATATGGAAGTACAAAGAAAAAGTCACACTTTATTGGAGGAAATAAATCTAATTCTTAATGAACTAAGAAGAGAAAATAAATGAAGTGAATGATTTGCCTGACCTGCACATGTCATTTATTCTCATATCCTACAACATTAATGAAAAGAAATTGGACCCTGGGCTGAAATAAACATGAGAGATTTAGCATCATGCAGTGACCGAGTGCAAACTTCGAAGCCCGACAGGCCAGCATGAGAATCCCTGCTCCATTGCTCACCAAGTCTGTGACTCTGAGTACCTTTGATAAATTCTCCATGCCAGCTTCCCCATGCCTAAGATGAGGAAAATAATAGTAGCCACCTTGCAGGGTTAAGGAGGATTGAACAAGATCATCCATGTAAGGAGCTCAGCACAGTGCCTGGCATCTAGCGAACATGCAATGAATGTCAGCTATTAGTAAAGCTTCAGCAATTGGTTTTATTTTGCTTTATAGAACATACAGAAATTGAGCTCCTCTATCTTTTTACAAATTGTTTAACGTATACTTTCATTAACTTCATTGTAAGAATTGATACTTTACCTCTAATGCATGAAGATCTTTCCCTGCAGTTTTAAAGCTCTTTCACTTATGATTACCTGCATTTATGAATAACTACAAACACAACTTCCATAGGTTCTTCTCCCTACTTATGCCCATAAAGTTAAACAAAGATAACATTTGGGAAAATATGAGAAAGTGTGTTTCTTCTTGTCTTGATACTTAGCTGGATACCAGCCCAGTGTTTGTAGATAGATTTTATTTAATAGAAAACTTGGGCAAACCAAAGTTAATATAAAGAGTATCTCCCACCTAATTCTCACTAGTTTTTATCCCTTTTTGCTTCTGAAGAGCAAAATCCCAATAACTCAACATAATAAAGACAAGCATCTCACAAGTACCATGGGTATAAGTGATACACAAAGAACATCTCTGAGAAAAAAAAATGTCAGTGATATTCACCAAACCTTCAAAGATTATTGGAGGACTTATGCTCATTAGGAATTCAGATTAGGAGAACTTTTGATGAATGCCTGCTGTTTGAAGTGTTAGAACTAGAAGTCCTGTCATCATAAACATCCTAGAAACAGGGGTCCTGCATGTTATGTATTCTGCACAGTACTCTCAACAAAATGGAGACAATAACACTTTATTAAATTATAATAATGGTGATTCATGGGGCAGTAACAGAAAAGTTGAGTATTAAGTATGCTTTTTATAATTCACAAGGATGTGGCCCTTAAAACAGAGGTCATCCAAGTGACATAAAAGTAAAGAAAATTGTCAGAGTTTCTGCAGTGTTAAAAATCATCCCAGATACCATCAAAATGAATATTTTGAATTTGGGTTCAGATAATGCCCCCCAAACAGTTAGATAATCAACTAAATAACTGCTGTATCTTTTAAGATCCTTCAATAATATCAGTCTGTGAACCTCTGACAGTTTCCCCTCCATTAAGTAGAGACCATAATATCTGCCTTGGCTGACTTAAGAACTGTTATGAGGAAAATAAGATATCACATGAAAAAACCCAAGCACAAAATAAGTGAGAGGTAGCATTATTACTATCACTACTCTATTTTACTATTATTATTACTAAAACAATAGCTATGATTAAATAAACGGATATTAAATCTTTCAGTTAGTCTGCATTAAGAGGAGATGAAAAAACAGACACAAAAACAAATTTATGGTTACCAGAGGGGAAAGGGGGTGGGGGAGGGATAAATTAGGAGTTTGGGATTAGCTGATACAAACTGCTACATATAGAATAGATAAACAACAAGGTCCTACTATATATAGCACAGGGAACTATATTCAGTATCCTGTAATAGGGATTTCCCTGGTGGCACAGTGGTTAAGACTGCCTGCCAATGCAGGGGACACGGGTTCCAGCCCTGGTCCGGGAAGATCCCACATGCCGCAGAGCAACTAAGCCTGTGCACCACAACTACTGAGCCTGTGTTCTAGAGCCCGCGAGCCACAACTACTGAGCCCACGTGTCACAACTACCGAAGCCTGTGTGCCTAGAGCCCGTGCTCTGCAACAAGAGAAGCCACTGCAATGAGAAGCACACACACCGCCATGAAGAGTAGCCCCCGCTCGCCGCAAGTAGAGAAAGCCTATGCACGGCAGCGAAGACCCAACCCAGCAGATAATAAATAAAATTAATTAATTCAAAAAAAATCCTGTAATAAACCATAATGGAAAAGAATCTGAAAAAGAATATATATAAATAATAACACATTATTATATATAATATATATAAATAATAACATATTATATATAATATATATAAAACTGAATAATTATATATATATATAACTGAATCACTTTGCTATACACCAGAAACTAACACAACACTGTAAATCAACTATATTTCAATTAAAAAATTTTTAATTAAAAAAAGAGGTGAAAGAAGAAACCTTTTTATAACTATGTGATGGTGTGAATATGGCAGTGACTTAGAATGGTTAGATAAGACTCCCACATCTCATGCCTGACAGATCTCCATGGCTTACGTTATACAAGGATAAAAGTCTGAACCAGTGGAAGACTTCGGTGCCTGGATTCTGCAAATTCCTTTTTCTAAAGGAAGAAGAAGAAGAAGACTATGTAATGCTTAACTCTTTCGGAAAACCTCGGTGATCTCTTCTGAGTGGCTGGAGAGATCAGGGAGCCAGTGCTGAGTTATGCAGTGAATTAAGACATGGGTAGGGGCTTCCCTGGTGGCGCAGTGGTTGAGAGTCCACCTGCCGATGCAGGGGAGACGGGTTCGTGCCCCGGTCTGGGAGGATCCCACGTGCCGCGGAGCGGCTGGGCCCGTGAGCCATGGCCGCTGAGCCTGCGCGTCTGGAGCCTGTGCTCCGCAACCGGAGAGGCCACAGCAGTGAGAGGCCAAAAAAAAAAGACATGGGCAGCTGATGATTAATACCTGTGTGATCCAGTTAATAACTTGGAGCCATGAGAAGCACAAAACTAAACTGGTTTGGCTGCTCCCACCCTTGGTAGCAGTAGCAGTAGGAGCAAGGTAGGCTCGGCCATGACCAGAAGGAATGTATGCGTGTGTATGAATGTGCCTGCTCACGGGCCTGCAGTCACAAAGTGACGTCCTTAAGTATGCAAGGTCCCACAGCCTGAGACCTGGCCACATTTGGGAGGGTGAAGGTGAGCTGTGCCATTTGCTTTTTTTTTTCATGGTAAATTGGAATTTATTACTGGGAATGGTGGGATGGGTTAGTAAGTATAATTGAACTATACAGAGTGGTCGTTAAGCCTGGAGATAATAGACAATTGTAGTGAAAAGTCATATCAACAAGCCATTTATTACGTATATCTCTGTCACCAGGCCTTTATGGCCATCTGTATATTTCCATATTTTGAATGCTCATTAATAGTGAGGGAGAACACTGACCAGAGCTTTATCTCATTCTTGTTAATTTCCTGAGTGTAGCTGTGGCACAGGGGTGAACTCGCCAAAACATGGGTAATCCAAGGAAAGGATACGGGGCTGGAGATAACCACAGTCTCGGCAATCTTTTCCCCAGTAACCAGGGGTGTTTAAGCCTAATTTTGAACTTTAAAATAATTTTTTTGTACTTAAGACCTTTTATATAATGAAAAATGCCTTGATCTGTATTCTTATAAATGGTGCTAAAATATGGTACTCCTACAGGAACCAGGGCAATCCACAGTAATGTTGGTTACTTCGAGTATTTCGATGTGGGAAGAAAGCGAAAATGAATGTATTTAATGAAAAAAAAAAAAAAGACTCCCACATCTCAGATCAATAGTGGGAATCGGTATCATTTATTATTTTGAGTGGGGCACCTAATCAGGGCTGCTGAAGAGAACATCAGGGGCACTAACCAAGATGAAGTGATCTGCCCACAAACGGGTCCTGTCAGGAAGAAAATGTTCAGGTCCTGAGAATTCCTCTCCCAACAGAAGCCCAGCTGGGCACAGATCACTTACCGGAAAACCTTCAACTGTCTTCATGAGCACCTCCCTACACAGCCCAGGGTACGAAGGTGTCAGCCTGGGTACAGGGAAGAGAAAGTCCCGCGTGTTTTCTTCATAATAGGCCAACTCTTCCCACGCTAGAAACAAAGGAAAAAAGGCATAAGCAGATTTATGTTCTGAAAATGATGTATCTACAACCCTGAGTTCAACAAAATAAAAGCTTAGACAAGTGATGGCAGAGACGGCACTCAGATAAAAATAGACATTTTGATCACAGCACCTGTTATTCAAGAGGCAACGACTTCTACTACTTTTTGTCTCATGCATAATTTTTAAAAGCCTTCCCAAGTCACTGCAGAGAAAAAGACTACCTAAAGGGTTGCTCCACAAAATAGAACAAAAGGGAAAATCTGTCCATCCATCTCTTTCCATCCAACATCGACAAATGTTTTCTAAGGAGACAAATGTTTTGTAAGGACATACCGTGGGCCAGGTCCTAGGGATAGAACAGGCAGACAATGCCCTGTTCACTCAAAGGTTACAGTGTAGACTAGGGTTCCATGTGTTCTGTGATGTAGGAATGTCAGCATCCCAATGGCTCAGAGAACAGCCAGAGCTGTGGTTCTCAGCAGTACTGGTAACAAACCCAGGGACATTTTGGAAATTTGTGGAGAAATTTCACAGGCAGGAACCAAAGTTCAAGGTATCCTGCAATGCTCAAGACACTCCTGCTCGACTATTTAACACCCTACCAGACATTCTTTCAGGCAAGAAAACTTTTTATAGTTATCTGAGCCTGGAATCTAACTGTTACATATAAACACAAAGCATTTTTTTGTACGACTTAAAAATACACTGAATTTTCAGGAATACAGGTACCAGGTAAATTAAGGAACAACTGTACTTTGCTTTGTTTGGATATTTACCAAGACCCTTTTGGCATTTTGAAAATCGTATCACATCCAAATATTACATTTTGCTCAACATCTACATATTAGTATACATGTCATTTTATTTTAAATCATTTTCCTTTGTATTTCTCCTTTATATTATGGCTGGAATACTATATATTTTTTGCAGTGACCTATATAATTGGTTATATTAACTGTGAATATTATTTCAGTATGGTAAAAGAGATAGTATGAAATACTCATTACCAAAAGATCATCTTGGGTGTAATATGATTAAGAATCACTGAGCTAAATGATGGAGAAGGTGCCTTCTACAAAACAGGTGCTATACAAGTGGTTTGGACCAAGAGTGGCCCCTGTACAGAGCACCACCAAAAAATTAACTGTAGTCAGTGAGGTAGCTTTGATACTGACCAGGGTTCCTGGCCTTCCCCAATCAATAGCAATTGACTAGAGGACAGATAAGAAACTCAGGCAAGGCTTTATTGGGGCCCCTGCGACCTCAGGTGGGAGCAAAAACAAATGTTTCCCTTGCTTGCTGGGTCCCAGACGCCGGACGAGCTGGTTCCTTATAAGGGGGTGAGGGTAGGGGTGTGTCCAGGGATCAGGCCAGAGGGTGGCTTAGGTGTTTTGCCCACCCCTCCAGTGGGGTGTATTGAGTGCAGGCGGCATGCTCAGGACCCTGCATTTGCTCCCCGACACCCTGTTTTTGCTCCAGTCTCTTCAGAAGTGGCAGGTGGGTTTTTTGGTCTCTTTGTATCTTTTGTCCAGAATTTGCCCCAACTACCCATGCACGCAGTTATTTTTAGTCCCATATAGTTTCTTTGTATTTCGTTGCTGGAGGATAGATGTGTCCAGGTGCAGGCATTGTAGCAAAGGGTCCCAGGTCCCAGCCTGTCTCAACTTTACTGTTTTGTGACTCCTATTTTATTTGTCTGAAGAATTCTGATGAGGGTATATTTTGGTGCATCAACTGTAGAAAATAACTGACCTTACATCAAATAATATGATGGATTAATTTCTTCCTACTTATTCCATTTAATATGAATGTTTGGATTCTAACAAGGATCAAAGTGCAAAAAGAATGTGTTCTACATTTTTCATCATATTTCTTTCTCTTCTTCCCTTCTCAGACATGCTCCAGCCACAAAGGACTGATGATGTGTCTTTCCCTCGTCTGCTCTGCACTTCCTCAGCTTATGCTATTTCTTACAAAACATCCTTTCTTCCTCCCCATCCTGCTGAAATTCTATTCGTCTTTCAAGTTTCACCTTAAGTGTCTTATAGTATCTCCAAAATAACAGGTCCAAAATAGAACTCTTGACTTTTTTCCACAAATCAGCTCTCCTCTACCTTCCCATCAGAGGAACCAGTACTAGTTACTCAAGCCAAAAATCTAGGATTTATCCTTGATTCCACTCTCACTCCTTACATCAATCCATTAGCAAGTTCTGTTGACTATATCTCCAAAATAAATCTAAATTTTGTTCCCTTCTCTCTATTATTACAGCTACCACCATGGTCCAAGCCCCCACCCTCCTCTCTCCTGGACTGCTGCCATGACCTCCTAGCTGGTCTCCCTGCTTCCATTCTTCCTGAACTCAAATCTATTCCCTACACACTGTGAGGTTACATCAGATTGTGACTTTCACGTGGTTAAACCTTCCAATAGGCTTGCCATCATATTAGAATAAAATCTAAGCATCTTATCCTAGCCTTTAAGGCTCTGTATAGTCAGGCCTCTAATCACCTCTCCTACTTCCTTTATTATCACTCTCCTCCTTGGTCATTCCATAGCATCCCTCCTGCCCTTCTTGCTGTCCCTCAAACACACCGAGGTCATCTCTACCCTAAAGATTTGTCCGTCTTTGGACTTCCCTGGTGGCGCAGTGGTTAAGAATCTGCCTGTCAATGCAGGGCACATAGGTTCAATCCCTGGTCCGGGAAGATCCCACATGCCACAGAGCAACTAAGCCCGTGTGCCACAACTACTGAGCCCGCATGCTGCAACTACTGAAGCCCGCCTAGAGCCTGTGCTCCACAACAAGAGAAAACACCTCAATGAGAAACCCGCACACCGTAACGAACAGTAGCCCTAGCTTGCCGCAACTAAAGAAAGCCCGCATGCGGCAACAAAGAACCAACACAGCAAAAAATTAAATAAATAAATTTATACATATATTTTAAAAAAGGTACTGGATTTAGGGCTCACTCTAAATCCAGGATAATCTCACCTTGAGATTCTTAACTTAATTAGCATTATACATTCCATGATCTGTGATACCAGCTCAGCAGTGCTCCCCACACTACGCTGGTCTGCACAAACATCGTGTGTTTCCGATCGTATGTTCCTATTGGGAACAAACACCTGGTATGATGCTCTACACAGTGGGCTTTTCCTTTTTCCTTTCATATGTTTTTGGCTAGTTCTCGTCACTGCATCCAAAATGATAGCTATTACTTACTATTCATACATTTAGCAAGAATTAAGATAAAAATGAGAGGTCCGAGAATTGGAAGTGAGTTATCTGCTATCTTTGGCATCACTGGAATAAAAAAGAAACTGAAATAGGCTTAGAGAAACAGAAGGTTGTGAAGCTTCTCAATTCTATCTCTCTGGTTTGGTCATTTTCTAAAGATCCAAACTACCACCCAGTGTGAAAATGTCAGCACACCAAGGGGATGTTACAGCAAGAGCCTAGGTTATAAATAATAAATAAACATGTGCACAGGCTGAGCAAGTCTCATAAGCCAAGTAAAATGCCTGAAAGAGCTTGGTGTTCTTAATAGGCTAACGGCACAGACAGGGACATCGTCAATGCCATTAGTGAAAAACTTCTCCCTGAAAAAGGAAACAAATGAGACTTTAAGAGAAATAATAATTTTAATAACGATACTGCTTCTAGAAACATCTAATATTTAGAGAGCATATCAGAATTGACAGCTTGCTTCCCCATATGGAGTCTCACTTGATTCCTTCTTTACAGATAAATGAGGCTCTGAGAGTTGAAGACACTTGTCATGATGCCAAATGGCAAAGCAGGAATTCAAAACCAGATCATCTGAGGCAGGAGTTCTTTCCTTGCTGATGCCTAGTAAACATCACTATGAAGTATAAAATCAAGCTCTGGGGCTTCCCTGGTAGTGCAGTCATTAAGAATCCACCTGCCAATGCAGGGGACACGGGTTCGAGCCCTGGTCCGGGAAGATTCCATATGCTGCGGAGCAACTAAGCCCGTGTGCCACAACTACTGAGCCCGCACTCTAGAGCCCATGAGCCACAATTACTGAGCCCGCGTGCCTAGAGCCCGCGCTCCGCAACAAGAGAAGCCACCGCAATGAGAAGCCCGCGCACCACAACAAAGAGTAGCCCCCACTCACCGCAACTAAAGAACGCCTGCGAGCAGCAATGAAGACCCAACGCAGCCAAAAATAAATTAATTTAAAAAAAAATCAAGCTCTGATTCACGGAATGGGTGCCCACTAAAAAAGAGCATTTTACAGCTGGACTGAATATACATGACTTATCCCAAAGTAGAAGTTTCTGTGTAAGAGGTCAATAAAAAAAAAGCACCAAGCTCTCTGTCAAACAGAATTATGCTGCCCTCCTGTGTCTATTTGCTTTTTCCCATCTTTGTAAACTGAAGACCCAGAGGAGTCTTTATTACTTCTAAGCCAAATCATTGGATCTCTTCATTCTTTAGAAGTAAAGCTGTATGCAAATCTGAGGTACTTGTATCACAAACTTAATGGTCATAATATGTCTTTTGATTATAGTAAGTGTGTTTGAAAGTGCTATGAAACAATATCAAATACAGTAATATCTACAACAAAATGAAAAGGTAACAATTCGGCCAAAGAAGAATTGTTCCCTGAGAACCTAAATGTGGCCCATGGGACCCCACAGCACAGTCCACTTGAGACTTTAAGCAAATAATTTTTACTTAATTAGCTAGTATCAAGAACCAGCAGATCAAGGCGGCTCACCATCACCACTCTGTACCTGGTGCCACTGGCATACCACCAGGAAATGGCACAGTGTAGGGCATTTTCTAAGTACACCTTCAATAAACATATGTTGGACAAATTAATGGATCAATCTGTAATGCATCTGAAGCTAAACAAAATTAATTATATCAAGCAATTCAAGTTTAATTCCACTAAAATTACAATCTGAAATTGAAGGATTGTAGACAAAAGGAAGACAAGTACAATAAAGCCCCCACTTTGTATCTGATTAACTTCTGAGTTATAACCTGTAAGCATGCACCCAGCTTCAATATTCTCCAGTCATCACAATTTTGAACCATTCTTGCAACCTTCTCACAGGTGGATTTCCGGTCAAGTAAAAAAAAAACTGGCAGTCAAAAATATACCAAATTTTAAAAAGTTGCAGGAAATATACATTCAATCTATATATATACATATATACATGAAATATACATATACTAAATATTAGACATATTTAATATTTATGTATATATATGTGAGTGTTTGTGTATATGTCTATATATTTCAGAATTGGTTGAATATACTAAATGCATTATACATATTAAATGCATTATAAAAGGCCTAAGAAAGATATACAACAAATTGTTAATTGTAATTATTGTCGGAGGTTGTTGAAGAATGTGAATTTTTACTTTTCGTTTTATATTATTTTGTTATTTACAATTTTTACAGTGAGGATATTTATTATAGATATTGGGTAATCTTTTTAACTCACGAAAAATTAAATAAGATCAAAATGGTCCTGCTTCTGTTTTGTTAGCATACTAAAATATAACTTGCCAGTTAACAGTGACATACGTTTGAACATAAAATTGGGTCAAATAAAAAACTTATGGAATGGGGCTTCCCTGGTGGCACAGTGGTTGAGAGTCCGCCTGCCGATGCAGGGGACACGGGTTCGTGTCCCAGTCCGGGAGGATCCCACATGCTGTGTAGCGGCTGGGCCCGTGAGCCATGGCCACTGAGCCTGCGTGTCCGGAGCCTGTGCTCTGCAACAGAAGAGGCCACAACAGTGAGAGGCCCACGTACCGCCAAAAAAAAAAAAAAAAAATTATGGAAGAAAACTCAATGCCCTGATTTTAGCCTGTTACTTTTAGGCTAAAAAACATTCAGTGAGAATTTCTGAAAAGCAGGTAGGAGGCATCTCTGATCTTCCCTCTGTTCTGCCTACCTAAGAAAGCACTGACATATACAAGTGTGTCCATCCCTAGACCCACCGAGAGTGGGGTTCTTATCTGTTTTCAGGACATGCCTCTGCCAACAAACTAAGCAGCAGAAGAAATAACTACAGACTACTGGGTCCACTCCACTCCACTGGGGCCCTTGACCTGCTGCAGAGCAGCCACAGTAGGCAGGGCCATGATCCTCATAAAAGCCTCCACAGCCACCTCTGCTTTAGCTGAGGCATCTACCAGACTCACCTTCCTTCTCCTATGCTTTCTTTTTTTTTGCAGTATGTGGGCCTCCTGCTGAGCACAGACTCCGATCGCGCCGGCCCAGTGGCCATGGCTCACAGGCCCATCTGCTCCGCGGCATATGGGATCTTCCCGGACCGGGTCACGAACCCGCGTACCCCTGCATCGGCAGGCGGACTCCCAACCACTGCGCCACCAGGGAATCCCCTCCTATGCTTTCTTAAGAAAAAGAAAGTTTCACACAATAAAATATCAAAATAATGCAACAAAACAGGGGAAATACATATGTGTTAAGCATAACTGATTTAAAACTTTGGTGAAAATATCAGGAATTTATACCAAAATGCAATGTTAATATGCAGACATCACTCCACAAGTAATCAAAGGACACTGACAGTCATACTATACAGAAGGAAAGAAAGAAAACAAATTATAATATGGGAAAATAGAAAATTTCTGAAGTAAATTTAAAATGTTAAGGTTGTCACAAATCATATCTAAAAAGAAGGGACCGGAAAATATGGTGAAATATATTTTAAAGAATTATTACACACTTTATAAACACAAAAAATCCAAATGATAGCATCCAGCATTAGCTAGGATATGGGGAACAGGCACTCTATACAGTGCTGAATGCAGTAGAAATAATGGAAACTTGCTGGGGATCAGTTTACTCTCAGGTTATAAGATATGGTTCAGTCTAGCAATTCTATTCTTTACAAATATATCAAGAGAAAAAATAATTGTTATAAATATATGAAAGACAAAGAAATCCTAATGAGCAGCAATATCAATTTAAGATTGGTAATAACACTATGGAAAATACATACCTATTGAAAATGACAAATAAGTTACCTACAGGTAACAATGTAGAGTGAAATAGTAAAACCCCAAATATTATTTACAGACTTTTTATAGACCTATAAAAACACATAAGTAAATTCATGAAATTCTTCATTTTACCAAAAATAATGCTTTTCGATCTGTTTTTAAAAATTACAGTATAACAGTAACATATAATTGGGGAAGTTAGTAAGAGAAGAAAATGTATGTGACATTATTTATGTAAAAATTCCATATCCATGTGTTCTTCTAACCACAGAGAAATAGCAAGAAACATGTTCACCAAAATATAAATAAAGGTTTCCTCAGCATTTGGGGATGCTTTTTACAAGTTAAAACTGTGAAGCTGGGAAGGGAAAGGGCAAAGCTTATGTTAGCAAATATGAGAAGAGTATTAGAAATGTTTCTGAGTTTTAGGTATCCTCTCTCTCTCTCTCTCTCTCTCTCTCTCTCTCTCTCTCTCTCTCTCTCCCGTTGCGGAGCACAGGCTCTGGACGCGCAGGCTCAGCGGCCATGGCTCACGGGCCCAGCCGCTCCACGGCACGTGGGATCTTCCCGGACCGGGGCACGAACCTATGTCCCCTGCATCGGCAGGTGGACTCTCAACCACTGCACCACCAGGGAAGCCCAAGACTGGCCTATCTTTCATTCAAAACAACTATCTTAAAACTACTATCTTTTGTGCTACTTCACTGGAGTTGTGACCAACTGTCCTGGTTTGCCTGGGACCAAGAAGTTTCCCAGAATGCAGGATTGTCAGGGTTAAAATCAGGACAGTCTGGGGCAAACCGGATGGTTAGTCACATCAGCTGGGAGTGCAGTTTGGAAAATAAAGTTTCCTGCTCTCAATCTCTGGCCTGCCCTCCAGACATACGCAATTGTGGGTTTGTGTGTATGTGTGTGTGACAATAATATAAACAAGCCAACAAACCATGTCTAGAAAAAGAGAAAGAAAATACACCCACATATTAATCATGCTTGTCTTTGGGTGGCAGGACTGTAGGTGATTTATTTTTTCACTCCTTTTCATTTTTCTATAATTTCCAAACTTTCGATAGTAAGTTCTTTTATACTGGTGAAACCAAAAGCTTGAGTTCTAAAATTTATGACAGATCATAATGGATAGATAAATAGTACCTATGCCAAGTTAGCTGTCTGTCCCATTTTCAACAAGCATTCTGAGATATGCTTTCCAGGGTAAGAGAAAAGTCTCAATTCTTACTTTTGGGGTTATTTTTCAAGGAATAATAATTTTTCATATCAAGGTGTCCCCAGCTGAATATTCCTAAGGAAGCAAACTGATGAAGTGACCTGACTTTACTCCTGCCAGACCACAAGGCACTCTTCTAGCAAAGAGCCGGGTGCTTGCTGCTGACCTTTCTCGGAGAAGGGGCTGATCCAGAAGAGGGCTGGGAGTTCTGCAGTGTTGGGAGGTGGCAAATGAAGTTCCCCAGTGGAAATCGGCATCCCCTTGATGACTGTAACTGGCTGAGGGCTTTCCAAACTTACTTGAATCTAACGATAATGGTGATTCATTCCTTAAAACAATCCGTTCATCTGGCTCTTTGATAACCTGAGTGACAATGTGCATTAATCGTTAGTTGTAGTTTTTGCTTTGGTTTGCTTAATTTAGAGCTGGGGGCCAGGTGGGACAGGGAAGAGAACTGGGGGCAAGATGATAGAATACCTGCCACAGGGATCTCCTGCAAATAAAAGAGGGGTGGGACTAGAGAATACTAGAGACAAAACGCTCAGCAGTCAAGGGCAAGGAAAGATAACCAAAATTCTGTACATTTGGCATATATTCACAAGCCAAAATCAACTCATGCTCTGAGCTTTGGTTTGTGAGGATTGGAGATTATTGGGTTTGGGAAAGACATAATTTTTTAGACAAAATATTTAACTGCTATGGCAAAGGAAGCTTAGTGTACTCCATTTTCTTTGCATATATCCATTCTCATGTTGTAACATGGAAGTCTGCACCTTCACCTGAATAAACCAATCAAACTTTAAGAACAAGTGATTTACCATCTCATATACAAAGGTACTCGACTAGAGAAAAAGTAATGAAAATCCCTACTGATAAAGTAGATATTGGGCCTACATACACCCTCACTGGTGATTCATCCTACAAATGAAAAGAGTTTATGTGAAGGGAATAAGCCAACTAAAGCAAAGCAACTCAAGTTAAACTACGGGAATTCCATAAGCAGCATTAGCTAGAAATATACTTTCCACCACTCATGGGAGAAAGCACAATAATTGACATTAGACAGCTGGAAATAAATCAGTTTACAAATGCTACTTCTAAAATTACCTTTATGTTAGCTGCAAGGCTGTCAAGAGAAGAAGCTAGAAGAAAGAGGAACAGGTGTTTCAATGACTCATTATTACCAGTTACCCCTAAAGCTGCTGTTACACTTATTCCACAGCAGTACAAAAATATTACACAATGAATGAATTATCTGAGAACTTAAATGCTCCCTTGTAAATTATACCATCAACTTTAAGTCTTCCTGAAGTCACAGCAATTTATCTATTAGTTTTACTGTCCTCTTGAGGTCAACAATGAGGTTATATTAATGACAACACGTATGGATACAGGAAGAGTAAGCGGGAGTCTAAAGTGAAGCAGTAACTTCAGTAGCCCTCGGGCAGCCTGGAAAACTCTTATTTGCCCAGGTGCCCAGGGCCTAAAAGAAAGCCATTTGGCTCAATGTAAAATTCATACCCTCTGCCTCTTCTGGCATTCCCTTTATATTTGGTTTACATAAAATCCTACTTATGCAGAAACTCTTGAGTGTACTTGTCCAAGGTAGATACAAAAATGAATACATAAGAGCTTGGAAAAACAACACAGCAAAAGTGTAAATCATTATGATTACCCAAGTAATCATAATAAGTAAATAGACCTAATGCCAGAGAATGGTAAGAATTACTAGAAGTAATACACACAGATAAAACCAAGAATAAATGGGATTTTTCCAGGTTGAAAAAAAAATGCTTTTGAAATGAGTATTTGCAAGACTATGCTAAGGCCACCGTGGCTTCCCCCAGCATGACTGGGGCTTAGGCAGTGACAAGGGTCTGCTGATTCCCCAATGCCACTGGTAATAAGAAGGAAGATATAAAAAGGGATTGTTTAAAGGATGCTAATTGTCATATCCTCTGGGCACGCGCATAGGTGTGTGGGCATCTTGTCCCAGAAGCTCTCTTCCACCCTACTCCCAGCTGAGCAGGGAACTGGTTAATGCTAAGCCCCTTTTCAGCTATAACCATAAATCTGCCCTGTTGCCTAGGAACCCCCTTGCTACTGATTTTTGAACACTCCCTTTCACGGGGAGTTTGCCCTTGTTTCCTAGCTTCTCAAAGTGTAGTCCATGGACCAGCTGCATCGGTATCACCTGGAAGCTTGTTAGAAAAGAGGGATTCCAGGCCCCACCCCAGCCTTAGGGAATCAGAATCTGCACTTTAACAAGATCCCCAGGTGATTCGAATGCACACTGAAGTTTGAGAAGCACTGCTTTATTCTACCTTAGGCCTGAATGAATGAGCTGACAGGTGACCTAAGGAAAAGTCTGGCTTGGAAGCTACAGGGATTCCAAGGATCTGAGCCCCAAGGTCTGAACTTCTTCTCTAAATGTAAGTATGCCAAAAACTTGGTGTGTGACCTGTACACACTCTGTAACCTCTCTGGAACCTTAGTTCTCCACCTGCCAGGATTAAGAAAGACAAAGGCTGAGACCAATGTGATATATGAGTCCCGTTGTAATTGAGCTAGCATTAAGCCCAACTGTCCTCCCCGGGAAAGGACATTTCCTGTTGCTTGATTTCACAGTAATTGGGGAAGACAGTGCTGCTTTTATGGGCTACATGGGTGATTTTCAATCCAAAGGACTTAAATGTCAGAGGTGATGAAGCACTTTCTGCTTCAAACCCTGTCTTCTGTCCTTGGTTTGCTGCTGTAGAACAGTCACAGTGATTCAAGGACACCGGCTTGAGTTACCACAAGAGAATGTGCAGCCCCTTAAAAGTATAAACCTTTCAGCCTAACATAGGAAACCCTGTTGTCAGGGATGGTACAGGTCCAGTCTCACCAAGAGTCAAGAGAATGGGCCACCACCATCCCTTTCTAGCCTAAGAATTTTTATTAATTCAGGAATGGTTGAAATTCACTGCCCTGACCTTCAGTATTGACATGGTTCCTGTATTTCAATCATAAAGTAAAGGCCTCCCAGGGAGGTCTTAACCCAGTGCCTCTCAGTGTGTGATCCAGGGGCCTCCCCATGGGTCTCTAAGACCTTTCAGGAGCTCTGCAAGATCAAAACTGTTCTCCTATTAATACTAATCTCTTTTTCACTCTCTTTCTCTCACAACTGTATAATGGAGTTTTCCAAAAGCTACATGATATGTCATGATGTCACCACTCTGATGGTTAATGGAATGTGTGCTTGTATATTCTTGTATTTTACAAATTTCTCAGTTTTAATTTCTAACACTAAATATTGACAGATATCATCTGCATACACAAAGTTCACTGGGGTCTTCAATAATACTTAATGCAAAAGGGTACTGAAATCGAAACATTTGAGATCCCCTGCCTTGACCTCACTGCTTCAGACAAATTGCCTCTCCTCCTTTGCTGACATGGAATCTTGTAAAGTAAGTGTTGCATCTCCTGATCTCCAGCAATCCCCTGCTGCTTCCTATCCAGAGAAATGGAGAGTCCTATATGTTAGCTATCAGTGGTGCCTTAGCAAGAAGATTCCACCAGGACAAGATGCTCCCTGCTTTTCCAGCCCAGCCAGGGAACAACCACAGCTAGAGCACGCTCAGCGGTCACACTACCCAGAGCAGTCTCCTTCAACAGCTAGGGGAACTCTGAAACAGCTTCTCGGCTGACTCTGCTCGTGGGAACTCCCTCCCTGGAAACTCCACAGCGGGAGGGCACCTGAGAATTAGGCCCTGAATTTCCAAAGAAACATGTGATTCCTCAGAATGAAAGAAGACTTAGAGGTAGGTAGAATGCATTCGTTCCCATGGGGAAACTGTATAGGGATAACAAGAAACTCAAGTACCTCTTCTCACTGGAAATGGAAAGTTTGAAAAGTCAGATTTTCTTCTAGACTTCTGGGAATGATGCTCTGAACTGTTCTCACCAAAGGGCTTTGCACTGTCCACCTGAAAGGAAAGGAAAGGAATGAGACTTGAACCCACTGTAGCTTGTATTACCCTCTCCTCATTACCTGTAATGCCTTTCTCCCCCTCAGTCACAGTCATGCAGGTGAGAAAAGAGGTTGGAAACAGATTAAATCACAGTCTCCAAGTATATAAAATGTTATACCCAACAGGGAAACCTGTCTGTCCCTACCTTCACTGAGGTTAGAACACGAAGACATGGCCTAGCACTAGGCACAAATCATATTCTAACCACTGGTAAGGCTCCAGCCCAGAAAACAGCAAGTGACATTTACTTCACATTCTTTTAGAACCAGACAGAGTTTCATGTTCCTAAACAGTCTGAGCAGTACTGGCCTAGGTGTGGTCCTCCCTGAAGACAAGGGATTTTCACAAGGTGACATTTCAGCCTTCCACATCCCCTTCCAGTCTGAGTGTCTATATTCTTGAAAAAAAGAATAGTGGTGACTGTATTATTTTACTTAAGGTAACCGTATTTTCCTACACTGGACAACATGTCAAAATACTTGAAATAGAGACTCTTCCAGAATATGTATGACATAGAGTTGCTGGAGTTTCTTTGTAACATTGTTTATTTCTGTTTTTTTTTTTAAATTTCAAGAAAGCATGTTATAATATTACTCTTCAATCTACTTCAAGAAATACTTTGATTAGAATTTACAATCTTGACAACATCAGGTCCTCTACATTTTAATGCTGCTACTTAAACTTCAGATATCAGGAAATCTGGCTAAATAAAAGAGCACTTAGGAAAGAGCTTGGCACATTAGTAAAGACTGTATAAGAATTTGTTAAATAAAAGTATCAAGCAAGTTTTAATTCCCTAAGAAACCTTCCAAGATTTTAAGCTTATTTAGCCCATAATGGCATACACTAAAGTTGTATTTTATAAAAATTTATGTCAAATAATATAAATCAGACTCAGTAAACTCAATTCAACAATATTTGTATGAAGCCACGTTTAAAGAGTGATTGCTAGATTTTGCCAGACATTTTTACCCAGGTCACCATGAAGAAAACAGCTATCCTGTACTTTCTAGCCAAACAACGTCTCTGTTCTACCTACAAACCAACTCTATATCCAGTCATCTCAAAAGCACCTTGCCTTTGAGATTTACCATGCTTCATTTCTTGCGTCTAATGCACAAACATCATCATTAAGTCAAATTATCAACTTGACAATAATATCAACAGTTAACATTCTGAAGAATAAGTCATGAAGTAGAATGTGGAATGGTGTTCATGAAAAATATGAACTAATACTGGAAGTGTTTTTAATGTAATATTAACTGTAAATATCAAGAAACAAATCTGTATATACAGTATAATTACAACTTTGTGGGAAAAAATAAGGCATTATGAATACCAAAAAAAGGCAAAAGAAAATGTATCAAATTAAACAATGATTTTATTATTCTGGTGAACCTGTGGGCAATTTTTGTCTTGAACTCTTCTACATTTTCCTTTACTTTTATAGTAGTCAAAAAATCTTGAGACTATGAGAACAAGTGTGATTAAATTTGCCTACTATTTCCTGAGGGCTAAATCTAAAATAACTTTAATTAAGGGCTTTGACTGTGGCACATCATTGCATCTTCCTGCAGACATATGTTTCCTGCTCTTAAAAGTGTGGCCATTAAGCAACAACCTCACTAAGAAAACTCAAACCAGTTTTCTTAAAACAGATGAGGCTTTGGTTTCAGATAGGTACAGAGTATATGCCAGCCTTTGATATGCATCTTCTACCACTGACAGTTCATTGATTCTTCTGGACAGTGGCAGGTTATCATATGTAGATAACACTCTCTATTAATAATCTTCAGAAATTAAAAATAGGGATGGCAGACATTTACTAAGCAAGTCTTCTGCATAAGACATCTTTCCTGACAATGACTCTAGGAAGTGAACATAATTTAATCATAGCTGTCATTCAATTTGAATTTCCTCTATTTATTTACTTACCCATTTGTTTTCATGGTCCAACCTTCCTTTATTCCACCCTCATTCACACCCTCACCATTCCAAAGGACTGTGAAAAATAATTTTAGGCTCACATGTCTTACTACAAATGGAGGTTTGCTTTCTCCAGGTATTTTGAAACTATCTCCAAGATTCAGTTGAGCTGGCTGGTCCTGAAAGAAACGCCTGGTGAAATATGGAGAGGGCGGCCGGGACTGCATGCCTTGGGGCAGTCTGTCAAGATTACTCTCCCTTGGTTTCATCTTTATACTACTTAAGTGGAATTTTGGTCCATTTGATGTGGATAAAGGCCTTCGTGACTTACATCTTTCTTCCTGAAAACCCAAAAAAGAAACAATATTTTTAAAGAAGAAAACTCAATCAGAATATAACTGTGTTTAATGGAACTTTAACTAAGGTAGAAGATTGAACATCTCAGATTTATAAAACATGAACTTAAGGAAGGGCATTTTAAAATTTTTCTTCAGGTCAGGTTAGTATCACTAGTATATTTCAACTATTAGCAGTGAGATTTATTTGCATTATGAGAAAGTTGGAAAGTATCAGACACCCCCACCCCCACCCCATCATAGACAGATGATTGACAGATGTAGAAATATAGTGAGAGAGAGAGAGAGAGAGAGAGAGAGAGAGAGAATTTGGCATAAACTTGGGTCCAGCAATTTCACTTCAAGGAATTTATTATAGAGAAATAATTATGGCTATATGTATAGCTACAGAAATTCTTAGAACATTTCAAAAATTAGAAACCAACTATATTGGTGAGTAAGCACTTTCCTTTCAGCTCCAAACCCACCTTTCTACACTCAGCTTTATGATACCGGACCTGGCACTCTGCAAACCCCCCTCGGTTTTTCCAGCTGTTTTGTTAGGCTCCACCACTAGAGGGCGCTAGAGGGAGACCGTAAGACTAGAGGAGGAGGAAGGGACTGGGGACTTCCAGTTTTGCATTCTGTTCTTGTCAGCATCACCCCAGCAACCATTCTTCACCTTGACAGCAGCAAATGGCTCCAGTTTATAGTTTTTTCCTACCATAATCCAAAACTAGCCTCACAGCACCAGGTGGCCAGAGAGCCCCTTGCTCAGAGATTTGAGTCTAGACCCACAGGATCCTTCCTCCAAGCTCCTGGGACAGCAGCAATGAGCAGTGTCCCTCCTTAGAGATCTGAGTCCCAGCTCATCAGAGTCTCCCCTCTGAAATCATGAGGAAACACCCGGGAGAGCAGCCCCTCCCCACATGTCTGGGTGCCCTTTCTATGGGGTTTCTTCCTCCAATTTCTATGTTCTTGATGATCCAACCTCTTCCCTTTGGTCCCCCAACGCTAGAGGTGGAAGCTGCTTCCTGTAGTTACTATCTCCATCACTTCACTGTTCCCCATTTCCTTTCAGTCCTCCAACCCTCGTTTAGCCCTTTTTTTTTTACATTAAATCTTTCTGTTAAAGTAACAGGTATGGTTTGTTTTCCAGACTGGACCCTGACTAATATATCAGCTTAGTACCCAACAACAGAAAAATGAATTGCCAAAAATTATGGTACTTCTGTACAATGGCATAGTATGAAGCCATGAAAAATTGCCTGGCTTAAGCATACTTAAGGACATGAGAACACGTTCATGACATTCAAAGTGAAAATATGATATGAAATAATATCATTATTGTAGTATGGTCCTAATCTTCTAAAATTAAAACAATATGTGTATGTGTGTGTGTGTACAGAAGAATATATTCAAAAAAGTAGTCATGCTCATCTCTAGATAGTAAGAATAACAGGTAATTTTTATTTTGTCCTTTTTTCTTATCTGTATTTTCTAATTGTATAAAATAAATGGGATACTTTTGTTATAGGAAAACAATGAAAGCTATTATTTTTAAAAGTTAACACTTAAAAAAGTTAATATAGGAAGACCTATATTAGGAGATTAAAACAAGATTAAAATGGTGGAGTAGAAGAAAAAGAATAATAAACTGAAAGATCACTGTGCACACTTAAACAGATTGGAGAAAACAGTGGGTAAATAAGGAGAGACTAAAAAGCAGCTATTGCCTTCCTGAAAATTAACCACTGGCTTCCCATTTATGAGTTATGGTGCCCAGGGGACCAACGGACTTGCACAGATTAGTGACCCTTCTCATTCAGTATCTCTTAACCCAAAGCCCACATTTTCAAGGCATTTTCTAGGACTCCAGGTGAGGTCTACAAACTATATTCATTAACTCTCTATATCATTTTAGAAACGATTTTACATGGTTGCAAAATTATGGACAATAAGGTAAAACAAAAACAGAAAGAAATCAGGGTGAAGGGGAAATTGGGGCTGAACAAGAAAGTAAAATGAAGGTAGTGCTCATGGATGCCCCAAGACCCTCACTGTTACCAAAGGTGGCCCACAAATACAACTCTGAGCTTCAGCCTCAGCGCAGGAAAGAAGGAAACACTACTGTTGATAAAATCAAGAGTAAAAGTCATGGAACAACAACAACAAAAGCTAACTAAACGACACATCAAGCTTGTGATCGTAGCTTCTGGATCATTCTGTTCCACCAATTATGCCATGATGAATACATGCCAAACATACTCACTCTAATGTGACAGGCTGAACAAACAGTTTGACTATGGAAATTCAAACCTAGTAATAAGTTTCCAGGTTTCTGTTTGTCCAGTTGCATCTAAACTTGGTAAACCGAGTTTAGGCTGAAATTCTTTAAATTTGTGGAGAAAATTTCTAACATTTCTATCACTGGATTCTCGATTATACTTACAAGAAATCTGTTTCTATGCAGAAACACAGGTTCTCTGATGGCTGTCCTCGTAGAAAACTCTATTTTGGGAGCAATGCCCTGAAAATAAAACAGCATAAAAGAAACAAATAAAATGGAAAGAGGGTCTTTGCTCATCCTATCCTAACTTGAAATCATCCGAGAACCTAAATGCTCTTTTCTGTAGTTGGCATAATCTACACACATTATCTAAAATACATACATAACGAATATATATACAGTGAAATATTATTCAGCCTTTCAAAAGAAGAAGATCCTGCCATTTGTGACAACATAGAAGAAACCAGAGGACCCTATACTAAGTGAAATAAACAAGACACAGAAAGGCAAATACTGCATGTCTCACTTATATGTGCAATCTGAAACAAATTCATAGAAACAGCTAATAGAGAGCTGGTTGCCAGGAGCTGGAGGATGGGGGAAATGGGGAGATGTTAGGGGATACAAAGTTTCAGTTAGGCAAGATGAACATATTCTAGAAGTGGAATGTACAGCAATGTGACAACAGTTAACAATACCATATTTTATATTTGAAATCTTCTAAAAGGGTGGATGTTAAGTATTTTCACCACAAAAAAGAACAAAAACAACAGTTTACAATGTTAAATGATGGATATGTTAATTAGCTTGATTGTGGGAATTCCCTGGCAGTCCAGTGGTTAGGACTTGGCACTTTCATTGTCGGGGCCCAGGTTCCATCCCTGGTCAGGGAACTAAGATCCCACAAGCCACACAGCACGGCCAAAAAAAAAAAAAAAAAATTAGCTTGATTGTGGCAATTATTTTACAATGTATATACAAAAATAAAGGTGTATACCTTAAATATATACAGGTTTTGTCAATTATATACCAACAAAGCTGAAAATAAAATACATACATAATAAGAATAGCTAAACACATATAATACTACATATTATGTGCCAGAGCCCAACCAAAGGGCTTTGCATATATTAACTCATCTAACCCTCACAACAACCCTGTGAGGTTGGTGCCAGTAGTATCTCCACTTTGTAGATGTGTAAGCTAAGGTACAGAGAATTTAAGCAACTTGTCCAGCTAGTACTGGCAGAGCTGGTAATTGAATCCAGGCATTGCAACTTGTGTCCCCGCAGTTAGCTACTCTATTTAAAACACTGGACCATGGAACTGAATGAGATTACCTAGGGGGAGGGATGGATAGAAGTTCTCCTTCCCTACCTACCTGCTTTGAAAACATGCTTTATATCTCATACAAAATATTTATACTCATTTCCAAACTCTTCATTTTGTTTCATTGATCAATACTTCTTTTTCTGCTCGGTACCATCCTATCTAAAACATGGTGATACATACATATATATATATATATACATACATACACATATATATACATACACATACATATACCCTATCCTACTTAATTCTCATAGTGCTATAAGGAAAGTACAGTTATTAACGTCAACCCACTTAATAAATGATAAAACTGAGAACTGGACAAAAACTTGAAACAACTCTAATGTTCTTCATAGGTGAATAAACTATGGTATATCTATATAATGGAATCTACTCAGTAATAACAAGGAACAAGTTACTGATACACACAACTACATGGATGAATCTTAAAAACATTGTTCTACGTGAAAGAAGCCAGTCTTGAGTGGTTACAGACTATGTGATTCCATTTATGTGACATTCTCAAGAGGAAACAAAGTTTTAATGACAGAGAACAGATTAGTGGATTATGGCAGAGGATGTGTCTATAAAGAGATAGCATGAGGGAGATTTGGGGAGTGATGGAACTGTTCTGTATCCTGATTATGATGGTGGTTTCACAAATCTATACATGTGTTAAATTCATAGAACTGTGTATCAAAAAAGTCAATTTTACTGTATATTTAAAAAATACAATTATTTTTCTTTAAAAAAAACTGAGGCAGAAAGAGATATTAAGCAATTTTCCCAAGGTCACATGTCTTGTAAACGTCAAAACAGGTATAGGACTTGGAGCTGAATTACACTGTCTCCAATTGACCCCATCCAGTTACCTGCAGCCCCTCTGAACATGACCCTTTGCTCTCCTCTCCCCCAGAGAACACCGCCTGGCCAGGTACCCCTTTGTTCTGGGGACACTTTCCCTTTCTTCTTGTTGCCAATCCAAATCCTACCTGTCTCTTGAAGCCTGGCCTCACCCTCTCCCCTCCAGGCACACCCATAGTGACTTCTCCCTCCAGTTGCTAACAGCTCATTTCACTTATATAACATACTCCAAGTACCTGCAAGAAGAATTTGCATCGGCCGAAGCCCTAGAGGGAAAAGGAACCAACATGCACTGTATGTTTAGACAGGTACCAGGTGCTCCTAGAGGCTTTCACATGTGCGATCTCATTTAATCCTCATACAACCTGTGTAGTCGACAATTATATCCCACTTTAAATGTGAGGGAACAGGCTTGAAGAGGTTAGTCTGTCCAGTGTCACACAGCTGGGGATCAGTAGAGCCAAGAGTTGAAACTCTGTTGGACAGCAAAACCCATCCTCTTTCCATTACCTCATGCTACCTCTCAGGGGGCTTCATGGATGAACTAGTCAGCTCGATTCCTGTGCATTCATTCATTCCGATGCACATTCAGTCCTGTACATTCATCTTGTCTACAGAACAGGTCCTCACAGGCACAACCTACCTCCTCAGCTCCCCCTCCTCTTTTTTTTTTTTTTTTTGCCTCTAGAATGCATAGTATGCCCATAAGAGTGTTAGGCCCGGACTGGTGACTCAAGATTTCTGGGCTTATAAACACAAGAGCCCAGTTGCTGCACAGAGTTGAATAATTGGGGCGGGGGGGGGCGGCGGGGAGGTGGCGTTCCATAAAGCATGCACAATAACACGGCCGGCACAGCCTCACCTCCAGTTATCAAGACTGCCCACATGAAGAAGAGGGTGGGGGAAGGGGAGTTTCGGGGTCCACAGCACCACTGGTGGAAATCCAAAACCTCATGGGTGCGCGAAGCCCCAGGTCCCCAGCGGCCCAGCTGCCTGAGCCTGAACAAGTTATCTCTTAAGCCACAGACTGGTGTAGTCTTCTTAATGCCTCATGGAGAAGTAGTATTAACCATTGAATGACAGTTTAATAAAATATAACAGCTCACATTATTGTGCACTTAACTATACACCAGATATTATGCTAAAGACTATACATATATTACCTCATTTAACCCTCCTAATAACCCTATAAGGGAAGAACTATTACCAGTCCCATTTTACAGATGAAGAAACTAAGGTACATGGAGACTAAGTAATTTACCCAAAATCACACAGTCATTCAGTGACAAAACTGGGCTTGAACCCAGACCACCTGAGTCCACATGTAACCGCTATACATGCAGCTCCACTTTGCCTGGAGAAGACGAGGAGGGTCCCCTACCAGTAAGGAATCCACAGCCTGTAACACCATCTTGTTCACCTATTTGACCTCCACTCCTGGCAGTGACTTCCAGACAATACGGAGGAAGGTATTTTTCATAGAAGTACTGATTTTAGCATAACAGTTTAGAGCTGAAATTTACAGGCTCTATCTTGTGCAATCCCCTCAGCAACGGGATGGTGGTGATGATGGTTAGGTCAATAAATGTATTTAACAGTAGGATTTTCCTAGAATCACTGCACTAAAGAAAAATGGAAATTATTAACTAAAAATTAATAATTAAAAAAATACTGTTTCTGCTTAATTTACAAATTCAGCCTTTACCTAACAAAAAACAGATTATATTCCCCTCCTCAGAATTCTTGACCTCAGCAGGAAAAGGAGGCAAAAAAGGCTGTTAGCATAACAAGTGAAATGAAATAAAATATGGAAGTACAAAGAAAAAGTCACACTTTATTGGAGGAAATAAATCTAATTCTTAATGAACTAAGAAGAGAAAATAAATGAAGTGAATGATTTGCCTGACCTGCACATGTCATTTATTCTCATATCCTACAACATTAATGAAAAGAAATTGGACCCTGGGCTGAAATAAACATGAGAGATTTAGCATCATGCAGTGACCGAGTGCAAACTTCGAAGCCCGACAGGCCAGCATGAGAATCCCTGCTCCATTGCTCACCAAGTCTGTGACTCTGAGTACCTTTGATAAATTCTCCATGCCAGCTTCCCCATGCCTAAGATGAGGAAAATAATAGTAGCCACCTTGCAGGGTTAAGGAGGATTGAACAAGATCATCCATGTAAGGAGCTCAGCACAGTGCCTGGCATCTAGCGAACATGCAATGAATGTCAGCTATTAGTAAAGCTTCAGCAATTGGTTTTATTTTGCTTTATAGAACATACAGAAATTGAGCTCCTCTATCTTTTTACAAATTGTTTAACGTATACTTTCATTAACTTCATTGTAAGAATTGATACTTTACCTCTAATGCATGAAGATCTTTCCCTGCAGTTTTAAAGCTCTTTCACTTATGATTACCTGCATTTATGAATAACTACAAACACAACTTCCATAGGTTCTTCTCCCTACTTATGCCCATAAAGTTAAACAAAGATAACATTTGGGAAAATATGAGAAAGTGTGTTTCTTCTTGTCTTGATACTTAGCTGGATACCAGCCCAGTGTTTGTAGATAGATTTTATTTAATAGAAAACTTGGGCAAACCAAAGTTAATATAAAGAGTATCTCCCACCTAATTCTCACTAGTTTTTATCCCTTTTTGCTTCTGAAGAGCAAAATCCCAATAACTCAACATAATAAAGACAAGCATCTCACAAGTACCATGGGTATAAGTGATACACAAAGAACATCTCTGAGAAAAAAAAATGTCAGTGATATTCACCAAACCTTCAAAGATTATTGGAGGACTTATGCTCATTAGGAATTCAGATTAGGAGAACTTTTGATGAATGCCTGCTGTTTGAAGTGTTAGAACTAGAAGTCCTGTCATCATAAACATCCTAGAAACAGGGGTCCTGCATGTTATGTATTCTGCACAGTACTCTCAACAAAATGGAGACAATAACACTTTATTAAATTATAATAATGGTGATTCATGGGGCAGTAACAGAAAAGTTGAGTATTAAGTATGCTTTTTATAATTCACAAGGATGTGGCCCTTAAAACAGAGGTCATCCAAGTGACATAAAAGTAAAGAAAATTGTCAGAGTTTCTGCAGTGTTAAAAATCATCCCAGATACCATCAAAATGAATATTTTGAATTTGGGTTCAGATAATGCCCCCCAAACAGTTAGATAATCAACTAAATAACTGCTGTATCTTTTAAGATCCTTCAATAATATCAGTCTGTGAACCTCTGACAGTTTCCCCTCCATTAAGTAGAGACCATAATATCTGCCTTGGCTGACTTAAGAACTGTTATGAGGAAAATAAGATATCACATGAAAAAACCCAAGCACAAAATAAGTGAGAGGTAGCATTATTACTATCACTACTCTATTTTACTATTATTATTACTAAAACAATAGCTATGATTAAATAAACGGATATTAAATCTTTCAGTTAGTCTGCATTAAGAGGAGATGAAAAAACAGACACAAAAACAAATTTATGGTTACCAGAGGGGAAAGGGGGTGGGGGAGGGATAAATTAGGAGTTTGGGATTAGCTGATACAAACTGCTACATATAGAATAGATAAACAACAAGGTCCTACTATATATAGCACAGGGAACTATATTCAGTATCCTGTAATAGGGATTTCCCTGGTGGCACAGTGGTTAAGACTGCCTGCCAATGCAGGGGACACGGGTTCCAGCCCTGGTCCGGGAAGATCCCACATGCCGCAGAGCAACTAAGCCTGTGCACCACAACTACTGAGCCTGTGTTCTAGAGCCCGCGAGCCACAACTACTGAGCCCACGTGTCACAACTACCGAAGCCTGTGTGCCTAGAGCCCGTGCTCTGCAACAAGAGAAGCCACTGCAATGAGAAGCACACACACCGCCATGAAGAGTAGCCCCCGCTCGCCGCAAGTAGAGAAAGCCTATGCACGGCAGCGAAGACCCAACCCAGCAGATAATAAATAAAATTAATTAATTCAAAAAAAATCCTGTAATAAACCATAATGGAAAAGAATCTGAAAAAGAATATATATAAATAATAACACATTATTATATATAATATATATAAATAATAACATATTATATATAATATATATAAAACTGAATAATTATATATATATATAACTGAATCACTTTGCTATACACCAGAAACTAACACAACACTGTAAATCAACTATATTTCAATTAAAAAATTTTTAATTAAAAAAAGAGGTGAAAGAAGAAACCTTTTTATAACTATGTGATGGTGTGAATATGGCAGTGACTTAGAATGGTTAGATAAGACTCCCACATCTCATGCCTGACAGATCTCCATGGCTTACGTTATACAAGGATAAAAGTCTGAACCAGTGGAAGACTTCGGTGCCTGGATTCTGCAAATTCCTTTTTCTAAAGGAAGAAGAAGAAGAAGACTATGTAATGCTTAACTCTTTCGGAAAACCTCGGTGATCTCTTCTGAGTGGCTGGAGAGATCAGGGAGCCAGTGCTGAGTTATGCAGTGAATTAAGACATGGGTAGGGGCTTCCCTGGTGGCGCAGTGGTTGAGAGTCCACCTGCCGATGCAGGGGAGACGGGTTCGTGCCCCGGTCTGGGAGGATCCCACGTGCCGCGGAGCGGCTGGGCCCGTGAGCCATGGCCGCTGAGCCTGCGCGTCTGGAGCCTGTGCTCCGCAACCGGAGAGGCCACAGCAGTGAGAGGCCAAAAAAAAAAGACATGGGCAGCTGATGATTAATACCTGTGTGATCCAGTTAATAACTTGGAGCCATGAGAAGCACAAAACTAAACTGGTTTGGCTGCTCCCACCCTTGGTAGCAGTAGCAGTAGGAGCAAGGTAGGCTCGGCCATGACCAGAAGGAATGTATGCGTGTGTATGAATGTGCCTGCTCACGGGCCTGCAGTCACAAAGTGACGTCCTTAAGTATGCAAGGTCCCACAGCCTGAGACCTGGCCACATTTGGGAGGGTGAAGGTGAGCTGTGCCATTTGCTTTTTTTTTTCATGGTAAATTGGAATTTATTACTGGGAATGGTGGGATGGGTTAGTAAGTATAATTGAACTATACAGAGTGGTCGTTAAGCCTGGAGATAATAGACAATTGTAGTGAAAAGTCATATCAACAAGCCATTTATTACGTATATCTCTGTCACCAGGCCTTTATGGCCATCTGTATATTTCCATATTTTGAATGCTCATTAATAGTGAGGGAGAACACTGACCAGAGCTTTATCTCATTCTTGTTAATTTCCTGAGTGTAGCTGTGGCACAGGGGTGAACTCGCCAAAACATGGGTAATCCAAGGAAAGGATACGGGGCTGGAGATAACCACAGTCTCGGCAATCTTTTCCCCAGTAACCAGGGGTGTTTAAGCCTAATTTTGAACTTTAAAATAATTTTTTTGTACTTAAGACCTTTTATATAATGAAAAATGCCTTGATCTGTATTCTTATAAATGGTGCTAAAATATGGTACTCCTACAGGAACCAGGGCAATCCACAGTAATGTTGGTTACTTCGAGTATTTCGATGTGGGAAGAAAGCGAAAATGAATGTATTTAATGAAAAAAAAAAAAAAGACTCCCACATCTCAGATCAATAGTGGGAATCGGTATCATTTATTATTTTGAGTGGGGCACCTAATCAGGGCTGCTGAAGAGAACATCAGGGGCACTAACCAAGATGAAGTGATCTGCCCACAAACGGGTCCTGTCAGGAAGAAAATGTTCAGGTCCTGAGAATTCCTCTCCCAACAGAAGCCCAGCTGGGCACAGATCACTTACCGGAAAACCTTCAACTGTCTTCATGAGCACCTCCCTACACAGCCCAGGGTACGAAGGTGTCAGCCTGGGTACAGGGAAGAGAAAGTCCCGCGTGTTTTCTTCATAATAGGCCAACTCTTCCCACGCTAGAAACAAAGGAAAAAAGGCATAAGCAGATTTATGTTCTGAAAATGATGTATCTACAACCCTGAGTTCAACAAAATAAAAGCTTAGACAAGTGATGGCAGAGACGGCACTCAGATAAAAATAGACATTTTGATCACAGCACCTGTTATTCAAGAGGCAACGACTTCTACTACTTTTTGTCTCATGCATAATTTTTAAAAGCCTTCCCAAGTCACTGCAGAGAAAAAGACTACCTAAAGGGTTGCTCCACAAAATAGAACAAAAGGGAAAATCTGTCCATCCATCTCTTTCCATCCAACATCGACAAATGTTTTCTAAGGAGACAAATGTTTTGTAAGGACATACCGTGGGCCAGGTCCTAGGGATAGAACAGGCAGACAATGCCCTGTTCACTCAAAGGTTACAGTGTAGACTAGGGTTCCATGTGTTCTGTGATGTAGGAATGTCAGCATCCCAATGGCTCAGAGAACAGCCAGAGCTGTGGTTCTCAGCAGTACTGGTAACAAACCCAGGGACATTTTGGAAATTTGTGGAGAAATTTCACAGGCAGGAACCAAAGTTCAAGGTATCCTGCAATGCTCAAGACACTCCTGCTCGACTATTTAACACCCTACCAGACATTCTTTCAGGCAAGAAAACTTTTTATAGTTATCTGAGCCTGGAATCTAACTGTTACATATAAACACAAAGCATTTTTTTGTACGACTTAAAAATACACTGAATTTTCAGGAATACAGGTACCAGGTAAATTAAGGAACAACTGTACTTTGCTTTGTTTGGATATTTACCAAGACCCTTTTGGCATTTTGAAAATCGTATCACATCCAAATATTACATTTTGCTCAACATCTACATATTAGTATACATGTCATTTTATTTTAAATCATTTTCCTTTGTATTTCTCCTTTATATTATGGCTGGAATACTATATATTTTTTGCAGTGACCTATATAATTGGTTATATTAACTGTGAATATTATTTCAGTATGGTAAAAGAGATAGTATGAAATACTCATTACCAAAAGATCATCTTGGGTGTAATATGATTAAGAATCACTGAGCTAAATGATGGAGAAGGTGCCTTCTACAAAACAGGTGCTATACAAGTGGTTTGGACCAAGAGTGGCCCCTGTACAGAGCACCACCAAAAAATTAACTGTAGTCAGTGAGGTAGCTTTGATACTGACCAGGGTTCCTGGCCTTCCCCAATCAATAGCAATTGACTAGAGGACAGATAAGAAACTCAGGCAAGGCTTTATTGGGGCCCCTGCGACCTCAGGTGGGAGCAAAAACAAATGTTTCCCTTGCTTGCTGGGTCCCAGACGCCGGACGAGCTGGTTCCTTATAAGGGGGTGAGGGTAGGGGTGTGTCCAGGGATCAGGCCAGAGGGTGGCTTAGGTGTTTTGCCCACCCCTCCAGTGGGGTGTATTGAGTGCAGGCGGCATGCTCAGGACCCTGCATTTGCTCCCCGACACCCTGTTTTTGCTCCAGTCTCTTCAGAAGTGGCAGGTGGGTTTTTTGGTCTCTTTGTATCTTTTGTCCAGAATTTGCCCCAACTACCCATGCACGCAGTTATTTTTAGTCCCATATAGTTTCTTTGTATTTCGTTGCTGGAGGATAGATGTGTCCAGGTGCAGGCATTGTAGCAAAGGGTCCCAGGTCCCAGCCTGTCTCAACTTTACTGTTTTGTGACTCCTATTTTATTTGTCTGAAGAATTCTGATGAGGGTATATTTTGGTGCATCAACTGTAGAAAATAACTGACCTTACATCAAATAATATGATGGATTAATTTCTTCCTACTTATTCCATTTAATATGAATGTTTGGATTCTAACAAGGATCAAAGTGCAAAAAGAATGTGTTCTACATTTTTCATCATATTTCTTTCTCTTCTTCCCTTCTCAGACATGCTCCAGCCACAAAGGACTGATGATGTGTCTTTCCCTCGTCTGCTCTGCACTTCCTCAGCTTATGCTATTTCTTACAAAACATCCTTTCTTCCTCCCCATCCTGCTGAAATTCTATTCGTCTTTCAAGTTTCACCTTAAGTGTCTTATAGTATCTCCAAAATAACAGGTCCAAAATAGAACTCTTGACTTTTTTCCACAAATCAGCTCTCCTCTACCTTCCCATCAGAGGAACCAGTACTAGTTACTCAAGCCAAAAATCTAGGATTTATCCTTGATTCCACTCTCACTCCTTACATCAATCCATTAGCAAGTTCTGTTGACTATATCTCCAAAATAAATCTAAATTTTGTTCCCTTCTCTCTATTATTACAGCTACCACCATGGTCCAAGCCCCCACCCTCCTCTCTCCTGGACTGCTGCCATGACCTCCTAGCTGGTCTCCCTGCTTCCATTCTTCCTGAACTCAAATCTATTCCCTACACACTGTGAGGTTACATCAGATTGTGACTTTCACGTGGTTAAACCTTCCAATAGGCTTGCCATCATATTAGAATAAAATCTAAGCATCTTATCCTAGCCTTTAAGGCTCTGTATAGTCAGGCCTCTAATCACCTCTCCTACTTCCTTTATTATCACTCTCCTCCTTGGTCATTCCATAGCATCCCTCCTGCCCTTCTTGCTGTCCCTCAAACACACCGAGGTCATCTCTACCCTAAAGATTTGTCCGTCTTTGGACTTCCCTGGTGGCGCAGTGGTTAAGAATCTGCCTGTCAATGCAGGGCACATAGGTTCAATCCCTGGTCCGGGAAGATCCCACATGCCACAGAGCAACTAAGCCCGTGTGCCACAACTACTGAGCCCGCATGCTGCAACTACTGAAGCCCGCCTAGAGCCTGTGCTCCACAACAAGAGAAAACACCTCAATGAGAAACCCGCACACCGTAACGAACAGTAGCCCTAGCTTGCCGCAACTAAAGAAAGCCCGCATGCGGCAACAAAGAACCAACACAGCAAAAAATTAAATAAATAAATTTATACATATATTTTAAAAAAGGTACTGGATTTAGGGCTCACTCTAAATCCAGGATAATCTCACCTTGAGATTCTTAACTTAATTAGCATTATACATTCCATGATCTGTGATACCAGCTCAGCAGTGCTCCCCACACTACGCTGGTCTGCACAAACATCGTGTGTTTCCGATCGTATGTTCCTATTGGGAACAAACACCTGGTATGATGCTCTACACAGTGGGCTTTTCCTTTTTCCTTTCATATGTTTTTGGCTAGTTCTCGTCACTGCATCCAAAATGATAGCTATTACTTACTATTCATACATTTAGCAAGAATTAAGATAAAAATGAGAGGTCCGAGAATTGGAAGTGAGTTATCTGCTATCTTTGGCATCACTGGAATAAAAAAGAAACTGAAATAGGCTTAGAGAAACAGAAGGTTGTGAAGCTTCTCAATTCTATCTCTCTGGTTTGGTCATTTTCTAAAGATCCAAACTACCACCCAGTGTGAAAATGTCAGCACACCAAGGGGATGTTACAGCAAGAGCCTAGGTTATAAATAATAAATAAACATGTGCACAGGCTGAGCAAGTCTCATAAGCCAAGTAAAATGCCTGAAAGAGCTTGGTGTTCTTAATAGGCTAACGGCACAGACAGGGACATCGTCAATGCCATTAGTGAAAAACTTCTCCCTGAAAAAGGAAACAAATGAGACTTTAAGAGAAATAATAATTTTAATAACGATACTGCTTCTAGAAACATCTAATATTTAGAGAGCATATCAGAATTGACAGCTTGCTTCCCCATATGGAGTCTCACTTGATTCCTTCTTTACAGATAAATGAGGCTCTGAGAGTTGAAGACACTTGTCATGATGCCAAATGGCAAAGCAGGAATTCAAAACCAGATCATCTGAGGCAGGAGTTCTTTCCTTGCTGATGCCTAGTAAACATCACTATGAAGTATAAAATCAAGCTCTGGGGCTTCCCTGGTAGTGCAGTCATTAAGAATCCACCTGCCAATGCAGGGGACACGGGTTCGAGCCCTGGTCCGGGAAGATTCCATATGCTGCGGAGCAACTAAGCCCGTGTGCCACAACTACTGAGCCCGCACTCTAGAGCCCATGAGCCACAATTACTGAGCCCGCGTGCCTAGAGCCCGCGCTCCGCAACAAGAGAAGCCACCGCAATGAGAAGCCCGCGCACCACAACAAAGAGTAGCCCCCACTCACCGCAACTAAAGAACGCCTGCGAGCAGCAATGAAGACCCAACGCAGCCAAAAATAAATTAATTTAAAAAAAAATCAAGCTCTGATTCACGGAATGGGTGCCCACTAAAAAAGAGCATTTTACAGCTGGACTGAATATACATGACTTATCCCAAAGTAGAAGTTTCTGTGTAAGAGGTCAATAAAAAAAAAGCACCAAGCTCTCTGTCAAACAGAATTATGCTGCCCTCCTGTGTCTATTTGCTTTTTCCCATCTTTGTAAACTGAAGACCCAGAGGAGTCTTTATTACTTCTAAGCCAAATCATTGGATCTCTTCATTCTTTAGAAGTAAAGCTGTATGCAAATCTGAGGTACTTGTATCACAAACTTAATGGTCATAATATGTCTTTTGATTATAGTAAGTGTGTTTGAAAGTGCTATGAAACAATATCAAATACAGTAATATCTACAACAAAATGAAAAGGTAACAATTCGGCCAAAGAAGAATTGTTCCCTGAGAACCTAAATGTGGCCCATGGGACCCCACAGCACAGTCCACTTGAGACTTTAAGCAAATAATTTTTACTTAATTAGCTAGTATCAAGAACCAGCAGATCAAGGCGGCTCACCATCACCACTCTGTACCTGGTGCCACTGGCATACCACCAGGAAATGGCACAGTGTAGGGCATTTTCTAAGTACACCTTCAATAAACATATGTTGGACAAATTAATGGATCAATCTGTAATGCATCTGAAGCTAAACAAAATTAATTATATCAAGCAATTCAAGTTTAATTCCACTAAAATTACAATCTGAAATTGAAGGATTGTAGACAAAAGGAAGACAAGTACAATAAAGCCCCCACTTTGTATCTGATTAACTTCTGAGTTATAACCTGTAAGCATGCACCCAGCTTCAATATTCTCCAGTCATCACAATTTTGAACCATTCTTGCAACCTTCTCACAGGTGGATTTCCGGTCAAGTAAAAAAAAAACTGGCAGTCAAAAATATACCAAATTTTAAAAAGTTGCAGGAAATATACATTCAATCTATATATATACATATATACATGAAATATACATATACTAAATATTAGACATATTTAATATTTATGTATATATATGTGAGTGTTTGTGTATATGTCTATATATTTCAGAATTGGTTGAATATACTAAATGCATTATACATATTAAATGCATTATAAAAGGCCTAAGAAAGATATACAACAAATTGTTAATTGTAATTATTGTCGGAGGTTGTTGAAGAATGTGAATTTTTACTTTTCGTTTTATATTATTTTGTTATTTACAATTTTTACAGTGAGGATATTTATTATAGATATTGGGTAATCTTTTTAACTCACGAAAAATTAAATAAGATCAAAATGGTCCTGCTTCTGTTTTGTTAGCATACTAAAATATAACTTGCCAGTTAACAGTGACATACGTTTGAACATAAAATTGGGTCAAATAAAAAACTTATGGAATGGGGCTTCCCTGGTGGCACAGTGGTTGAGAGTCCGCCTGCCGATGCAGGGGACACGGGTTCGTGTCCCAGTCCGGGAGGATCCCACATGCTGTGTAGCGGCTGGGCCCGTGAGCCATGGCCACTGAGCCTGCGTGTCCGGAGCCTGTGCTCTGCAACAGAAGAGGCCACAACAGTGAGAGGCCCACGTACCGCCAAAAAAAAAAAAAAAAAATTATGGAAGAAAACTCAATGCCCTGATTTTAGCCTGTTACTTTTAGGCTAAAAAACATTCAGTGAGAATTTCTGAAAAGCAGGTAGGAGGCATCTCTGATCTTCCCTCTGTTCTGCCTACCTAAGAAAGCACTGACATATACAAGTGTGTCCATCCCTAGACCCACCGAGAGTGGGGTTCTTATCTGTTTTCAGGACATGCCTCTGCCAACAAACTAAGCAGCAGAAGAAATAACTACAGACTACTGGGTCCACTCCACTCCACTGGGGCCCTTGACCTGCTGCAGAGCAGCCACAGTAGGCAGGGCCATGATCCTCATAAAAGCCTCCACAGCCACCTCTGCTTTAGCTGAGGCATCTACCAGACTCACCTTCCTTCTCCTATGCTTTCTTTTTTTTTGCAGTATGTGGGCCTCCTGCTGAGCACAGACTCCGATCGCGCCGGCCCAGTGGCCATGGCTCACAGGCCCATCTGCTCCGCGGCATATGGGATCTTCCCGGACCGGGTCACGAACCCGCGTACCCCTGCATCGGCAGGCGGACTCCCAACCACTGCGCCACCAGGGAATCCCCTCCTATGCTTTCTTAAGAAAAAGAAAGTTTCACACAATAAAATATCAAAATAATGCAACAAAACAGGGGAAATACATATGTGTTAAGCATAACTGATTTAAAACTTTGGTGAAAATATCAGGAATTTATACCAAAATGCAATGTTAATATGCAGACATCACTCCACAAGTAATCAAAGGACACTGACAGTCATACTATACAGAAGGAAAGAAAGAAAACAAATTATAATATGGGAAAATAGAAAATTTCTGAAGTAAATTTAAAATGTTAAGGTTGTCACAAATCATATCTAAAAAGAAGGGACCGGAAAATATGGTGAAATATATTTTAAAGAATTATTACACACTTTATAAACACAAAAAATCCAAATGATAGCATCCAGCATTAGCTAGGATATGGGGAACAGGCACTCTATACAGTGCTGAATGCAGTAGAAATAATGGAAACTTGCTGGGGATCAGTTTACTCTCAGGTTATAAGATATGGTTCAGTCTAGCAATTCTATTCTTTACAAATATATCAAGAGAAAAAATAATTGTTATAAATATATGAAAGACAAAGAAATCCTAATGAGCAGCAATATCAATTTAAGATTGGTAATAACACTATGGAAAATACATACCTATTGAAAATGACAAATAAGTTACCTACAGGTAACAATGTAGAGTGAAATAGTAAAACCCCAAATATTATTTACAGACTTTTTATAGACCTATAAAAACACATAAGTAAATTCATGAAATTCTTCATTTTACCAAAAATAATGCTTTTCGATCTGTTTTTAAAAATTACAGTATAACAGTAACATATAATTGGGGAAGTTAGTAAGAGAAGAAAATGTATGTGACATTATTTATGTAAAAATTCCATATCCATGTGTTCTTCTAACCACAGAGAAATAGCAAGAAACATGTTCACCAAAATATAAATAAAGGTTTCCTCAGCATTTGGGGATGCTTTTTACAAGTTAAAACTGTGAAGCTGGGAAGGGAAAGGGCAAAGCTTATGTTAGCAAATATGAGAAGAGTATTAGAAATGTTTCTGAGTTTTAGGTATCCTCTCTCTCTCTCTCTCTCTCTCTCTCTCTCTCTCTCTCTCTCTCTCTCAACATGCACAGACACACATACACGCAGACTCTAAAATCACCAGATAATCAGCCACATTGAGAAACTCTGAGAAGTGGTGTCACCAGGTGGCAGTTCCTACTTGCTCTCACTAGCTCAGGTCTCTTGCATAACACAAAACAAAGTCATCACAGAACCGTTTCCTCCTAAAGTCCCATGATTCCAGCACAGAGGTCTCAAACTTTTCCTGCAAGGGCCAGAGAATAAATATTTTAGGCTTTGCAAGCCATATAGTCACAACTACTGAACTCTCATTCCAGCACAAAAGCAGCTGATGATTATTAGATAAAATTATGAAAAAATGGAAGGTCAAAGAACCTGTTTAAGCTATGCTTACTGCTTTTTCAAACCCATAAAGTTACTCTTCTGAAAGTGGGCAAAACTCAACAGACTGGTGGGGGTAAACAGCATGTGTTATATAAAGCACAGCTTTTAAATGCCAGTCCGCATTTTGTCATGCCAAAATCCTTTTAAATTTAAATTAAACTAATTTAGAAATTCATTTATTGGCACATTACCTGGAGGCACTAGCTGTATTAACTCAAACCTGGTTAGAAAGCCTAAAAAGGAAAAATGAGATATTAATACTTTAGAATACTGTCAGAGTTTTTCGTTAATTACTAAGTTTAAAACTGCCATAACACCCCATTTACATTACTACTACTGATAGTAAGTGGCATACCAACAATGATTCAGGTATTTCTAGACCCAGTAAATTAGGGGCATGGGGTGAGAATAACTGAGTTATAAACATAGCATTTAAAACAAACAAACAAACAAAAAAAAAACATAGCATTTTGTCTCCTGAAAAATATTGACAAAATATGATACTTTCTCTCTTAAAGATGTATTCATAAATCACGGAAATAACAATATACTACTGTTCATTTAAAAAATTCAAAATACAACTGTTATCCATCAACCTATAAAAGCTTATCTTGCTTAAAACAGTATGCTATATGACTATATAAATTAGGCATAAAACAACATTTTTTTTATATTTCCTGAGTTCAAAATATATTTAGAAATAGTGAGCCCAAAGAAGATATACAGATTGCCAACAAACACATGAAAGAATGCTCAACATCACTAATCATTAGAGAAATGCAAATCAAAACTACAATGAGGTATCACCTCACACCAGTCAGAATGGCCATCAACAAAAAATCTACAAACAGTAAATGCCGGATAGGGTGTAGAGAAAAGGGAACCCTCTTGCACTGTTGGTGGGAATGTAAATTGATACAGCCACTATGGAGAACAGTATGGAGGTTCCTTAAAAAACTAAAAATAGAACTACCATATGACCCAGCAATCCCACTACTGGGCATATACCCTGGGAAAACCATAATTCAACAAGAGTCATGTACCACAATGTTCATTGCAGCTCGATTTACAATAGCCAGGACATGGAAGCAACCTAAGTGTCCATCGACAGATGAATGGATAAAGAAGATGTGGCACATATATACAATGGAATATTACTCAGCCATAAAAAGAAATGAAATTGAGTTATTTGTAGTGAGGTGAATGGACCTAGAGTCTGTCATACAGAGTGAAGTAAGTCAGAAAGAGAAAAACAAACACCTCATGCTAACACATATATATGGAATCTAAAAAAAATAAAAATAAAAATGTTCTGAAGAACCTAGAGGCAGGACAGGAATAAAGATGCAGACGTAGAGAATGGACTTGAGGACATGGGGAGGGGGAAGGGTAAGCTGAGACAAAGTGAGAGAGTGGCATGGACTTATATATACTACCAAATGTAAAATAGATAGCTAGTGGGAAGCAGCCACATAGCACAGGGAGAGCAGCTCGGTGCTTTGTGACCACCTAGAGGGGTGGGATAGGGAGGGTGGGAGGGAGACACAAGAGGAAGGGGATATGGGGATATATTTATAGGTATAGCTGATTCATTTTGTTATAAAGCAGAAACTAACACACCATTGTAAAGCAATTATACTCCAATAAAGATGTTAAAAAAAAAATAGCGAGGGCTTCCCTGGTGGCGCAGTGGTTGAGAGTCCGCCTGCAGATGCAGGGGACATGGGTTTGTGCCCTGGTCCGGGAGGATCCCACGTGCTGCAGAGCGGCTGGGCCCGTGAGCCATGGCCGCTGAGCTTGCGCGTCCGGAGCCTGTGCTCCACAATGGGAGAGGCCACAACAGTGAGAGGCCCGCGTACCGCAAAAAAAAAAAAAGAAAAATAGTGAGCCCATGTTCAGTGTCTATAAGGCCAAGAATAAAATTTAAATATTGAAAGTAATTTAAAATACAAATGGTATAACAATAAAAAATCAGTAAAGATAATTTCCACAACATATTAGAAAAACATTTTAATATAGACAATAATGGTGATTATAGTTAATACTGTAGTTGAAAGTTACTAAGAGAGTAGATCTTAAATGTTCTCACCACAAAAAAGAAATGGTAATTATGTAACGTGCTACAGGTGTAAGCTAACACTACTGTAATAATCATTTTGCAAAATATCTGAGTATCAAATCAACATGCTGTTACCTTAAACTTACACAATGTTGTATGTCAATTATATCCTGAAATAAAGCTGAAAAAATATATATACAATAAAAAATATATACAAAAAAATAAAAAAATTCTCCCTTTGTAGATTTATGAAAAACATTAATACATGAGGACAGAATTTTAAATGCCAAGAAACTTAAAAGCCAAGACACCCCATAATTTTGGGTTTTCCAAACAGGAGGAAGGACTATATCTTTTCCAACCATCACCCCAATGGTAATGTAAAGCGCTTAAGCTATCTCAGTCTCTAAATTCCTTACACTCAATTAATTCTCACCACGTGGCATGTCATGAATTGGAAGACTTAATATTGTTTAGATGGTAATATTCTCCAAACTGATCTACAGGTTCAATGCAATCTATCATTGCCTATCAACATCCTAGCTGGCTTCTTTGCAGAAACAGACAAGCTGATCCTAAAATTCGTATGGCAAACTAAGGGAACCCAAATAGCAAAAACAGGCTTGAAAGAGAAGAACTAAGTTGGAGGACTCACACTTCCTGATTTTAAAACTTTCTATAAAGCTACAATAATCAAAATAGTGTGGCACTGTAATAATGATAGATTTATGAATCAATGGAATAAAATTGAGACCCCCCCCACCCCCAAAAAAACACCTCACATTTACAGTCAATTGATTTTCAACAAGAGTGCCATGACCATTCAATGGGGGAAAACTACTCTTAGTAACAATGGTGCTGAGACAACTGGATATCCAGATGCAAAAGAATGAAATTGGACCCTTAGCTCATGCCATTTACAAAAATCAACTCAATATGTATTATAGACTTAAATGTAAGAGCTAAAATGATAAAACTCTTAGAAGAAAATATAGACATAAATCTTTGACTTGAATTACACAATGGTTTCTTAGTTATGACATCAAAGGCAGAAGTAACAAAAGAAAAATAGATAAAATATAATTCATCAAAATTAAAAACGTTTGTGTTTCAGAGAACACCATTAAGAAAGCAAAAAGATAGTCCAAAGAATGGGAGAAAGTATTTGTCAATCATACATCTGATATGAAAGTTATATCTATAATATATAAAGAACTTACAACTCAATAATAAAAACCCAATTAAAATATAGGAAGAGGATCCGAAGAGACACTTCTCCAAATAAGATATACAAATGGCCAATAAGCACATGAAAAAATGCTCAACATCATTAGCTATCAGGGAAATGCAAATCAAACCCACGAGATACCACTTCATATCCACAAGGATGGCTACCAATCAAAAGGATAAATAATAACAAGTGCTGGCCAGGATGTGGAGAAATCAAATCTCATATATTGCTGGTGGAATGTAAAAGGATACAACTCCTTTGGTGTAATCTGGAAATTCCTCAAAAAATTAAACTGAGTTACCACATGACCCAGCAAGTCCACTCCTAGGCATACACCCAACAGAAATAAAAACATGTTTACAAAAAAAACTTGTACACAAATATTTATAGCAGCATTATTCATCATAGCACCAAAGCAAAAATAATCCAGATGTCCATCATCTGATGAATGGATAAACAAAATGTGGTTTATCCATAAAATGGGACATTATTTGGACATAAAAAGAAGTGAAATCTTGACACATTCTATAGCAAGGAAGAATCTTGAAAACATTATGCTAAATGAAAGAATCCAGTTACAAATGACCACATATTATATAATTCCATATATATGAAATATCCAGAATACGCAAATCTATAGAGGCAGGAAGATTAGTCAGTAGGTTCCTAGGGCTGGAAGGGATGAGGAAGAATGGGTATAGGGTTTCTTTCCATGGTGATGAAAATGTTCTAAAATTGATTATGGTGATGGTTAAACAACTCTGTTAAGATACAAAAACCATTTAATTGTAATAAAACAAACATAATCATACCATCCAGTAAATGCCATACATATCTAGAAAAGGGTTTGTAATTGAATCAATGACATGATTGAAATTTTACACAGACTATCTTGAACATAAATATGGGGTAAATGTGGAAGTATCACAACTTAGAAAATAGAATTTTATATCTGTGAATTACATATACACAATAGTCTCTCTCTCTTTTGTTGGGGGTGAAGGGGGGAGTACCTACTTTCTAAAATGTCTGCTACAGCTCCAGGATCTATTGCATTTTCAAATACCTGCAGGAAAAAAAATGGGGAAAATAAATCTTCAAAGTTTTATTAATATATACTTATAGAAAATCTAGAGCATATTCTTCCAAATAATTAACACATGTCAAATCCAGCCATATAATATTTTAGGATTCAACAGGAGTACCTTTGACAGGTATGTGGTTAAAAGTTCAACAAATGACTATAGAATAAATGAATGAGAATTAACACAACACCAAGTACAAGGAAAATTTAAGTTAGCTGAATCTGCCACATGTTCAAAACGTCATCTACTTGACCTAGCCCCACAGTTTGTTGCTAAAAGCACATCTGGCATCTACCTGAAAGAGTCTTGTTTGAGTACCTAGAAAAACATCCTGAATACAACAGATACTTATTACATGTTAACTGAATAAATGACTTCTCTTCCCAAGCCATTGGTTGTGCTAAAAAGGAACATAAATAAAAATTCTATGTGCAACACAAAAGAAAAGCTAAGTACTCATAGCTAGACTCCCACAGAATCCAAAAATAACAAGAGAGAGAGCCTCATAAGTTTTAGGTGTATCATGAAGCACAAGAAAAACACTGTGATACCTGTCTACCCACAGCCAAATATGTTTATTTTGTCCTTGAGATAAAAGGGCCTAGGGGACTGAGGTAAAGGTATAACATGACCCTCTCCCTGAACTCTAGAACCCTGTAAGAAACATAAGTTTTCAGCAGAGTTTGTTTTCAGGCATTAAATTTCTGATTTAAACGGTGTTTAACCTAAAGCATGATTAAAATCTGCTCTTGATCCAAAACCAGGTCTGCTTTAACCACAAAAGTGGAGGCTGTCCCCTGTAATCCACTTCTGTCTTACTGACTTGGATTTAACAAGCAAATGTGAGTGAGCTGGGGGTTTTTCCAAAATTATTCCAGTAATATTAGTTCATCCCTTCTCTTCATCCATGTCTAAGAATTTTCTCAAGGATGATCGTGGGGAATAAATGATCAACATGAACTGCTCAAACACAATGGCTCATACATTCTTTATGAGTAATTTCTTGTTTATCTGAATGCTTTAGAACATTGAATTCTGAATGATACAGAAGGTCCAAGGAGGAGAAAGTTTTCACTACTCCCTGCAAGTATTTGCAGCTAGAGAATGGAACAGATACAAGAAAGCTAGAGCCAACTGGTAGAAAGCTTGAATATGAACTCAAACAGCTCACACAAGAAGGCAGCTTTTCAAAATTTAAAATAAAGCATTTATTTACTTGCACTTTATAAAATGAAAAATGGTCTGTGATATCTAGTAATCTCAAATACACAGCTTTGTGACATCTAGAGTGTGATTCTGACACTCATTCTCCTCTTCTGCAAGTCAGGGAGCTTGGACTAGATGACCTCCAAGGTCATTTACAGATTGATTTACAGCTTCTACAATTTTACATCCTTGGGCTTCTTATAAAAAGATGTTTAAAGTCTTCTAGAAAAGCAAATTTACAATTGATAAAACTAATAAGGAAATTCTTGGGGGAAAAAAATAGACTGGATTTTCACCACCCACTTTTTAACCATGACCAACATTGAAATGGTTAGAACTAGGTTCCTTTGGATTCGGACTGTATGTTCCAAGATAATATCCATTTATTCCTCTCTTATCCAACCAGTTTGGAAGACTATTTAAATTAACAGGCTGGCTCAGAAAGAGAAAAACAAATACCGTATGCTAATGCATATATATGGGATCTAAAAAAAAAATTAAAATGGTTCTGATGAACCTAGGGGCAGGAGAGGAAAAAAGATGCAGATGTAGAGAATGGACTTGAGGACACGGGGAGGGGGAAGGGTAAGCTGGGACGAAGTGAGAGAGCAGCATGGACATATATACACTACCAAATGTAAAACAGATAGCTAGTGGGAAGCAGCCACATAGTACAGGGAGATCAGCTCGGTGCTTTGTGACCACCTAGAGGGGTGGGATAGGGAGGGTGGGAGGGAGACGCAAGAGGGAGGGGATATGGGGATATATGTATACATATAGCTGATTCACTTTGTTATATAGCAGAAACTAACACAACATTGTAAAACAATTATATTCCAATAAAGATGTTAAAAAAAAAAAGAAACCAAAGGCAGCAATGGAGGTTGGATTAAATGTATGTTGGAAAGGGATCAAAGCCTTTGGAAATGATGCCATAAATGTGTATTTAATGATACACAAAGGAAGTAATGATCAATATTAAGTAATAAGGCACATTATAACTGAATTAACAGATGAGAATTTTTTGGTGTTGTTGCCCTATTGTATGTGTGTTTCTATGTTTTAAGAATTGTGTGGCTATAGTTTGTTCTCTCCCCACTCCTTACATAATACTTATATTTTATCACATCTATAAAGTGCATTAATTGAGGTAAAAATAAAACAAGGGAAACATAAAAAAAAATGGTACTGATGAACCTAGTGGCAGGACAGGAATAAAGACACAGACATAGAGAATGGACTTAAGGACACGGTGGGGGCTGGGGAAGGGGAAGCTGGGACGAAGTGAGAGAGTGGCATGGACATATATACACTACCAAATGTAAAATAGATAGCTAGCGGGAAGCACCTGCAAAGCACAGGGAGATCAGCTCGGTGCTTTGTGACCACCTAGAGGGGTGGGATAGGGAGGGTGGGAGGGAGGCTCAGGAGGGAGGGCATCTGGGGATATATGTATACATATAGCTGATTCACTTTGTTATACAGCAGAAACTAACACAACACTATAAAGCAATTATACTCCAATAAAGATGTAAAAAATTAATTAATGGGCTGTGATTTATAAAAATATTACACACAGCCCTAGCCCTTTCAAAAATCAATCCTCATTTCCTCTGCTACTCTGATATAGACAGGTCATTTTCAGGGCACCACCATCCAGACCTTTAAAAGTGACAGGCCCTACCCTGAAGCCTTCCCATTCTCATCCTCTCCCCAGTAGAACCACCTCAGTGATATTTTTTGGGACAAAATCATAGGCTTATCAAGGTTAAAACTGATTCAATCTCTAAATTCCAAAACAAAAACTTCAAGAGATTGTCAGTGATTGGATAGTAATGAAATTAATGTTCCATTAAATATGAAAGTGGGAAGAGGGTTGGTAACGTTTTGGCTACTTATATTATGATCACATTCACTGGAATGGAATATAGCTTTTATCACTGCAGCTAAATAAACCAGATATGACCTAAGGAAACTCAGTAAATCTAAAAAGCCTTCTTGTTTTGTTACAGGATTTCACATACAGGATTTAACTAATTTGGTTAGTCTGGGGTATTTTTCTGAATCTAAAAAAGTTTGTTTCTAAGGTCTGCTAGTTTATTGATAATCTCTGTCAGAATGTACACAGCTGCCTCTAACACTTCCAAGAACATTCAGAAAATGCTCTCTGTTCCAGTTAGAAAATGCCATGGGAGTTCCAAAAATAGAAAACATCTACCAGGGTACTTAGCACTAGTTTGACAGAACTTGGCTCAGATCTGGGATGCAAAAGCAAGTCCTCCAACTATGATTCTGCACTGTGCTGAGGTGCCTTCATGTATTTTTTTTTTTAAAGAAAATTTACAAAATAACTTTATAAAAGCTGTGTTTTTTATAAGAACCACTAAATGATCCTCAGACAACAGAATTTGAATTTCTCTATTTAGCAATGAAAAAGTCAAGATCACCTTTTCAAACCTCATGCTCCGCTGAATCATAATAGGGAACACGGAAGGAAAGCAGTGTGTCTCCAGGTACTGATTCAGGAGGTAAACCCCAAGGAACACATCTTGCTTGCCAGGAAGGCACACCCCTGGGCAAGAAATCTTAAAAACAAAGAAAAAAATAGAGAACAGGGTTTGCGTTTTGCTTTGTAAAGGGTCTATTTCCCCTAACCTCCCACAAACAATGTCAAATTTCCCCCACCACCGTAACCCTCCCCTCTCTCCTATAGCACTACCCTCCCCTCTCCTCTCCTCGCTCAAACTGGAAATTCCAATTTCCTCCCAAGTCTCCGCCAGGTGTCACAATCGTCCTCTCGCTGGCTCCTCTCCCCGCCCCTCCAGGATGGCAGTGCGGAAGCGGAAGAGGCTGCAGGGCCGGGAAGCTTCTCCTTAGGCTGGCCGGGTGCTGCGGTCCGGGCCGCCCGCCGCGATGCCGAGCCCCCGGAGGAACGCCGAGGGACGCCCGCTGGCCGCCTGCGCCCCGAGCAGCAGCGGCAGCCCGGCCCATGGCGGCGGCGGCGGCAGGTTCGAGTTCCAGTCCCTGCTCAGCAGCCGCGCGCCGGGCGCCGACCCCACCTGCGCCCGGCTCCGCGCATCCGAGAGCCCAGTGCACCGCCGCGGCTCGTTCCCCCTGGCCGGGGCGGGCTCCTCGCCGGCGCTCCCGTCCCCGCTGCCCGAGGAGGACCGCATGGACCTGAACCCGTCCTTCCTGGGCATCGCCCTGCGCTCCCTGCTGGCCATCGACCTGTGGCTGTCTAAGAAGCTGGGGGTGTGTGCGGGGGAGAGCTCATCCTGGGGCAGCGTGCGGCCCCTTATGAAATTGCTGGAGATCTCGGGACACGGCATCCCCTGGCTGCTGGGCACCCTCTACTGCCTGTCCAGGAGCGACAGCTGGGCCGGGCGAGAGGTGCTGATGAACCTGCTCTTCTCCCTGCTGTTGGACCTGCTGCTGGTGGCCCTGATCAAGGGGCTGGTCCGCAGGCGCCGCCCGGCCCACAACCAGATGGACATGTTTTTCACCCTTTCGGTGGACAAGTACTCCTTCCCTTCGGGCCATGCCACCAGGGCCGCCCTGGTCTCACGGTTCATCCTGAACCACCTAGTGCTGGCCATTCCACTGAGGGTGCTCGTGGTACTGTGGGCCTTCATCTTGGGCCTCTCCAGGGTCATGCTGGGGCGGCACAATGTCACCGACGTGGCTTTTGGCTTTTTTCTGGGCTACATGCAGTACAGCATCGTGGACTATTGCTGGCTTTCACCGCACAATGCTCCAGTCCTCTTTGTACTGTGGAACCAACCATGACACCATCTCATTTGTTATGGCACCAGATCTGAAAGTTTCTACACGTGACGATGCTGACATAAACCAGCAGCCATCCTGCTTGCCCCCCTAAGGATTTCAGGCTTCCTTTTGGGATTTCAGGTGTCCTACAATCTTGATGGGTTGCTAGGCTAGAGCACAGTGCTGACCATTACTGATGACAGCCATATTATAGAAAGCAACCCCCCCCTCTATTATATACCTATTGAACAACTTTTTATATCTCCAGGACAACTGCAAAGAAACCAAGTTGAGGTGATTATAATATTGCTGCTTTTTAAAAGTTGACATCAGAAAATTTTTTGTGTAATCCTGTAAGTCAACATATCACTTGTAAACTGAACTTTGAAAAAACAAATCACCTTCATTCTGTAAATATACAGGCAGATGAGCCACATACTAATCCTAGTTCTTTTCCTGAGGTAGATTTTAAACAGTACTTTAAGAGTCTAAGACATAGGTTATTCTAATTTATCCTCTGAAGATCTGTTACCACAGTTGGGAAGATTTATTCTTACTCCTAATTTTCTTGGTATGCTTTCTTAGTTTTGTCTCTTACATCTTTGCGCATCAGGTAGTGAGAAGAGAGATTATAGTACATATCTTTCTCTCCTTTTCCTCTACCTCCTCAAAAGATCTTTAAAAAGATATTTATTTCCCACTAATATTGTCTTTCTGCATTCAGAGAACAAACCAAGAACTTACCTAAAGAAGAAACACTTAAAGGCGGGCATATCGACAGTGCCCATAGAAAAGTAAAGATGGGACTATGGCCTCATGCTTAATTCTGTTGACAGCAAATAGCATGGCATGACAGAGGACAGAAGAGCGAAGCTGCTGAGGAGATCAAAGGAACTGAGAGTCTGGGGGTAGGCTCACTACATACTTTGTCAGTGGACCAACATGGAAGATGGGCCCTGCTGCCTACCATCTCTACTGAATAAAGAATAATGCTTCTTTAATGAGGTAATAAAATGGAAAAATAACTTGATTCTTTGCAATGCAACAGCATAAGCTTTCAAATATATACCACAAGGATGACCCTGTATATTATATTTTTCATATGGAATTCCATTTCCCTGTATACAGCGCACTTTAGGTAACAGTATTTAACTTGAAATTCATCAAGTGGAGCCTACTGCTATACCAGGCACAAAGTATAACTCCTAAATTTCCATTTATATTGACCCTCACAATTAAAGCAGTTTATCGATGGTGCCTCCCCGAATCACAAGACCAAAAACCTCCAAATGCAGGGTGGACTCTGCTCATTATTCTTTGATCAGGAAAGATGGAAGAGGGTGTGTGCTTTAAATGCTGCTCTGCCTGAAAATATGAACCTTTAAATTACCTATGGAACTGGTGTCTTTAGATAATCTTAACAACCAATTATTTTGACATTTATAAATAGAAAGGATTATGGCATTTGATCTGTCATATAGAGATGTACATAGGAATCCGGAGAATGGCTGTGACAGGTAGGCTCTGATTGGGTGGAAGTGTGAACTTTCTGAGCGTGACAGGAACACTGAAAAAGGAATAGCTACTTTTCAAAATGAAGCAAAATTATTTGCATTTCCACAACATCCTGAACACAGACTACATCTTCACTTCCTGAATCAGCCAAACTGTGACACTCTAAGTGGTTTCCTTTATTGTTTAGACTTAAAGAGATCCTTTATTTTAATTGCAGCAATATTCAGGCCAGATATTTGGAAGCAGTTTTTCCTCTTGCAGCATCTACAAGTCTGAATACTGGGAGATCAAAATTAGGCTCACCTCCTTTCTGGTTATTTTTCTGGAATTCCCTTATCTTGGTTGCTGGGGCCTGAGTTTGCTGGCTTTTAAAGCACAGATCAATTCACCTGATTTTTTTGAAGCATCCTAAGTACTGTAGAATAAAAAAACTGATTCCACTGTTAATTGTACACTGAAGAATACCATTTAAAAATCAAAATAAAATTAACCAGTAATGTTGAATGAAGTGAGATGAAAACTTGTTTAATTTTTGCCTTAATAAGTAGGAAGACAGATTTATCACTCGTCTCAAGAATTCCTTCATCTTACTGCACAATTGTGAGAGGTCACAGTTGATATAGCACAAATGATATAGTCTGGTCCTATTTGCTGTCAGCAAAATCAGTCAAACCCAGGAGATTTCCATCTTTGTTTCAGAGCTGCACTTAGGATGAAATCACAGCATCTGTCACTTGTATGGAGGCTAACCAGATTTTCCATGGCCGTAAACTGTTGGTGTTCTGCTTATAAACCTGGCCAGTAGAGAAGCTCCTTATAGCTTTCAGGCAAAGCTGCCTGACAGTCTGTCACCAACTACACATGGAAGGGTTGGAAAATGGAAGCTGAAATAAGGAATGACTGACCCCAAACAGGAACAATGGAGTCACTTTGCCACAGCACCTCACTTAAGCAGGATTCAGTGGATAATTATTAAACAGCTGTTGATTGATCCCTTTTGGAATTAGCAAGCCAGAGCTATCTGTAGGGGAAGTATCTTAGAAATACTTGATTGGTTTATAGAGGTGGCAAATTATCAGGGAAGTGATCTGGCTTTCTGAAATTAAAATCTTCCCTGGTTATTTAAAGAAGGGGCTTTTTAATCTTCACAAATCTGTATCCCGGAAAAGAAAATAAAATCCTTCTTGGACTTAATGCAAGGTTATTTTAAAAGAACAGAAAAATTCCAGATAAAGCCAAGAAACAGGCTTGGGGGCGGGACGGTGGGGGGGGGGGGGGGGGGGAGGAGGGGTGGGAAGAGGTTGAGTTGAACTAAAGGTTAGAAAGTAAGAAAAGGCCAATGTGGAGAATCTTAGGGACAGAGGTAGGATTAATGATGTGTGTGGGGCGAGGGGTGGTGAAAACGACCCAGAACCATTTTAGAACCCTGGGGAAAGAGTCTGATTTGGGCCAAAGAGGAGAGGTTCGTCGATCTCTCTTACCGCCCGGATCTGTAGTTCCACCACCACCTCCAAAGGCATAGTTCCCTACGTGGGCGAAAGGACTGGAATGAAAAGATCCTTTTGCGCTGAGCCTTGGACCGATTTTTCTTAGTTTAACTCAATCCTTGGAGCAAATGTTCCCAGTAGTTTCCCCAGCTCCCCACCCCACTGTACCCCCATCAGTTGTCCCACCAGCCCAGGTCCCTTCCACCGGTACGGGTCTCATACAGCGCGAGCTGGAGCCAAGGCTTCCAGAAGGCTGAAGCGTCGCGTTGCTATGGACACTCAAAACACGCAACCTTCCACCAAGGAACGCTTGCGAGGCCCCCGGCGCCGCCAGAGTGTGAGCCGCCTGTGCTCCACTTGGAACGACACTGGCTTCCAGACTGCACTAACGGGAGAGAATGTCCTAGTGTATATGCCCTGGTGGCCGGATCACGAGATGCTAAGAGCCCTAGCTTCCTTTCCACGCTTTCCATCCACTCTCTTTAGGGCCCCAATCACTATGTTAAAATGTTTATTTTACAGTGTCAATTCTAAAAGTCGAATGTGATCATAGCTCCGTTACGATTTAAGCCCTGCCCATTTTTAGTATCTATACGACCCCCAAGCCCTGGAAATTCTGTAACAATTACAATTAAAATAGTAGTATGTCCCTAAAGGTATTCTCATGCTTATAAAAATCATGCTTATGAAATGTTACGTCCTCATGTTTGGTTTATAAAACATGCCCACTGTCAATAAGAAGTGAAACGTGTGCTAATTAAAAACACAAGTACAGGGCTTCCCTGGTGGCGCAGTGGTTGAGAGCCCGCCTGCCGATGCAGGGGATGCGGGTTCGTGCCCCGGTCCAGGAAGATCCCACATGCTGCGGAGCGGCTGGGCCCATGAGCCATGGCCCCTGAGCCTGCGCGGCAGCGGGAGAGGCCACACAGTGAGAGGCCCACGTACCACAAAACAAAACAAAACAAGGACAATTCCTAAAGAGGTTTAAAAGTTACGTATCCTGTTTTAGTCCCAATAGAAATATTCTTCAGTCTCTTTACTGGGGTTTAGTTAACTTAAGGGAAGCAATGAATTACATTATCTCCCAATGGGTAGTTACCATAGTTGCCAAAGCCAGGGTTACACTGTAAAAACCGTCAGAGGTAGCAGGCAGGGCAAGAGTTCTTAACCAATAGAAGAAATTGCATTTTTTCCCATTCACTGTATTTAACAGACAAAAATGAAGGAATAGAGGAGGGACAATATATTATACAATATATTAAAAAAAAAGGCATCACTAATGGCAGGGATGTGGGAAAATACATTCATACACTGTTGGTAGGAGTGTAAATACATAAAGTGTATTAATTTTCTATGGCTACTATAACAAATTACCACAAACTTAATGGCTTAAAACAAGACAAATGTATAATTTTTGATTTTGTGGATCAGAAATCCAACAGAGATCTTTAAAAGCAAAATGTGAGGGCTGCATTCCTTATCTTTTCCATTTCCTTGCTTTTCCAGCTTCTAGGGGTCTGCCTTCATTCCTTGACTCATAGCTCCCTTCCTTCATCTTCAAAGCCAGCAACATTGAACCAACTCCTTTTCATGCTACCATCTCTCTGGTTCTTTTAAAGACCTTTGTAACCATAAAGAGTCCACCAGATAATCCAGGATAATTTCCCTATTTTAAGGTCAGCTGATTAGAAACCTTAATTCCATCTTCAAGTTAATTTCTCTTTGCCATGAAAGGTAACATATCCCCAGGTTCCAGGTACTAGGGCAGGATATCTTTGGGGGCCATTATTCTGTCTATCACATGTAACTTCTCTGGAGAGCAATTTGTTAATATCTATCAAAATTTTTCATTTTACTCAGGAATTCCACTGCTAGGAATAGGTATATATGGGTATACTTTCACAAGTACAAAAAACATATGCTGCAGCAATATTTGTAGTTTAAAAAATACTGGAAACCATCTAAATGTTCATTAAGTATGGTCAGATTAAATCAATTATGGTTAAGCCTCAAGATGGAATAGTATGCAGCATGGGAAAAGAATAAAGCAGAGCTCTAAGTCCCAGGAGTAAAAACTCTCTAAAATATAGAGCTAAGAAAAAAAAGCATGGAACAAAATTGTGTAAACTGTGCTGCCATATGGAAGAGACAGAGAATATGATATAGACATATATGCTTAGAATATTTCTGAAAGAAAAAACTAGAAACTGCTAATGGTGGATGCCTCTGGGGAAAGGACCTAGAGTAGAGACACAGAGAGAAAACTTACTTTTCATTGAATAGCCTTAGATACTTTTAAAATCGTTTTGCAAAGTATTTGCATTATTTGGTCTAAAAAGGAAAATGAATTAAAACAAGTAGAAAATATAAAATAATAGAAAGGATAAATCTGGGAGGATAGGAAGGACCAGGAACTGGCTTCTTCAGCATTGGGGCTCCATCCTGTATACCACATACTGTGAGAATATCCATGCAAGTGTGTCTGATACTTTTGCTTCCAGTGCAGGGTGTCTTATGCTGTGACCCCTGGATGTGTCAGGGATCCTAAAGGCCCTGAGATGATAGGAAACCTTTCATGCATGTGCATATGTGCATTTTTCTGGGAAGAGAGCCTGTAGTTTTCATTGGAGTCTGGAAGGGGTAGAGTTAGTCAAATCAGGTTTTGGAACCACTGTCCTGCCCTCAGTTCCCTGCTATAGCAAAAAGAAGGGCCACCCATGTTACCTGACAATGAGCAGATAAGGAAAGAGGGGCTCTTCTCTCCATCACATTCATGCCCACTTATTAGAGCCAGCTGTCTCTCCAACGGCAGCTGGATTCAATAATAAGTGAGAAAGATCTTCAAAGTCCTGTTCTAGGCCATTATTTTATGTCTGGACTCAGACTCATTTGTTAGGCCCTACAATCTTTTGTGCCAGTGAATTATTCATTAGCAAATGTGAATAACACCAGCAAACTAAGTTTCCAAAGCGAGTTGTTCATTAGGATTTGGGAGAAATGCCTGGGCGCAGGGAAACCTCAAGTACCTGAAACAATCTGGATTATTTCAGCCCTAAAGCAATGGCAGATTACTGATTTTTTTTTTTTTAAGTGTAGACCCAGCCTCAAGACTCAGGAACTAATTGTGTTTTATGTTTGGCCTTCTTCAAAGTCTTTCTCTGAAATGTTCTTTAACAGTATAGTTTCCTTAGAGTCTGATATATGGAGGAGAAAAGTTTACCTTTCTGACTTTTACTATAAATGTATAAAAGAGCTCAATGAGCTATTTTGGGCTCTTTCCTTGGTTCTCAAAAACTGCACAAAGATGAAGTTTATATTTTTTTTAAATCTTAATGTTAAAATCATATCCTTTGGGGGAACTCCATATTAGAGGGATGAGGGTGTCACCATATGAACCCACTGATCAATCTTAACATCACTAAAGGTGATATCACGTCTTCTTCATATGTGATTCATAGGAAGCACCTATGAAGCACTTTTGCCAAGAAAGTTGAAGTTTAATCTGAGCCATTAGAGCTACATGATCTAGTAAGGTAGCCACATATGGCTATTTAAATTTAAATTAACTAAAACTAAATAAAATTTAAAATTCATTTCCTCACTCACACAAGTCACCTGTAAAGTGCTCAATAGCCACAATGGCTAGTGGCTACTGTACTGGATAGTGCAAGTAGAATATTTCCATCATCACAGAAACATCTATTGAACAGTGTTGTTCTAGAGCTAATTTCACTTCCTAGAGGATAGAGAAACATGTTAATGACACCACAAGACAGCAAACAGACACATCTAGAATGTGAAACATTCTATAGGACAACTAACCCAGTTAGCCTGCAACAAGTCAAACCCTGCAAATTAAAAAAAAAAAAAAAAAAAAAAAAAGGAAGGGGGGGAGGAGAAATGTTCTAGATTAAAAGATACAAGCCCTGACAACCAAATATAATATGTGGACTTTGTTCGAACCCTGATTCAGACAAACCAACTTAAACAGAATATTTAACACTCTTAGGGAAATTTGATTATGGTTTGGGTATTAGATAACACCAAGCAATTAATTAATTAATCAAAATTAATTAATTTTGATAGGTATGATAATGTCCCTGTGTTTGTGGAAGACAAATATCAACATTGTTTAGAGATGCATATTGAAGTATGTAGCAGAAATGATCTAATGCCTAAGATTTTGTCTCTAAATACTCCAGCAAATTAATAAAAGAAATGGATAAAGGAAATGTAGCAAAATCTTGATAATTGTTGATCTGGGTGATGGACATATGGAGTTTACTATAATAATATACTTTTGTGTATTTAAAAATATTTATAATAACAATTTTAAAATCTTTAACACATACTTAAATAAGAAAAGTAATCATATCCTTATGTAAACCTCATTCTGTCTTAAGATAGCCCATCAAGAGGATTCTTGGTGGCATCACTATGAATTTCTTTGACAGAAGTCCTACATACGTTTCGGACTTCCCTGGTGGCGCAGTGGTTAAGAATCCACCTGCCAATGCAGGGGACATGGGTTCGATCCCTGGTCCGGGAAGATCCCACATGCCACGGGCAACTAAGCCCGTGTGCCACAACTACCGAGCCTGCGCTCTAGAGCCCGCAAGCCACAACTACTGAAGCCAGTGTGCCGTGCTCCACAACAAGAGAAGCCACCGCAATGAGAAGCCTGCCCACTGCAACGAAGAGTAGACCCTGCTCGCTGCAACTAGAGAAAGCCCGCACACAGCAACAAAGACCCAACGCAGCCAAAAAAAAAAAAAAAAGTCTTACATACGTTTAAAGAAAAAATATGGTGGATCTATTCAACTCAAATTCAGATAACAGAAGAAAATTACTGTGGTGTGTAATACTTTACAAGTAATTCAAAAAAGCAGCAGTGTATTATAATAACTGTGGTCTCTGCATGAATATCCAAAACAGGAGCTGGCAATTTGCTTACTTCTTTAAGCATACATACTTCTTGAGAATTTTCCCCAAGTATCAGGAAGGCTTCCAGGGAAGGAATTAACTTGCAGTTGAACAGCTTTTAACAATCTTGAAGTCATTTGGGATCTGGACCCACACATGAAATCTATTTCACAAACTATATTAGAGGTCATGAGTCAAACTCATGTTACTCTTTGGCTTCTGCTTTGACTGACTGGCTTTTGTAGGCTCAATACTTACTTAATGATACCACACAAAACCTTCCACAAGGACTGCCCTTGGGCATTCTGGACTACGTGCATAGTGCATATCCTTCCATTTTAAAGTAATTTCTCTTCAGGAAAAATTAATTTGCTCCTTTGCATTTCAGCTGGCTAGTTCTATGTCCATGGGAGTAGTAGGATAACTATGACCCAAAGCAATTTCCAAGGAATTATATTATCCGATATAAGAAAGCAGAAAAGAGTATGACTTAGTTCCAAGACTTGTAAAAAGTGTCCACTGTACTTGGGCACAGGATTCAGGCCCCAAAGTCGGCCATGGCTAAGATGAGGCTACTTCTGATGTCATTGTATCCACCCTTTCTTCTCCTACCAAAATATAACTCTTCCCATTCCCGTTTTACCCTCTTCTGTCTGTGTGTAATCCTACACCTTTCCTTTTATCCTTGTTTCCATTCATTTGTTCCCTATTCATCAATTCAACACATATTATTGAGTACCTACTATGTGCTAGGTACCGTTCTGGACCATGGAGGCACAAGAGTGAACAAGAAACAATCTATGCCCTTGTGGACCTTACATTCTAGTGAAGTAAGAAATAAAATAAATATGTGAACATAGATAATAACAGTATTATAAATGCTAGGGAGGAAATATCCAGTGGGGTGAGATAGAAAGTTACACGTTAGAGGGAAGAAGAACCCAATTTAGACCCAGTGGACAGGTCAGCCTCTTTAAGGGTATGACAGTTGATCTAAGACCTAAAAAGAAAAGCATGACCACTAACAAGACTTTTAAAGAACAAAGAGAAAAGATACCCAGGCAAAAGGAGCAACAAATGTAAAGGGCCATGAGTCAGGAAAGAAATTGATATGTTTGAGGAACTGAAAGGAGGCCAATGAGCATACTAAAGAGAAAACTGGGCAGGGGGTAGAGGAAGTTAAGAAATGACACTCAGGAGTTAGGCTGGCACTAGATGGCACAGTTATGGAAGAACTTAAACAGTTATGGAAGACAATGTGATTGCCTCCCTAAGAGCCATAAGCTCTTCTTCCTTGCCAATGGAATCCCGGTTTTGTGCAGGTGGCAATGCATTTAGGTCTAGGGAATGAATCAATTTATTTAAGCCAGTTCTGGCCAATAATATATAAGGGGAAGTACTGGAAGTTTCTGAGAAATGTTCTTCAAGTAGTAAAAAGCCACAAGTGAGTAAAGCTGTTTTTCACTCTCCCTTCCTGCTTTAGCTGCTGTCATGTTTTCTCCTATGGCTTTCACTCTTGAACTCAAAAGTTTCAGGCACAGTGCTCCTCAACTTTTATTTGTAATTAGTTACTAAGGTATAACATATAGTCACTGGAAAATACTGGAACAGCATAATACACGAAAACTAAGAGTAGAAAGTAAAGATGCTCAGTGACTTCCTTGGCAGTCCGGTGGTTATGACTCCCCACTTCCAATGCAAGGGGCATGTGTTCGATCCCTGGTCTGGGAACTAAGATCCCACATGCTGCGGGGTACGGCAAAAAAATTAAAAAAAAAAAAAGAAAGTAAAGATGCTCAGAAACTTTCCTCTCCAGCCTTACCCACTAGGAGTAATCATTAATAATTCTTGTTTACTTTCCAGGAATTTTCTATCACATGTACACACACACACACACACACACACACACACACAGAACTGTTTTTACACAAATTGGATTACGGTCTCTTGATAGATACGTATAGCTATATAAATATACATATAAGAAAGTAAGTTGCCTTTTTTTACTCACATTTTGGAGATATTTCTATATCAGCACAGTTATATATACTTTCTGCTTTTTGTTCCTTGCCACAAAAAAAAGAAAAAAGAAAAAAGCTGCAATAAACACCTTTGTGGATAAATCACTAGTTATTGGTGCAAAAATACCTGTTGGATAATTTCCTGGTAGTTAAATTGCCGAATCAAAGCACTTAAACCTCTGATACTCTCACCACCCGAAAGGTTACACAAATGACATTCTAACAGCATCTCCTCACACCTTGCCTACACTCGGTATCGACAAACTTCAAAAGATTGAAAAAATGGCGTCTCGTTATTTTTAGTTGGGTCTCTAATTATGAGTAGGGCAGCAATGCCTGATTGTTAAACGTGCACGTTTTGAAGTCATATGCCCTGGGCTGATCCTACCTCTTCCCCTTAAAATGTGTGACCTTAGGCATAATGGGGTCTATTTCTTCTTCTCAAAAAAGGGGATAATGAGAGCACAAATCTTTACGATTAAACGAGATACGTAGAAATACACTGAAGCCCTTCCTACACATCCGCTATTTGTGGTACTGTATTTTTTATTTTTTTTAATTTTTTTATAATTTTTGAACTTTATTTTACACAGCAAGTTCTTATTAGTCATCCATTTTATACACATCAGTGTATACATGTCAATCCCAATCGCCCAATTCATCACACCACCACCGCCCCCCACCACCACTTTCCCCCCTTGGTGTCCATATGTTTGTTCTCTACATCTGTGTCTCAATTTCTGCCCTGCAAACCGGTTCATCTGTACCATTTTTCTAGGTTCCACATATACGCGTTAATATACGATATTTGTTTTTCTCTGACTTCACTCTGTATGACAGTCTCTAGATCCATCCACGTCTCAACAAATGACCCAATTTCGTTTCTTTTTATGGCTGAGTAATATTCCATTGTATATATGGTACTGTGTTTTTTAAAGTCCTGCTCCTTCCAGTACTTTATCTTTGGCATACTCTTCTCCCCAGCCAAGTTTCGCAGAATCCTCGTTGCTCGTAACTCAGAACGAGAGGAAAGTTGTCTCTGTTTTTAAAATTTCTCTCCACTTCAACTGCCCCCACCCTCACCCCCGCTTCAGAAACTGGTTTACATATCAGTAACGAGTACAGGAATGAATTGCAGTTTTTACACAATACGCAGTGGAGGACAACACTTGGTCCCAACACCTCCCGGCCCCTAGGACCCACCGTTTACTGAGTAGGAAACTCCAGACAACAAGTATTTAATACTACATGACCCTCAGCGCCGTTGAGGGTAAACTTGCAGCACTGAAAGGCTTCACAAAAACTGGTTTTAAACAAGAAACCATTCCAGACCCACGGCCGCCTCCCAGGATCCGGGACGTACCTCCCTCGACCACGCCTTCCTATCCGGAAGTGATGTAACAAGTGAAGTACGTCTTTTTCCACCGTCCGCCGGTGGCGCGGCACAGGCTGGCGCCGGGCGTGCGTCGGCGTCGCGGCCGGCAGAGGGATTCTGGGTAACGGCCCCAGCCGGCTGGGGCGGCTGGATCCGCGCAGTAGGTTCCGCTCACGGGAAGTCTGTTGGCAGTGGGGATTGTAGGGCCGGGGGCAGCCGGACATGGAGCAGCCGTGGCCGCCGCCAGGACCTTGGAGCCTCCCTCGGGCAGAAGGTGAGGCTGAGGAAGAGAGTGACTTGGACGTGTCCCCCGGTTCTCCTCGCTACCCGCAGCTGCCCGGAGGCGGCACCCAGGTGAGAAGGGGCCCGTGTTCTGCGGGGGGATGGAGAGGTGCCGTCACCAGGCCCCCAGAGCCCTCTGTCTCTGCGACCCTCTTCTGTGCCCTGTTCTGAGCCCCCACCTCCCCCTTCCCCCGACCCCGACCCCCAACCTCGGGCGTCGGGAGCCTGAAGCCATCCCATCACTTTGTAGCATCTACTGAGGTCTTCGAAGAGGGTCTGGCCATATAGCCCCAACTTTCACCTCCACGCACACCTTTTCACCTTGGCTAATTCCTCACCCTTGGAAGAAGTTTCTCCCGTCCACCCCTCTTCTGACGGTACCCACATTTGGGACAGCTCACTCTATAACACTGACCCTTTGTCCTCTTGTGCCTGCTCTTATCCGAGCACTTTATTCTTTTGAAGGCACTAATATTTGTGCACAGTTGATGGGAACAGTGAATGGTTGTATTTCAATAATTCACTGAGCTCCTGACATAAAGATTTCAGATCCAGTTTATATCACTGACTTTTGACATCTGAGCAAATTCTGTAAACCTTGCTATTGATGCTGGCATAAATCTCGCCCATTCGCGTGACCATTTTCCCCTTACGTTTCTGATTTTAGTTTTGCTTCACACCATTCTTCAGTAAAAATATATAGGCACACGTTTGCCTTTTCCTTCAGACTTCTTCCTCAGATTCCTGCCGCTACTTGTGGTTTTCAGCCCAGCCTTCTTTCCTCTGAAACTTATCCAAATGTGATATACTGCCGCTTAGGATTTTCCTGGTCCTATCTTAGGGAGTGCTTAGGTACTCATATCACCTTGTCCCGGTTTTTCTCCTAACCTGAGTGTTTTCGAAGTATATTTCAGGATCACGGACTAAACACTAATATGTTCAATGAAATGGATTATAGGTATTTGCCTTCTAGGCTTCTTGCAAAATGGGGTCCCCCAGGGCTTAACTGAATTAAAACAGTTTTTCTCTAGACTCATCTTGCTAGCTGTTAATGAAAATGAGTGATTTAAGTTGTTTGCCAATAAGTGTAGGGTCATCGATCCTATGCCCAGCTCACAGGGTTGGTTGGCTGCACAGAGAAAAATGCTGTTTCATAACCACAGACTGTACTTCGGCCAGCTAGTCACTGGGAAAGTGCAGACATTTTTTTAGGAGGACAGAATGAGAGTTGATAGGTTGGTAGTCACCCACTAATTATGGATCACTGGTGTCATCTTTATATACAAAATGTGTTATATAAGCACATAATGAATGTGTTACAGAGATAGAAAAAGAATGAACAGCAGCTGCCATTGTCAGTTTTGAAGGAGTATAGAGAGGATAGAAAGGTCTCAAGAATTTCACTGCATTGTGGTTGAATCTAAAGAGTAACCTAAGAGAAACTGAATTTTAAAAATAGCTGTATATTAATTTATAAGCTTATTTAGCTGAAAGGAATTTTAGAAATGATTAGGCTTAAATCCTACATTAAAAGTGATTTCCCTGAGGCCATTGTAGCTAGGCAGTGGCAGAATTAAAAGTAGAATCCACTTCTGACACCTAGTACAGTGTTTTTTCCCACCTACTGTACTGCCCATCCTGTGATGTAACGTAAAATTTTATTTGGCTGAAACTAACTTTGAATGGTACTAAGATTTGCAAAATGATTTCTAATCCTAAATTAGTTCATGTGTTTATAACAAACCTACTTACTTGTCTTGCTGGATTTAAGTTTTAGAACTTAAGTTTTTCTTTTGGAATATTTGGAAAGAATAAAATATTTAATTCAGTATATAAACATTTTATAATCTTTATAAAAACAGCCTTGGTGTAATTTTACCAAATATAAGGAAACTAGCTATATTAATGTCATATGTGATGTATAGTTCTGAGATCCAGTTAAATGCAGTTTGGAACTTAGAGATCCTGTTTGGGAATTTTTTTTATGTAAAGTTACGTTAGTAGACCTTAATGCTAACAGTTCTTTTTTCAAATCTTTGTTTATTAAAATATGATCAGTCATCTCAATACATGTTGGATAGTTTACTCAAATGCCCAAACATAGTCTGTGTAGTCTGTGCAGAAGGATATAAACATAAATCATTTTTAGAATTTAGAAATAAGATTTCTGTGTTTGATTTGAGAGGTGATTTGAGAATTTGCTCCCGCATAATTTGACAATGCAAGATATTTCCATTTGTCCTTACCTTTCTTAGTATTTCTTTGACTTTTCTTACAAAATAAATTTTATAGCTTCATTTTTCTCCTCTTCCTAGTCCCTTTTTAAGCATAGCTAGTCTGCAGTTATTCTTAACCCTATTCTAGGGTAGCAAAAAGTAAAAATAAATACCTTACTTGGTTGGTTAGGACCAAGTGGTATCTGGGCTCCAAACCTGCCAAACAAGTAAAACATCTGAATAGCAAGTGTCCACATTCCCTCCAATAGAAATCTAAGTTTGCCTGAAGACTTAGCTAAAAAAGAAGCCTTGCATGCTACTTGCCTTAGAATTCCTAACCACCACTAGTCTATTCCAAGAAGTCGAGTCGTTTATTCATCTGAGATTTATTGCATTCTAGCCCCTCAAGAAGCTGATAGTTAAACAAATAAGCACAGTATTGTGTGAAAACACCACTTTAGAAATGTGCATAACTTGGGTGGAGAGGGACAGGGTAAGAGGGAAGGGACATGATGCTGGAATCTGGGATGGAGATAGGAGGTTTAGGGATGGGGGAGTTGTCACATTGAATGGGGTGGAGGGGTGGGAAGGGGATGTAAAGAATAAGCAAACAAGTAGAAGAGTGACTAGGACTGAGTCTAGAGAGATAATAGGAAGTGAGATCATGAGGGACCATGCCATGCCACAGAGTTTGCGCTTTATCCCAAGACTCTAAGAATGAGTAAAATTATCATATTTGTTTCTTGGAGAAATCACTCCAAGTCTAGAAGAGTAGAGAATGGCTTGAAATGAGAAAGAGTGTATTTATATAATTAAAGTGTGAAATTACAAGGGCTTGAATAGTGATGCAGATAAGGGAGTAGATTGGAGTAAAATTATTCTGAATACCTAGTTTGAAATTGATCTACATTTTGGCTAAGAAATCATAAAGAATGTGCCTTTAGCTTTTGTTTGATAGAACTGAGGAATATAAGGAATTAAACATCCGTCACGATGCTTTACACGTGGTGGTTCAATAAACGTTAAAAGTGGGCTTCCCTGGTGGCACAGTGGTTAAGAATCCACCTGCCAGTGCAGGGGACACAGGTTCGATCCCTGGTCTGGGAAGATTCCCACATGCCGCGGAGCACCTAAGCCCGTGTGCCACAACTACTGAATCCTGTGTACCCAGAGCCCGTGCTCTGCAATAAGAGAAGCCACCGTGATGAGAAGCCCGCGCACCACAACGAAGAGTAGCCCCCGTTTGCCGCAACTAGAGAAAGCCTGCGCGCAGCAACAAAGACCCAGTGCAGCCAAAAATAAATAAATAAAATACGTTTATTTAAAAAAATTTTTTAAATAAATGTTAAAACTAATTACTGTTGATTCTTAGTAGAACAGAGTCACCACCTAATGAAACTTAGAAGCTTTTGCACAGCAAAGGAAACCATAAACAAGACGAAAAGACAACCCTCAGAATGGGAGAAAATATTTGCAAATGAAGCAACTGACAAAGGATTAATCTCCAAAATTTACAAGCCGCTCATGCAGCTCAATATCAAAAAAACAAACAACCCAATCCAAAAATGGGCAGAAGACCTAAATAGACATTTCTCCAAAGAAGAGATACAGATTGCCAACAAACACGTGAAAGAATGCTCAACATCATTAATCATTAGAGAAATGCAAATCAAAACTACAATGAGATATCATCTCACACCGGTCAGAATGGCCATCAACAAAAAATCTACAAACAATAAATGCTGGAGAGGGTGTGGAGAAAAGGCAACCCTCTTGCACTGTTGGTGGGAATGTAAATTGATACAGCCACTATGGAGAACAGTATGGAGGTTCCTTAAAAAGCTAAAAATAGAACTACCATACAACCCAGCAATCCCACTACTGGGCGTATACCCTGAGAAAACTATAATTCAAAAAGAGTCATGTACCAAAATGTTCATTGCAGCTGTATTTACAATAGCCAGGACATGGAAGCAACCTAAGTGTCCATCAGCAGATGAATGGATAAAGAAGATGTGGCACATATATACAATGGAATATTACTCAGCCATAAAAAGAAATGAAATTGAGTTATTTGTAGTGAGGTAGATGGACCTAGAGTCTGTCATACAGAGTAAAGTAAGTCAGAAAGAGAAAAACAAATACCGTATGCTAACACATATATATGGAATCTTAAAAAAAAAAAAATGGTCATGAAGAACCTAGGGGCAAGATGGGAATAAAGACACAGACCTACTAGAGAATGGACTTGAGGATACGGGGAGGGGGAAGGGTAAGCTGGGACAAAGTAAGAGAGTGGCGTGGACATATATACAGTACCAAACGTAAAATAGATAGCTAGTGGGAAGCAGCTGCATAGCACAGGGAGATCAGCTCAGTGCTTTGTGACCACCTAGAGGGATGGGAGGGAGGGAGACGCAAGAGGGAAGAGATATGGGGACATATGTATATGTATAGCTGATTCACTTTGTTATAAAGCAGAAACTAACACACCATTGTAAAGCAATTATACTTCAGTAAAGATCTTAAAAAAAAAGAGTCACTAGGGTGGACCAGTGACTTTTTTTTTTTTAAACAACTTTGTCTGTTTTGATTAGGATTAAGTTAAAGGTTATCTATCTGATGTAGTCAGTTTTAAATAGAAATTTCCAATAATAACAACTCAGATTACCAAGGATTGGGGTAACACAGAAAGAAAATAGAAACCAAGAAGTGACTACTTCTAAATAAAAGGTCCTTTGAGTGAAGATCTTGCAAAGCAAAGCTCTATAAAGGTCTGCTTTTCAGCATGTTGAGTGATAAGATGATGAACTAGATTTAAGCTTTTGTTCTCATTATTCTGTTTCAGGATTATGAAGACTATAAATCAAATGTTTGTTGAGGCCCCGCTGTATGCAGGACACTGTGCTAGTTGCCAGGCTTTTTGTTGCTGTTAGTTGTCAGGGGAGAGGCACAAATTAACAACAAAGCTTAGAGTCTAGTTGATGAAACAAGGTCTATAATATAAAACTCTTAACTGCAAACACAGAAGGCTGAATACCTGTGTACCAAAAACATTGTACAGAAATCCATGACTGATAGAAATTTGAACTGTGCTACATAAACATACCTGTTCTGTTGCCTTCTTCATTTCTTAAAAATACTGTTTTGTTTTTTAATCCAGATGTATAGCCATGGAATTGAAATGGCTTGCCAAAAGCAGAAAGAGTTTGTGAAGAGCTCTGTGGCGTGCAAATGGAATCTCGCTGAAGCTCAGCAGAAACTTGGTAGCTTAGCACTGCATAACTCTGAGTCCTTGGATCAGGAACATGCCAAAGCACAAACAGCAGTATCAGAACTGAGGCAACGGGAAGAAGAATGGCGGCAGAAAGAAGAGGCTCTAGTACAAAGAGAGAGAATGTGTCTGTGGAACATGGATGCCATTAGCAAGGATGTTTTTAATAAGGTACTCTCTTTTATTGGACCATAATGAAAGAAGGAAAGACTGAAGTGTTTGTACAAACCAGTTGTGCATATCTGTTAACAAAGCAACAGAATCTTATAAACAGTATTCAGTGTTGACAGTTTAGGAAAAGTGATTGTTACAGAAATGTGTTATCCCCAGTAGTGTCTAATGTGGGTAGTCCTTAATCCAATTATATGGCTACAGCATAGCACACTGAATATAAGCATGGGTTCTGGAGTCAGACTGCCTCAAATCTCAACTTTTCACAAGCTGGCTTTGTGACCTTGGGCAAGTCACTTCTCTAAGGCTCAGTTTCATCAACTATAAAGAGTGGGTATGAAAACTAAATAAGGTAACATCTTAAAAGCAGATAGCATGGGGCCTGGTATGTGGTAAAGCTCAGATGTTACCAGTGCTTTCTGATGTTGCTATGCTTATCAGCTTGCTTTCAATTTTGTAACACTAATGTATAGTTACTGGTTTTATCAAATAAAACAAAGTCTCTCACTGTCATTTACCAGTATGTATTTAGTAAACCTCAGACAGTAATCTGGTCTTAGTGTTACAAGCATTATTGCTGAAAGGAGTAGTAAAATACTTTTGCCAAGTTAGTTTGTTAAGAGCGGTCTTCTGTTTCTCACTGGATTACATATATAGGCCTTATTCTTTGACTTTTGTATCTGAAAAAGAAGTGGGCAATGAAATAAAGTCATTTTCATCTAATGTCTAAAGTAGTACTCTTTCTATTTGTACTAAACTTAACTCTCAGGACTTAGGTATGGACTGCTCATTCTTGTCTAAGTCTGCATTCAGTTTATCTTTAACCGTCATTATTCTCTACATGTAGTGTGTAACACTACTTGTTTCTGCTCTGGCATCCACTCTCAACACTCCCCCCCAAGCACCTTTAATTTCCTTCCCCTGGACTAGCTCTAGTCCTGCTACAGCAATAAGTAATACACACAGGTAAATGTCTAGTACCACTAGCCCTATCAGTACTTCTTTCTTTAATGGAGATAAATTGTAAGAGTACAACATGCTTCTTGTAAAAAACAAAAACGTAAACCTGTAAAGTAGAATTGAAAGGCTTCCTTCATTTCCATTTCCCGGAGATGACCACTGTTAACAGTGAGTCATATCCTTCTAGACTTTTTCTGTGATTGTACTAATTTATATATTTTTCTTTCCCCTCAACAGAATAATTCTTTCACTGAATGATTCGCTGTCTCTGTATATGTTGTTCTAAGGGATGTGTCATCTTAAGTATTACTTTATTTCTGGTTTGCATTTATACCCCAAAACTATTTAAAATAATTTTTTTATTCCAGAGGGAATTGTCAAAACAGTGTTTCTTTGTTTATAAAGTTAATGTCTCTTCTGTTAACACAGTGGTCACAAAGAAAATATTTTTGTCTCTTCTTTTAATTGTTTTTTTTTAAAGTTGGATTCTAACATAGCTTACATTTATACCACAAATTAATTAGGACTCTCTTTATGTTCCAGTCATTTGCTCAAAATCGTACATTGATTTTGTCTGGGAGCTTGAGACTTGAGAGGACTGGTCTAGGTCTGCGCTGTCCAACTTGATAGCCACTAGCCACATGTGCCATTGAGCACTTGAAATGTGGCTAGTCCGAATTGAGATGTGCTGTAAGTGTAAAATACACGCCAGATTCTGATGGCTTAGTATCAAAAAAAGTAAAATATTCCATTAATAATTTTTTTGTGTTGCTTACATGTTGAAATGATAATATGTTGGATATGTTGGGTTAAATAGATATGTTATTAATTTCATCTGTTTCTTTTGCTTTTTAACGTGGCTGATAGGAAACTTTAAATTACATTTGTGGCTTGGATTATATTTCTATTGGACAGTGCTGGTCTAGATGGAGAATATATAAAGGAAAAAAATGCTTTTATTTTGAAATATATAAACTTGTGTGTTTCCTGATTGTAAACTGTCAGAGAGCTAGTTTTCAATTTTCATTTTTGGCAGTGATGATCTCAAGGTTTAAACGTGATCACATAATGTTCTGAGAAATTGTTCTGCCAGTTTTTCTGGCCAGATAAAAACTTCATCTTCATCTGTTTTATCACTTATTTAACTGAAAAGAAGCACTTCCTTAATAGAAATTTGTACTTGATTTCAGAATCGAACTGTTTAGCCTCTCCTAAAAAAAGTTTACAGCAAAGGTCTGTTTTAGGTTTATGTCTTATCAAAAATTTTGTTTTAAATATACTCTATATGCTTTGAATTTCTGAGTTTGTTTCCAGCAAGAACTCCAAAGATGACAGTAGGGCTGCAAATATTTAATGGAAATGAATAATGCAAAACATAAATTATGCATGTAAAAGATCTTTCTGTACCTGCCTTTGATAGGGAAATTCAGTTTTACAGAAAGGTTAATTAATTTGTTTTTCTCTGTTGATTTCTAAAATAATTGTATAATTTTCTACATATATATCACTTTAAATAAGACTAATGAAACTTCATTATAAGAAAATTTTAATTTTTTTTTTTTTTTTTTTGCGGTACGTGGGCCTCTCAGTGTTGTGGCCTCTCCCACTGCGGAGCATAGGCTCTGGATGTGCAGGCTCAGCGGCCATGGCTCATGGGCCCAGCCGCTCCGTGGCATGTGGGATCTTCCCGGACCGGGGCACGAACCCGTGTCCCCTGCATCGGCAGGCGGACTCTCAACCACTGCGCCACCAGGGAAGCCCAAGAAAATTTTAATTTTTAATAGAGTTTTACAGATGAATTTAATGATGTAATATGAGTTTACTACATCACCTTTTTATAGTGTGTATAAGAAGGATTGCTAGGCATTCAATAAGTGAGAAAGAAAATCCAATTAGAATATAAAATCTGATTTTAACTTCAAAATTTTTTTCTTAGAGTTTTATTAATCAGGATAAAAGAAAAGAAACAGAAGATGAAGATAAATCAAAATCATTTATGCAGAAACATGAGCAGAAAATCAGACATTTTGGTAAGTCTACTACTTGAGTTTCCTTCTTTTGTAATGTTTGGTACCATAAATATGTGTACAAAAGGTGGATTTATAAAATGGGGACCAAAAAGAAGACAAGTGACAAACTCCAGTTGCATAGCTGCTTCTGGCACAGTTGTATAGCTCTTGTTTTAGACTTTTTTTTGGTCGTAAAAAAATAGTGACAGAGTAAACTGAATTGTGAAGAAAAGCAAAATTCAATCTATTATTATATATTCCTACCCTCTAAAAACATGGTCTTTTTTACTACCTAGATTTCTTTCCATTTCCCAACTAGTCTTTGCTTTTGTCTTTTTTCATCTTTGCTTCCTTTGTATCTGATTATTTTATGGTTGTAAGATTAGCATTCATTTTTTTCAGGTTTTGGATATGATGCTATACAATTTATGTAGATCCTTCAAGTGTTATTCAGATAAATAATAAGTAATAGAATATAATTTATAATAAATAATAAGTAATAGAAATACATATACAAAGAAGTGAAAAATAGTTTTCTCTATTGGGGAAAAGCAGTGGGATGGGGGTTGATTTTAGTGAAGGCTTCCCAGAGGAGATAACGTCTGAGTTAGATTATAAGGAACATGTAAGAGTTCTCCATGTAGATAAGGGAGGCAAGGCAACAGCTTGTCCAAAGGCAGAGTCGGGAAACAGTATGCTATGTTCTAAGAATTATAAGCAGTGACAATACTGCTGGAGTGAAAATGCTACTGGGAAGTATATATGTGTCAATTTAGTAAACATAGTTTTTATTTGGAGTATGTTAATAAGCTTTTTAAATGACATTTTGAGACCTTTTTCCTATTGGTGTTTCTCTCCCAAAGTATTTAGAATTTCATTCATCCTTATGTCAGTACAACGGATACTACTTTAGATTTTTTCCTTTTTTTGCAGTTTATTCATAGAATTATTTCATAAAGTTTATTCATAAAATTTATTCATTTTCTCATACTTTTTATTTTTAAATAAATTTATTTATTTTATTTATTTTTGGCTATGTTGGGTCTTCGTTGCTGCGCGCGGGCTTTCTCTAGTTGTGGTGAGCGGGGGCTACTCTTCGTTGCGGTGTGCGGGCTTCTCATTGCAGTGGCTTCTCTTGTTGAGGAGCATGGGCTCTAGGTGCATGGTCTTCAGTAGTTGTGGCTCGCGGGCTCTAGAGCACAGGTTCAGTAGTTGTGGTACACGGGCTTAGTTGCTCCATGGCATGTGGGATCTTCCCGGACTAGGGCATGAACCTGTGTCCCCTGCATTGGCAGGCAGATTCTTAACCACTGCGCCACCAGGGAAGCCCTCATACTTTTTATTTTTAAAAAGTGAAATAAGTTACGTATTCTGTTTAATTCAAGAATAGTGTCTGAAGAAGTAAGCGAAGTTTATTTTTGCAAATATTATCATTCCAGTATTATTTATAATAGAAAAAATGGATATACAGTCATCCCTTGGGTAGATATTAAAATCTTTAAATAAGCGGAGCCCTGAATTATAAGAATAAAAAGCAAAAATTTTGTAAATGAATCTTAGTTGTGATAATGTGAGTTGCAGCTCCCACCTACAGCCCTTACTTCCCAGGCCTGCGTGTTCTGTAGGAAAAGGAGTACCATGTACTGATTACTCTTTCAGAGCATGATGCATCTGGTAGAATAGCATCCCTCAAGGTGCTTTCACACAGCTCGCATTCTGTAGGCCAGTTGCTTTGGAGCCATGGGAAACCTAGTGCATGTAAAATAGTTCCCTCACTTTTGCTATAAACTGAGTGCTGTGGTCAGAAGGAATTTTATTTGGGAAAATATCCCTACCTCACTAGGTGTAGTAACCCACCTGGCACTATAATTATGTGGGTCTTCAATAAAACATTTCACTATCTTATAAAACCTACTGCTTCTGTGTAGTAATGTTCATAAGACCAGTGAATTTCATGAGCCTGTTGTCTTCATTTCTTTTGCTGTAAATTGAGTTTTGGGGTCAAGAAATAATGTGGTATGGGGAACATCTCATTTAATAAGACCACAGATGCATTACTGGTAGAAGCATGGCAAAGAGGGAGGGCAATACCAGATCTCAAATGGTCTTGTTCAAGTGAGGAACCACTGGTCCCTCCAAAATGAAACGGGACCAAGATTATCGACCTATTACTTGATGGTTGGCTGGTCCTTCCAGCTTGATGGTTGGCTGGCCTCTTCAATATTGAGGTTTCAGCACTGGTTTCTGCTTCTGGTAAATTAGGTATTCAGTGGCTAACCTGGAATACCCTTGATGAAGAGATCCCATGCTGTTGAATCTCTGCATAATCTCAAATCTGCCACCATGACTCCTTAGTTTATAAAATATTGTACAAACAATCAGATGGCTGAGGAAATATGTGACTAATAAACAGTTGTTTTGCCATTGCATGAGTGGGCTTCCATGTCTCATCCTTTAATACTAACCAGAGCCTTACTGTCTTCAAAGCCAACCAGACCTGATAGCCATTCCCAGATTCACATTGTTCCTGTTTCTTAGTGGAAATACACTTGACTTTTCGCTTTGGGCAAGATATCCTACTTGCCACAGCCCATTGGATCCCCAGAAATGTTACTAAGGTAGTATAGGCTCCCAAAATTTTCCTGTGTTTTTATTTCCCACTTTCTGGCATGTTTGTTTGTATCGTACCGAGACAAATGGGATACCTGCTCCTTCTTGCTCACCAAGTTCCACCAGAGTGCAGTAGACCAGTTTGCAGTCATGTGGGATGATGAGATAGCCAAAGTCTCTGGGGACTAAATTATGGCACAGAGTTGATGGAGAGACCTGAGGCAAGACAGTGAAAGTTTAATAATTGTCCCACCTGGGTGGAAGCAGATGTTTCTGGAGTTGTGTGCTTGTTGTAATAAAGGAAAAAAAGGCATTTGTCAGAATAATGACTACATTCATATAATCCTTTGAAGTAAACACATTTGGAATAGCAGCTGTGATTAGAGCTTCTAGCTGGAGGCTTTCCAAACTTGGTTTGCATTCCAGACTCTTGGAAGATATGGGCCTAGAACATGGGAGGTTGTGAAGGGCTGCAAAGGCTTGACACTGTACTACTTTGTGGTCTCATGCGTACGTATATTCTTCGAACTTCCTCCTAACTTTCCCTTATGGTATCTTTTGATATTTTTTGACTGTCTTTCTTATATTGCTTTTATTACCCCTTGTAATTAGATGGAATTTACCACCTAATGATTAATGGTACAACCATGTTATGGAATATTGTGAAGTATTAATTTTTTCCCCCATATTTATGTTTACTTATTAATTTAGTTAATTCATGTTTTATAAACATAAAATACCAATTTAGAAATAAAGTCTGTTTTCTTTTAAACTTCACAGAACAGTTTTCTTCAAAGTCATATGCATCTTTGACATCACTGTCTTTATGATGATCAGAGCTGATTTTTGGTGATCTAACAGTTTTTCATGGCACATCATCTGTTCACTTCCAACCAAAGTTAGCTGTGATTCAGCATTTCTTTGAATCTGTGTGGGATGTTGCCACTGGAGATTTTGTTAAAAGCTGTAAATATTTGCATAGATACTATGTTAGAATCAGTTGTGCTGTAGGTGGATATTCAGTCTCTTCAATGTAGTCACTTACATATTGCTTTTCAAAAACACATCAGTATCCTATTTTTGAAAAACATTAATAAAAGTACTCTTAGAATGTGAAGTGAAATGAGTAGGAAATTAATATATATGATATGATTCTAATTTTGTTTCTCTAAAAGTCATTAAAAAATAAGCCAGAGGGAAATACATCAGAATGTTAACATTGATTATCTCTTGTAAGCATTGCAGGTGGTTTTTATTTTCTGGATTTTTCAAATTCTTCACAATGAATATACTTTATTTTTATAACCTGAAAAAGAAATATTTTTAAAGAGTTTATCCTAAGAATTCAAGGATAGCTTAACATTAGAAGACTCATTAATGTGATTCACCATATTAACAGATTGCAATAGCATAACCACAGGACTTAGTGATAAGTTTGATGTGGGAGGAATGGAAATGTCAGAAGAATCTCTGAAATACCTGATTGGGTGACATGGAACCTAGGAAGCAATGTAGATGGGCAGGGAGAGAAGAATGGGTTCATTTTCAAATAAGATGAGTTTATGTGCAGGCATGTAGGTAGAAGTAGCTGTCTGGTGGTAGGTGATTGGGAATACAGGAGATCTGGAGCTCAGGATATATTGAAAAATAGGTCATATATCATTCATTAAGAAATTCACAACCTAGTTGGGAGGTTTTTGGTATATTGACAAATTAAGATACTTAGGATAATTCAAAGGATTGAAATCTATCATTCTATCAGTATAATGCAAAAAGGAAAGGGAAATAAATAATGAAGTGTATTTGGGGACCATTTTAGGAATCAGATGGAATATTGAGAGCTAAAGGGTGGATTGGGATTTAGACATTCACCAGAAAAAAATATATGGGTGAAGATACATAATTAATATATTTTAATTTGTCAAAGTAAGGTTTTTCAAACATTCAGAGAAGTTGGTTGGCTAGTTTAAATGACTAGATTATCCTTAACCAAAAGATTAGCTTAGGGCTTCCCTGGTGGCGCAGTGGTTGAGAGTCCGCCTGCTGATGCAGGGGACACGGGTTCGTGCCCCGGTCCGGGAAGATCCCACATGCTGTGGAGCAGCTAGGCACGTGAGCCATGGCCACTGAGCCTGCGCGTCTGGAGCCTGTGCTCCGCAACAGGAGAGGCCACAACAGTGAGAGGCCCGCATAACAAAAAAAAAAAAAAAGGATTAGCTTAATATTTGATGGATGAATGAATGAATGAATTGTTCATATTGTGTTAATAATACCTAGTATTTATCAGGTGTTTACTTTCTGTCCGGTACTGTTTTAAGTGCTTTATATGTATTAACTCCTTTAGTCCTCACAAAAATCCTATGAGTTAGATGCTGTTTTTAGCCCTCTTTTACACATGGGGAAATGTAGGCATAGAGGTATAACAGAACTTGCCCAAGGTGTGGTAAGGCCAATACTTGAACCTAGGCAGTTTAGTCCTAGAGTCATCATGTTAGATTGTGTTACTCTCCATTTGATTTTTAGTTTCTTTATAAATTCCAAAGTAATATGTGTACTTTGTGGTATGTTCTGTTCCACTAAGCCATTGATTCTCTTGATATATTTTGTTCATAAAATTCCACACTCTTCCCACAGAGGTCTTAATGGACTACTTGTAACGTAACTTCTCAATTTCATAATAATTTAGTATGCATTTTTGAAATCAAGTATTGACAATTATTTTTCAGGTAAAGAAAAGCTATGGTCATCCTCAAGTGTTAATTTTGTCTCAGTTATTAAGTAGATAGTTTAAAACCTTTAACGTTTAGTGACACCCTTCTTCACGGCCCCTACAAGTGTCACTAACCCTTTCGTATATATCTTTCCTGCAAAAGAAACCGGAATGGGTAGGAATTTGGTGCCTGAGTAAGTCACAATGCTGCCCATGGAGAAGTAAAGGGAGAAACAGTGATTTCTCTGAATGGTTGATAGAGTTGAAAATATTCCCTCTTCAGAAGTGTAACAAAGCTAAGGCAAAATTGCTTTATAGGATTTATTTTATGGCTTCAGGTATAAGAAATAGAATTATGCTTTCTTTAGATCTGACCCACAGAAATTATTAATTAGATTCTTTATATAATTTGAGAAGTAGTTTAAAGTAACTTAAATAATCATTGTTTCTCAGAATTTAAAATGACCTTAGTCACTGTATCCAAAGTGTTGGGGAAGTAACTCTCTAAAGCTTGTAAAACTCTTTATGAGAAAATGCTAAAATGCTTTTTTCCAATTTTTTAAATGAGGAAAAAAATCATTATTTTTAATTAATTTCCATGTGTTGCTGTGTATTTCTCAGTAAGACATTTGTCCTCAGTTTTGTTTTTACTTGTGTTCTGATGTGGAACTTCAGAAGTTCATTTTGTGTCTAGAGGAAAGATTTATTGCCAAACTATTGAGATAGCCTTATAAAATTTCCATGATGACTCAGTAACTTTCTTGGTTGGATGAGTCTAAATAAAGCTCAACACTTTGCTGGTTCTGTTAATTACTTGGGTGGTATCAACTTTTTGACCAAATTTCTTAACTAATTTGGGTAAAGATGACAGTACACCTTTAGTAGTATTTGGACTGGTTTGGTATTCTGAAGCAAAATGGCAGCTATTTTCAAATATGCTTAACTAATTTTTAAAAAAATTTGTTTTCTATGTATAAACAGTCATCATGACTAAATGGTTAACATGACTAAAATGGTTAAAGTATATTTACTATTATAACACTTACTGGATTGGTTTCCCATGCTGTTGACATTTTACCATATTATCTTAGACATATTTTAATAAAATAGAAGAAATGTAGTTTTTCTGAATCTTTTATTAAGTCTTTGTTTGCTCAGTGTAGTTTCTTGAGGTTTTGCTTTCTTATGCATCTTTCTAACAGAAAAATTTGTATTCTCTGAATAAATAATATTGAATCTCCTGAAATTATCTGTACTTACTTTAGCCTAGAATGACCAGGAGTCTCTATTTGCCTGGGACTTCGGGCATTCCCCAGATGTAGAACTTACGGCTTTAAACCAATCACCCTACTTTAGCCTGACATTATTTGAAATAAAGTTTGCTATGAATTTTGAAAGCTATTTTCAATATGCTGGGTATTCCAATATCCAGTATGTATTCCAATAACATACTGCTATGGTAATGTGAGTTGTCTTTAAAGAGAATCATTTTAAAATACCATTTCTTTGCTTACAAGAGGAAAGTATTTGACATTCATGGTTTAATTCTTTTTTTTTACAGGTATGTTAAGTCGATGGGATGATAGTCAGAGATTTTTGTCTGACCATCCATACCTTGTATGTGAAGAAACTGCTAAATATCTTATTTTATGGTGTTTTCATCTAGAAGCTGAACAGGTATCATGTGAAACTTGAATTTCTGGGAACATTAGTGGAATTCTGATTTACTTTTTTGTTTTGTTTTTTCCGTTACTTTAAATGAAAGTAGGAAGGTCATTAAATGAAATTATAATTTTGTTTTGTTTTCACATCTACTTGAGCTTACTGTTGGAATTTTTTTTAGTTATTTCAGTTAGCATAGGGAAACTTGTTTCCAATGTGCTTTCCCTGCCTGCCTGCCCCCTCACCTCTCTTGTTCCCATGTATTGATACTATAAACCTTTTTCTTTTTTAACCTATTTAAAAATCATATTTTAAAAATCCAAATAGTAATCACAATATTAAATATATTTCTTATAATTTTAATCTGTTACTTTCAGAAAGGGGCTCTGATGGAACAAATAGCACATCAAGCAGTTGTAATGCAGTTTATTATGGAAATGGCCAAAAACTGTAATGTGGATCCAAGAGGATGTTTTCGCTTATTTTTCCAGAAAGCCAAAGTAAGTAGCTATTTGGTATTGTTAAATGGGAAGGTTAGGTTTTAGCTGAGACCTCTTTTGTCCATACACATCAATGGAAGCCATCCAACCAGGATGCCACAGGCTAAATTCTGTAGATTTTATAAGGAAAAGAAAAATTACATTGTTGTTTTCATGCTAATATAGATTTAAAGGAGCTATATAAGAAGCTATACTATACAGCATGTATGTGAAATTGAGAGCCATTCACATGAATGTATGTATTCAGGAAAATTAGAGGAATGGTTAAAAAAAAATCTGTAGTACACAGAATATTATGCAGCCATCAAAATTATATTTATGAAAAATGTTTAACCTGAGAAAATGCTTTGCTATAAAGTCAAAAGAAGTGATACATGTTTATATATACAGGATGAAGTCAGCTATATTAAAGAAAAATAGGTATGTCTAGAAAGATTAACATTTCACACTCACTAAATTTACTAATTTAAATTATTACTATAATTTAAAAGTTGTACAAGAAGTAGAGCAATAAGAATTCACATGCACTGACTCTAGGAGTATAAATTGGTATAACCTCTTTGGAAAATTTCCTTGTAAAGTTGAACAAGACAAGTGCTTACAGCGAGAAATTCTCCTAGGTATATACCCTAGAGAAAAAGTCTCAACATGTGGTCCAGGGACACTTGAGGGTTTTCAAGACCCTTTCCATTAGTCCTGAGTCAAAACTATTTTCATAATAATACTAAGATGTTATTTGCAATTTTCACTCTCATTCTCTCATCAGTGTACAGCATAGATTGATACAGAAGCAGATGTGTGAATACAGCTATCTTCTGTTAAGCCAGACTTCTCACTAAATTGTTTGTTTTGAAAATAGTTTTTTTTAAAAAAGTATGTTATAAATGTTAACATGTAATGAGTTTGTTATTATATTTCAGTTAATATATATTTAATTCCTCAGTTTTAATTTCTAACACATAAGTATTGATAGATATAGCCCACATAAACAGGAACTCTTTAGGTTCCTCAATAATTTCCAAGAGTTATGAGGGAGTCCTGTGACTATAAAGTTTGAGAACTGCTGCCCTAGAGACACTCATGTATGTGCTTAATAGAATTGTTCATAATAGCAAAAAGTCTGGGAACAACCCAAATGTCTGTTAACAGTAGAATGAATAAATTGTGGTATATTCATTTGGTAATATACTAATCAGCATTGGCATGGATAAAAAGACAAGAAAGCAAAAAAAAACCAAGTCTTAGAATGATATATCTGGTATCATTTTTTAAATTTTATATTTTTTATAAAGTTCAAAAACAAGCAGAACTGAATATATTGTTGACGATACATAAATTTTACGCAGTAAAACTGAAGAGGCAAAGGAGTGATTAGGACAAGTTACAATAATGGTAACCTCAGAGAGAGATGGAATGCTCTTTGAAACTCATCTCTAAGATACTAGTAATGATCTATTTCCTAATTTTTGTGGGTACATAGTGGGATTTTTGCCCAATAAATTGTACGTAAATATTTTACATGCTCTTTTTTGCATATATGATACATTTTAGCATACACAATTAGAAGTTAGAAGGAAATATACCAAAAGTTTAATTTTGATTATACCTGGGTCGTAGAAGTATAAGTCATTTCCATTTTCTTTTTCATATACTACAGTCAACATATTTCCTTCTATAGAGAAAAACATTTTTAAAATAAAAAAAAAGTAGTATGGCAGCAGTCCTACCTTCTACTTCTACTGTTAAAATACAAAATTTTCCCAAGACAGTAGTTTTAATGAGTAAACAATTTTTTAAAAAAATAAACTTATTTATTTATTTATTATTGGCTGTGTTGGGTCTTCATCGCCACGCGCGGGCTTTCTCTAGTCGCAGTGAGCAGGGGCTACTCTTCATTGTGGTGCGCGGGCTTCTCATTGCGGTGGCTTCTCTTGTTGCAGAGTACAGGCTCTAGGTGCACAGGCTTCAGTAGCTGCAGCACGCAGGCTCAGTAGTTGTGGCACCCAGGCTTAGTTGCTCCACGGCATGTGGGATCTTCCCAGACCAGGGCTCGAACCCGTGTCCCTTGCATTGGCTGGCAGATTCTTAACCACTACACCACCAGGGAAGCCCTTAATGAGTAAACGATTGAGTTGGTATTTTAGTTAGGCTTCTGATGACTATTCTAAATTTTCACTTGACACGTAGGCATTAAAAAAAAAAATCATACTTTCTTTTTCATCTTACATTAATGGATATGTTTGAACTAGTGCTTAGTAAGATAATGGAATATAGTCAAACTATATGTATCCTTTGAAATTTACTTTGACAAAATAGAACTGAACAGCTATGCAGTCTTAGATCTTAACATTGTGCTCTTAATAATTTCTTTTAAATTAAGGAATAACTTTCATGAGGTGCTTGCTTTGTGCCAGGTATTATTCTAGGCACTTTACATGGATTAACTCATTAAATCCTTATAAAATGTTATGAGGATTTTTATTTCTTTTTTACAAATGAGGAAATTAGCATAGAGAAACTGAGCAAGTGACCCATAGATTGCTTAATAAAACAAAAATCAATCAAGTCTCTCTAGATCTAAATCCCTAGGCCTTAGGCATGAAGTAAGGTCAGCAGTTGTGTCACTTGATTCCTTTAATGGTTTGCTACATAACCATTTCAGAAGGACTACTTTTGGATATGAAGGCTAACATTGCATGTGTCTACACGAGTACCGTATATTGACTAAAGTGAAATGCTATGATATAATTAAAGAAATGATTCCTAAATTCTTAAAAAGATAGAATGGCAGCACAGAACATTGTCTGCATTATTTGTATAGATATTGATGCTAGTAACTAATCCATAGGTTTTAATCCAGTTACACAACGTAAACTACATTAAAGAAAAAAATCGCACTGCAGACGAATGGGCCCATTGATATTCAGGAATGAGACTTCGACAAAATCTCTTCCACCACTTGAACTTAAATTCTGTGATCTATTGTGTAGGATGTGCTCTGTGTCATTTTTTAATCTGCAAAGGAAACGTTTATAATTGGAGGCTACTGCCAAAAGGATGTTTTGCATTAAGAATTTTGCTTTATATTATATACACCTTGGGAGAGAGAATTCCCTTCCCTCAACATAACTCATCGTACTTTTTTCTTTCCATAATCTTGAAAAGAAGGTACTTCCTTAACTAAAACATTAAGGTATTTTCATAACGAAGTTGAATGTTGAGTTTAATTGGCTTTCATGGCTTTTACAAATAGGGATTTTAGGGTCAGAGAATTACTAATAACAATAATAGTGTTCCCTCATTAATTGGTAGAGAATAAGAAGGTTTAAAGAATATCCCTTGGCTGTTGCTTGGCAGTGGGAAGGGGAGAGGAGAACATGAGAGGTTAAATGAGGACTATTTTGGATCCTGTCAAGAATATAGATAAATCAAGAGAAATACAGAGGAAGCCTACCTTCTTTCATTTTATTAGTGTGTATGTGTAAAGACGGGTTGTTTCTTATTAGTTTGTTTTATTTTGCTGAAGCAGAGGGAAATGGAACAAACCAATCTTTAATATTCATATAAAACAGGCAGTTTTCAGAAATCTGACAGAGATCTTGGTGGTTTCTACGTTGAAACTATTCACCTCATCTTTACTTCTTCCACTTCAGGCCTAATATATGCTTGCTAGAGTTTACTCTGTGGTCTGGAAGTCTTGAAAAACACAGTCTTTATATTTTGTATTTTCTAGGCAGAGGAAGAAGGTTATTTTGAAGCATTCAAAAATGAACTTGAAGCTTTCAAGTCAAGAGTAAGACTTTATTCTCAATCACCAAGTTTCCAACCTATGACAGTTCAGAATAATGTTCCCCATTCTGGTGTTGGATCTATAGGTTTATTAGAATCCTTACCACAGGTAAGTTGGAAAAGTAAATATTTATTTTATAAATATATTAGTTTACATAATTTTTGTTCTTTTGGACTTCTCTTTCTTCTTATACATTATATATGTGTGGTCATTTTAAATATTCTTGCCTCAAAAGATAACTCTTGAGTTTCATCTCATGCCATGTTTTGGCATTAAATCTTGTTCATCTCTTAGGTATTTAGAGAGATACCAAATTCCACTCCTTTAAATACAGAAGGGATGAGGACCACCTAAGCATTCTTAAGGGCAAGTGTTACCTATTGATCATCTCAATCATAAACTTCTCAAGATGGCTCCCAAGGAACATCTCATTCTAAGTAGAACTATACTGTTAAGAATTTATTGAGATGAATTAGCTTCAAAGCATATGTCCAAGTAGCAACCAAGATGATCTGTTGCATGAGTTTAGTAGTATTATCTTTTTGAATGTTGGTGCTGCCTACCAGATGTAACATTTTACTACAAATTAATGTAACTTATGCTAAGCTGTTCTTTATGGTAATATTGGCCAACTCTTTGAGCCCCTTGGAAATCTGCTATTAGAATAAGCTAAAACCATGTCACTAGTGTGAAAGAATTTATGTCAAAGAGGAGGTTGGACCACAGGTCTGCCTGATTCTACTTAGGATTACTGTTTTAAGTTATTAAAAGTTACTGCCCATTTTGGTTCTAGTAGCATTTAAATTGAACCAGTCATCTCTCATTTTCTCTCAGGACCTAAGATTTTAGGAACAGCGTTAGCCAGTTTAGCCTGTTGCCTACACAGTGAAAGGGAAGTCTCACTCAAAAGGCAGTGTGGGGCTTCCCTGGTGGTGCAGTGGCTGAGAGTCCACCTGCCGATGCAGGGGACACGGGTTTGTGCCCCGGTCCGGGAAGATCCCACATGCTGCGGAGCGGCTGGGCCCGTGAGCCATGGCCGCTGAGCCTGCGTGTCTGGAGCCTGTGCTCCGCAACGGGAGAGGCCACAACAGTGAGCGGCCCCCATACCGCAAAAAAAAAAAAAAAAAAAAGGCAATGTGAGGAGAGCCCTGTATTTATTTTTAAATCTCAAGAGTGCTAGAAATTGAGATTTTCAATATCTTGACCTTATGTATCTATAATTTCACTATTCTGGTTGTATGTATTGTAGGCCAAAGGGACAATTTAAGGAAAGCAATTGATCACATTCAACTCAGCCAAAAATATTATTTTCAAGGATAGAAATAATTAAGGTCCGATTTTTAAATAATTAGTAATGTTAACCCTTAATTAGACATGTAAGCAGTATTCTCTCTCAATTTGTCCTACACATTACCTCTTAATGCTGTTTAAATAAAATGAAAATTTTCTCTTCAGTTCTGTGAGAAATAGCCCATAGGGACGCAGTCTTTCCAAAGGAATTTTATGACTAAGTCTCTGTAAGTTCAACATATAAACCTCCTAAAACTAAGGTGTTACATAATGAATGCAGAGGAAAAGACTTTTGAAGGATGTTGTTGATTCTAAACGTAAGAGGGAAAAGATAAGATTTCAGCTAGATCCACAGAAACACTGTTATTTGAGAGAAGGATAAGATGATAGATAGGATAAGATGAGAGACAACCTGAGGGACTAAGTTGTCAACTGAGAGGAGATTTGGAAGAAGAGCTTAACCATAACAATAACATCCCATTTTTATTATATCAGTTTATAAACAGCAAAACACTTTTACATGGTGTCTCATTTAATCTTCTCAAAAATGCTGTGACACATTTTCATTCATTTTATGGATGAATAAACTGTACCTCCTGGAGGTTAAGTAATCTACCTGAAGTCAATACAGTAAGTGATGGAGCTAATATGCTAATCCTGGATTTCTGTTCTACTCCATTGCTCATTCATTCTCCTACATCAGGGGTCCTCAACTCCCGGGCCGTTGACTGGTACCAGTCCGTGGCCTGTTAGGAACCGGGCCGCACAGCAGGAGGTGAGCGGCGGGCAAGCGAAGCTTCATCTGCTGCTCCCCATTGCTTGTATTACCGCCTGAACCATACCCCCCATCCCTACCCCAGGCCAGTGGAAAAATTGTCTTTCACAAAACCGGTCCCTGGTGCCAAAAAGGTTGGGGACCACTGACCTACATCATAGAATATTGTTGAATCATATGCTAGAAATAGGACAAGACACTCAGTTGTGTGCTCTTGGGAGGAACTGGTCTCTGGGACAAGAAATGTGTTGAGTATGTTATTAGATGAGAATATAGGGTAATCAGTGGAATTTAAGTGTACATTAGGTTAGGTATATTGATTGCTTTTTGTTTTTTTAAGTCTCCTCATGATGATGTCTTCAGTTCTTAAGGAGGTGGGTAGATGAATTCTAGAGAATCTCTTTAGCCAGTTCTAATACTCAAAATTCTCCATGAAAATCTGGAGCCTAGTCTTAATAGAGAGTAACTGTAAGCTCTGTTCTGAAGGCCTTTGGAATTGGGCCTGGATGGTCAGAAAAGATCTTAGCACTCTGTTTCTTTGGAGAATGGGATAATGTAACAAGATTATTAATAATTTTTTATAAAACTTAAATTTGGATAACACTTCAGCTTTTAATCTCTTTTTTTTAATTGACAGCAGTCTCGTGAAATAAGCCAAATACCATTATCATTAGCTTTGAGAGAACTAAACCAAGGCCTCTTGGACAGAGATATAAGTAACAGTTACCTTAGGCTTATCCTGTATACTAGCTTTTAATGTTATTAAATTTTGATGAATTATTTTCTCTTTGAGGATGGCATTATACTAAGTGGAAGAGGTAGGGTTAGAACTGAGGTCCAAAGTTATTTTAGTGTTTCAGACCTCAGTTATTTGTGCCACTTCCTTCATAAAAACCTGATTGAGAATAATCCAACTAGCTTCTGGCTTACTTTTTGATTTTTACAATAAAAAAATCACAAAGTATTGTACTTTATTAAGGAGACCTTTTGAAAACCCTGCCTCCCTTTGGTATGGGGAGGTTTAAGATATCTATGCCCTGTGTGGACTGTTTTCCTCATTGATGTTTATTAAATAAAATAAACAGATGAAAGTAGGTGATACATAATAAAACTCTAAGTATGAGCAGATATTCAGAACAACTGATAAAACTGAATTCTTGGGGAAGAATTTCCTAAAGTCCTAGGTCTTAAGGGCTTATGTCTCTATTCATGATGCTTTAATAATAATGGGTTTATTTTTGCATTTATTGAATAAAGTTTTCTGTTCCTAGTTTTAGAAATGAACAAATTAGAATATTTTTGAGTTCTGCTGTTTAAAAAATAAAACCTAAATTAAACTGTTCTTTTGTTTTCAACTTTTTAAATACGAGTCTAAGTACCTTTCAAAAGATTAACCATTTCTCACTTGGGTTTGTTTTAACCTTTGAGAAACCAAAATAGACTCTGAAGATAGCTATAATATTTACTTAGTAAATATATTTTTTCCTTATTCAAGTGTTTTTGTAATTTTAGTATTTACTGTTATAATTAGTAATCTTCATAATACATATAATACATTGCTGGCTTAAAGCCATATTTATCTTTTAAATTATCAATAGCTATGTACATATAATCATATGGAAGATATAGTCTTATATGATTAAATAATTAAAATTATAGTTTTGTTAAACAGAGGAAAAAGGTAGTGTTTATTACATTTCTATTTTTCACATACATCATTCTCTCTTTATCACATCTCTTTGGATTAAGTGGTAATAATCTATTTAATTTTTTTCTTTATCTTCTTGGGTTTCAACCCAAGTCTGACTTCCAAGTCCATCTTTTTTCCTGTTCTGCTATACTGCAGAGAAATAGAGAATGCAAAACTGAATATGCAACTGCATATACTGGCATAAAACTGATTATCATTCATTCATTCTTTTTTCTTTTCAGAATCCAGATTATCTTCAGTATTCTATCAATACAGCTCTCTGCAGTTTAAACTCAGTGGTACATAAAGATGATGATGAACCCAAAATGATGGACACTGTATAATTTGGTTAAGACTGCTGAAGCCAAGTGCTATTTTGTTACAAGAAAGGAAGAACTTGGCTATTTTCTTGACACTTTTATGGGTGCTGCACTTTATTTTTGTTCGGTTTTTGATGGGAGGGAAAACAAAGAGTACTGAAACGTTTTGTAAAATTTTTTTCATGTGCTGCTAGGTTTTTTTGTTTTGTTTTTTTTTCTGAAGAGAGGAGTGGTACCACATGTTGCAAGAAGTCAAACTGGACATTATTTTGGTTTTTTTAGCTACTAAATTTGCCTTTAATCTTATTGTTCTCAATTTTGGAATCAAAGTATGAAAATCTGCACAAATGCAATGTTTACAAGAACTGGTTGATTCTAGGAGGCATCTGCTACAGTCTTTTTATATGGATATGTACATGTCCTACTCTACAAAAATGATTAAAGATAAAAATGTACTTGTATCCTATTGCTAATTTAGCTGTCAAATCTGGTGTTTCATCATATTAAAAGCAATAAATCAGTAGTTGATAATCTACTTTACTAAGTAAGCGGGGTGGTACAAATTAAAACAAAATATTTCCCCTTAAAATAATATTACATTTGTTTTTTCGGCACCATCAGTTAAATCCTTGACTATAATATCAATTTTATATAGATACTAAATTTATCCCCAAGTATTCTCAGAACTATATTCCTTAGTAGTTGATTTTACCCTGTTGACATTTTAATATTAGGGTTATATAGTGATATAAAAAGTGATAAAGCTAATACAGATTTTTTTTTTTTACTGAGAGGAACTTCAATCTCACTCCTAATTTCTTTATTTGACATAGTCTGGGATCTCTCAGGGAGCAAGTTTTAAAAGAATACTAATGGCCTGTAAGAACAAATAGGGAAAAATAATCTGATTTTTAAAATTGTGGTTATTGTTTGTTTTACTCTGATATGGCCCAAAGACTTTTTTAAAAAGGCAAGAGAAATCTTTTGGAGCTAAGTACATATTTCTAAGAATTTGGTGATCCTTACTGGTAATGATGGCTTTTACTACATTTGTCATTCCTCTCTTTAGCTCAGTTACCATGGAATGCTTCTGAGCTTTACTACTTCCTATATAATTCACTTTAAATATGCCAGGATATTTGATTATTCATTTTATTTGGAATGAGATGACAATGTTAATTATTCTGTCCTTATTATTTGAGGATTAACCTTCTGACTTATAGGAACATGAGCTTTGATTTGAAACCAATGTAGTCTTTGGCTCAGTCCCATTGAGACTAGTAGCAAACATTTAGAAGATGACTAAATGGGATTTGGACTACGCGTCTCAATTTGAGAAGCCAGGTAACGCCAAGGGACCCACATGGTGATCAGACCTGTTATCTTGGCCTCATTTGCACCTTGTTTTAACTAATCTGAGGTGATAAGGCACTTAGTACCCATAGAAATGGACTGGAATTATTGAATCTACGTATGTAACATCACAATCTTTCTGGTTTTAAGAATAAAGCTGTTTTTGTGCTTTTGATATAAATACATACTCTATAATAAAATGTTTGACTAATTTATATGGTAGTATTCATCAGCCTGAATTTTTTTTTAACCAATGACCTAGTTATAGAAGTTTTTTTGTTGTTGTTTGTTTTTTTCTGTTTTGGAGCAAGCTCTTGCTTTTTCCTTCCTATCAAATGGAGAATGAACATAGGAATAAAATCCCCAGTTTCACAGAAATGTAACTTGAACCATTACTTTCCATTCTTCTCACTTTTCCCCAGGATTTGCCTGTAAGCTTTAAAATTGTTTTGAATTTCATTTTGCCTTAGGTTAGAGGTATTAAAAACTGAAGACTGGAAGGAGAGAAATTATCAACAAACTGAGTAAACTATTCCGGAAGGATTTTTTGGCTTTTGTTTTCTAAAACAGAAGAACTATTTAAAATTTGGCTATGTGTATTCTTTTACTTTCAAAGGGAAGTGTTGTATCAGTGTGAAAGTGATTGGATTTATTTTGGGAACTACTGACTGATGCCATAATTTGCACTTAAAGACTATAACTTACAATTTAGCAGTACTATAGTACTCAGAACAATAAATTGATATCCTTTTTATTTTTCTTTATTTTGCTTTACTACTAAGAACTAACTCCTATTAGGAGAAATGTCTTCTGTTTCTTAAATAATACGAGTATACTAAGCAAAGGAATAATTTATATTTCACGTTAGACAATTTTCTCCAAACTATACAAACCATGGAAAGTCCAAACAAATAAGTGAAACCTTTGACATCAAAGTGTCCATCAGAGATTATTTCATTTGATAAAATTAATCTTCCAATAAAAGATTTTTAAAAAATAGTTTTCACTATTCCCTGTTAACTCAGTCTCATTTTATTAATGGTGGTGGAAATAATACTGATTTAAGATTATTCTCTAGGAGAGAAAGACGAGTAACATTCTCATCCAATTGTACCATTAGTGGGCTCTTTCAAATATTGCCGAAAAGCTCACAATCTCCTGTAACTTCTCTCTAGGAAAATTGGGACTTCTGTCCGCCTGGCATTCCTATTACCCTTTTAAAAGTGAACTAATTAGATGATGCCCAAAGAACATGGATATAGTTTAGTTAAGTAGATTCTCTTACAGGATGAAAACATTGTGGGTTTAGGCAAAGTGATCCTGAAGTTAATCTTGGCATATTTTCAGAGAAAAATAAAAAGATGTCAGTTTACTGTTCTCAAAGTCAGTCATGTATTTCAGTTCTTAAATTGATGTGGGACAGAAACGTACTTGTCTCAGCTGAGGGCCAGGCTTTTCATTTCATTGCTGCTATATCATATGCATTTTAAAAGTCTATGCATTCATTTCCCATCTGTAATGGACATGTACATACTATGTCACAGGTCTTCTAAGAAGCTGACTCATCTAATAAGTATTTATTTGCTTGCTTACTATGTAAGCTAACTGGGGGGGAGGGTACAAAGATGAATAAAAGTTGATTATGAATTGCTTACCATCTAATAATGAAGTTGAAACCATTCTCATAAGGCTTGAAGAATTAGATTTAAGGTTTGATGTTTTCTAAGTATGAAAATGATTTTTAAAGATTCTCACATATTTCACTTGTTTCTTTAAATGGCATGATTTGTCATGCTATTTACTCTTCAAACACTTAAGAGTCCTTTGGTAAAATATGACACCACCAGACTGATTTACACTTTGTCGTGCAATTTGACCTGCACGACAGTTTAACTTTTTACTCAATGCTATATGGAAAAACGTGATCATTAGTGAGCTAAAGAAAAAAAAAAAAAGCTAGAGCTGGGTGTGGACTCTGCAAAACATATGGGCTTTCACCAGAAGCTTTAAACACAGCTAGACTATTTTGTGTTTAAAATTTTTATAACTTCTAAAATCAGAATCTTGAATTGCAAAGATAGGAAGGCTGCTTCTGCAGTTTACCAGTGTCTTGGAATATTTTCTTCTGTTAATGAAAAGACAACTTATAAACATGTTTTAAAATACAAATTTATTGTTGTTGGTTACAGTATTACAGAAATTTAATATAATCTGAGGTCTGTAATACCATGATTTGTTGTTAACATAGGTAAGTTTTGTCACAAAGTATGAATGTCCAAAATATTTTGCTCAAATACCATTGTAAATAGCTGGAGGGGAAGCAGCTGTGGTGTAGGGTTTAGAAATCTGAACTATTTCAAATGGAATTAAATAAGATTTCTGGATGGTACTAACCGCCACTTTGCATTTCCCACAGCACATTCTGCTTATGAAATGTGTACCAAAATAACTTGTGGTACTCTAGAAAATAAGGTAATGGGTTGAAGTCTTATTAGCTTTTAACTAAGGCACAATAGCTTCTGGCCATGGCATTCAACTCCAGACATATTTTCATGTGACACATAAATCATAATGATAGTTATTATAGCAGAAAACAAATTCTTTTTTTAATAGTGCAGGCGTTTCCCAAAGTAATGGATGTATGTGCAAAACTTTGGGTTGTTTTGGGAGTGGGGAGGGAATGATCACAGGAAGAAGGGTCTTAATTTTCATAGCTATGTTCTTCTATCCCTCTTTTTGATTTCTAAATCTCCTGAAGGTGTCAAGAAGGCCAGTATGGCTGCAGTATTATGGCAGGAGATAAAGTGTAAAATGAAACCAGCCTACGTATCTAAAACAGTACTGTTTTAAGACAATTATTATTTAGAAAGCAGACACTAATTCAGAAGCAAATGAGACATCAAGGCAGCAGAAGGGAAGGTGAGATAGAGCGGGCCCTATGAATTACCAAAGACAATGTAATATCCACAGTTCTAAATTTTCATTTAATTCTAATACACTGATATTAATGTATGTTTGATAATTCATAAGTTTAGTAGTTCCCAACATTTTTAGAATGCACATATTAACATTCAAATAAGGCATTAAAGGAAGTTTTGTGAAGGATGAAATGTTTACCATAATACTTTTTTAAAGCCTTGGTACATTTTTGAAAGATCAATATTGAATTTTAAAAAATCTAAGAAAAGTAAGTTTTTTTTCCCGCAAGATATGTAAGAATCGCTTGCTGGCATTTGTATTTTCAGTGCCTAGCATAAAACGGGCCAAATTTTCAAAGGTAGTTAATAATGGTTTATACGATGACTTGTTTCATTTCATCTAGAACCAAGTAAGAGATTGAAGATATTGTCAGATTTCTCCTTCACCTCTCATTGCCCTGCTCTTCCTAACAGGCCACCGTGTAAGCACGCATCCCGTTGCCCCACTAAGGAATCAAATCATTTTCGTTTTAAAATGGCTGTTCAGATTACATTCACCGGCAGAATTCTTCCCCATTAAGGTAGGATAGCAGTTAACACTAGTAGCTGTCAACTTCTTTGATTAGGAATAAAGAACTCTTCCAAGCAAAATCAATCAGTTTCCTGTTTTTTTTAACATATGTAAATCCTTTTAATTGCTACACCTTTACTAATCATGATTGTTATTTATGTCAAGGGAATTTTCCCCAGGCAAACATGATTGATTTCCTAATGAAAAAGTATGCTTATTTTACGTAGTGCCATGGGTTTTCTCTTATGCTTCTTTCTTTCTTTCTTTCTGTCTCTCTCTTCTCTTTCTTTCTTTCTCTTTGTTACTCATCAAGGCAGATCATACATTTGGATCAAAAAGAGAAACTGGCAAGTAGATCCTAAAGCACACATTTCTTAACCTGAGTAACACCTGAAAACATAAGAATTTAATTACATATTCTATTGAAAATTCAACTTTGGTGCTTTTGCAAGAACTTATGCTGTCAATTTCTAACAAATCATATCCCTCAGTACACAACTATTTTCAAAAGAAAATAAGTCATAGAAAAGTATATTTTCCTATATGCTAATTGGTACACTTTTATAGCAAATTGAAAATCTGGAGTAAACTGAAAGTATGTTTAACAACAAAATATAGCATATATGGCTACTATAAGTTTGCTAGTGTATAGTGTAAAAAAATAATAGACACCTCAATTAGAGTCAGGAG